TGTTTATGACGTATTAGAACGTTGTTACAACTTGCTATATTGGTTGTTATAACTGGTTAGGAGGTGTTAAAACTTGTTCGAACGTTGTACCAACGTCGTAATTTAGCTGTGTGTTTGGCGGGCTGGAAGTCCTTCACTTGAGTAGCTGCTGGTTCCTAATGCCAGACATGTGAGCAGCCCGCCAAACACACAGCTAAACTACGACGTTGGTACAACGTCCGAACAAGTTTTAACACCTCCTAACCAGTTATAACAACCAATATAGCAAGTTGTAACAACGTTCTAATACGTCATAAACACGTTAAGCCAAGATGTAACAACTTTATTACAAGTTGTAACAAGCGGAAAATAGAGACAGTTTCGGTTTGTGTTTCCAGGAAGGTTAGTGAGGCAGGGCTCGTGGTGTTGATGTTACAACACTGTTCACTATGAGATGGTGTGTAGGGATAGCAGTGACATTTGTATACTTCCAGTTAAAGGGCAACTTTTTCCCCTTGTCGAGAGATTTTCTGAATTGTAGTTTTGTTGTGCATGGATTAAATTTATATTGCTATCACTTCATATGTTGCTACCTCTTCTGCCACTTGTTAAGAACGCCCTAGAAAAATAAAAATATCATCCTCGTAGGAGAATTCAATCTCAAAAATTTTAGCTGAAAGATGGCGGATAAAATTGCATACAAGAAAAACTGTCAGTAGATAGCCTAAATAGCAAGTTCCAGAATACCAACACTTGGCACAGCAGCTCCTTAAAAAAAGCTATCGTTTTTCATCATTGCGTTTGTTTAAAAACACTATCGTTTTTAAACAAAATTTAATTTCATTCTCATGTTAAAATTCCCGTGCTAAATTTCCTCCAATACATTCCCATACTAGAAATACCACCAAGCCTATGCTAAAATTCATTCCATTTCCGTGTTATAATTGATACCATTCACGTGGTAGAGAGAGAGAGAGAGTTGCTATGAGACGTGTGGCGGTGGTGAGAGAGCCCAGGAGAGAAGGAATGTAAGAGAGAGACTTGAGAAAGCTCATCTCGACAGAGGCAGACGGGAGAGTAATGTTGGCGTCACATAAACATCGACCTCCGCTTTGTCTTCAGCGCTCGGTTTCCGCTGTCTGGACAAACACATTATTTATTCATGAGATCCCTTCGATGTTAAGATGTTCTTTTTTCTGCACTGAAATTTACGTGAATGAATTTCAATGTCATTACTCGATTTCTTTTGTTTTTAATTCCTTTGATATCCGGATATCCGGTATACCGAAATGTTGCAGTAGAAGGCAATATTTATTTATTATTCGTATTACTATTAATTAGAGAGATTATCAAGCACATACTGCAGTATTAAAGAAAACGGGAGCACGGCAACACTGCTGGCAGCGAGATGTGTAGCAGTATTGCCAACAGACGAATATATGTCAGTGGTCGAGTGGTTTTTATGATGGTTGCACAATGGGTAAATGCAAAAATGGCTGAAGGAAGATCTATACACCCTAAACCCCTAAACTGCGCAACTATTTAAAAGTGCTACATCGAGTTGCGCATCACAAAAAGTAGCTAACAATTCGAATGAAAGAGAGAAAGAAAAAAAAAAGTCGCATATGTCACCTGGAGCAGTGTAAGGGTTAAGAGGTGAAAACGCTGAGGCAAACATTTGACTACTATGACAAAACAGCTTGGAAGAAAACATATTGAAATATATATATAAAACGTAGAAATATATATATAGATATAGAAATTTAGAACACTATTATACTAATTAAAGTACTCAGCGCAACTGACTCACAACTGCTAACTCCCTGGCAGGAGTTAGCATTTGGGCACGTTGCATTTCACCTGATTCATCTGTTCACTTAGCAAAAGATCTGTCTACCTGGGAGTTAGACAGCTGCTACGGGCTGCTTCCTGGGGATGTGTGTGTGTGTGTGTGTGTGTTTGGAAAACAAAATCAGTTGAGTGATTGACAGTTGAGAGGCGGGCCCAAAGAGCCAGAGCTCAACCCCCGCAAGCACAACTAGGTGAGTACAATATACAGACAAACATATACACAGTCACATATGCCTACGACCAGTACTACTGTTTTCACCGTTGGTGGGAGGAAATTAACTCATTATATTTAACAGTACATAAAGTCTAAGGCTAATTTATAGTTCGTATTAATAACATTATTTCCTAAATGAGCCACACACACACACACACACACACACACACACACACACACACACACACACACACACACACACACACACACACACACACACACACACACACACACACACACACACACACACACACACACACACACACACACACAGTTGACTCCATACACAGTTTCAAGTGTAGATATGATAGAGCCCAATAGGCTCAAGAACCTGTACACCTGTTGATTGACGGTTGAGAGGCGGCCGGGCCAAAGAGCCAGAGCTCAACCCCCGCAAACACAACTAGGTGAGTACACACACATACGTTAGCACGGAGGGATAGCGAGGTCTTTCTTGACCTCGCTACACTTAAGGAAAAGAAATGAATAGAGCAGATATGATAGCGACCTATAAGATAGTAATCAAAGGAGATTGACAAATTAGATATAGATGTACACCAGACCAAATGTTATCTGTGGCCATCATTCGCATACCCTGCATCAGATGCATTGCGAACAAAAATTAAATTTCAGAGATAACTGTGTAACAAATTTTTCATGAAATTTTGCAATTTTTTGATAGGCTGCAGGTTATGGTTTGCCTGGCAACTGCCAGCTGGGCATCGTTCACTTGTTTACTTCTGTGTAGATAAACTGCTCCTCAAACCTGATAAAATACTTTTGAGGGAAATACCAAGTTTTATCTTTCAGACAAGCTTTTAGATAACGGAAGATATATAGTTGCTTTCTGTGTTGCCGTTATTTCTGTTTTCCTCGGCTCTGCTTTTGTAATCTTTCTCAGCTATATGCTTCTTTTCCTTCTTGAATCAATCAAGCAGCTATTTCTTAAACTGTCGGGGTGCTTTGCTTCCTCTTGTTATAAAAATATATAGACATTCAGGATTTTGAGCGTTTCTGGGTCACACGTCTTGCTCACACATGTTCGTCAGTTCCAAAAATTTCTTTGTTATTGTGGTTTCATGAGGCTGGTAGTGTACTATCTACCTCGAACTCATCCTGTGTAGGTTAGCGCACGAAGGTCGTGAAGTTGTATGATTAGCTTATCAGTACAGCAACTTACTTCAGCAGTGTGTTCACTCCCAGGATGAGTGACGCTGTCCAATAAACTAACCCTCCGGGCCAAAATTATATGTTTTGCGCCATTCATCCTGTGGGACATACCGCCATAGCAACATGTACAACACTCCCCAATAGGAAGAAAACCCGCTGGGTTGTTCATCCTGTCATTTGTACCCAGACACAGCTGGGACTTGCTTTAACTATCTCAAGTGAACAGCTCCTCAAACAAGAAGATTAACATGTGTCAACCCTTAAAAACATACGTTATCTTGCGGAGGCAAAATCAGGGAATCTTTTGAGAACAGCATTTATATTTGACAGTATTTTCCTAAAACTCAAACCATGTGGGGTTTAATGTGCTATACTCAATGCCCGAAACGCTATGCTTGCTAGTGGCTTTACAAGAATGTAAAACTTCACGTCTCTGTACTCTCATAAACCCAATGTACTTTCTTGTATATAAATAAATAAATAAATAAATAAACAATATATAAACAATAAATAAATAAACATTACGCGAATTAGCTCAACGTTATTGCCAGATTTATTGACAAATATTTTTTATTGTTATACATATATGTATATGTGGCAGTCGACTCCTCGACCCCTCTGAGTCACGTCTTGGACGACAACCTCTTAACTACGCAATTGGCTCGTCAGCATTACAACGTAGTTCTTGAGAGATATTTTCATTTGAAATCCCTCCTTAGCAACTACATCTCAAGTTGCCGTTATCATACAGTTTCAATCAGATATGAAGCCATCCAGTAATATATTCTAATCGGGCCAGTCGTTACTCAGGGTACAACCATATTATACTAGTTATATAACTGCTTAAAGCACGGTGTATATAATTAGTTCAAGAGAAGAATCGTGCGCCTGGTAGTGTAGCAGGAGACATCATACCCTCACCAAAAAAAAATACAAAATATAAACATTAGCTGGCAGCGAGGAAGGCTGCCAGCAACTCTGCCACCGACCCCTTAACAAACTTTCTATGTATATCCGGTTCCTCCTCAAGGCAGCATAGGTGAGACTCGCCTTGATAACTCGTTTAACTCACTCTCCTTCATAGCCAATAAGTGTCGCCTTGAGCACTTCTTAGACACTGGCATCAGTGACCTTGAGTCTCTTAGTGCCTCTCTACACGATTATTTTGTATTATTATTTATTTTTTAAGATTGATATGATAGCGGTGATGCTTTGATGTGTGTTGGGTGGAGTGGGCACCCCGTGGGTATGAGGGGCACCCCGGGGGTATGAGGGGCACCCCGGGGGTATGAGGGGGTACCCCGGGGGAATGAGGGGGCACCCTGGGGGTATGAGGGGGCACCCTGGGGGTATGAGGGGGCACCCCGGGGGTATGAGGGGCACCCCGGGGGTATGAGGGGGCACCCTGGGGGTATGAGGGGGCTCCCCGGAGGTATGGGGGGCACCCAAGGGGTATTAGGGGCACCCCAGGAGTATGAGGGGCACCCCGGGGGTATGAGGGGGTACCCCGGGGGAATGAGGGGGCACCCAAGGGGTATGAGGGGGCACCCTGGGGGTATGAGGGGGCACCCCGGGGGTATGAGGGGCACCCGGGGGTATGAGGGGCACCCCGGGGGTATGAGGGGCACCCCGGGGGTATGAGGGGGCACCCCGGGGGTATGAGGGGGCACCCCGGGGGTATGAGGGGCACCCCGGGGGTATGAGGGGCACCCCGGGGGTGTGAGGGGCACCCCGGGGGTATGTGGGGCAGAGTGGAGAGCCGGGCAGTCAGTCACCCTGCGACCCCGGCCACGTGCGGTTACCACCTCTGTGTGTGCTCTTCTTGATACCTTGTGTGTTGGGGGGGAGGCAGTTGTGGTGTTGGGGGGAGGCAGTTGTGGTGGTGTTGTGTGTGGCAGGTGTGGTGTTGTATACTTCTTGTACTTGTTACATCTCCTGACATTAATGTTGAAATTTTGTTTTCATTTTGTTTTGAATGAAAGTGGCTTCAACAACATTCTTTCTCTGCATTCACTTTCTAACCACCTATAAAGGTTATGAGAATTTTGATTGCATCTTTAAAACTCATTTGTGTAGCCATTTTATAATGTTGTTCCCATGGCCTACCTCAATCCTCTCGGTTTAGATAACCTGCCTTATCTACTCCTTTCAGCACCTTGTCTGAAGTGATCATGTACCCTCTTTTCTCTTAAGGTTGTGAGGCTGTGTTCCGTTAACTCAAAAAAATAAATACAAATACAGTACATTTTAAGGATTCACAATACAGAAGCAAGGAAATAATTAAAGTACCCCTGTACCCTAATAAGACCCAAAGGAACATTCTTTAAAAATGTTCAATATACAAGTGAAAAATGTTAGTGTATCTTTCATAATCATCATTTAGTAGTTTTGATGTTGCTAAAATTAAAGATGCTATTTACCCGACTAAACTTATTATAAAGACTCGCTTTCCAGAAAATGGCTCCTAAACAAGACTTTCCACGCCGCTCCGAGAACTCCAACGGCATTGATCAGAATGGGCTCGCAAACACAGGCTTCCGGCATTATCCATCAGGCCGTGACCTCGCCCTCAAGACCTCTCTAACATGGATAAATGGAAAGAGGAAGGATGATGATGTTGGTCCATACTGGAGAATACATGATAAGTTGTATGATATGACCAATTTTATTGACAAACATCCTGGAGGTTTGTGCTTGCTTTTGCACCAGTAATTTTATTTATTTATTTATTTATTTATGCATATACAAGAATGTACATAAGGAATGTGAGGATACAAATATGGTAATTACAGTCTTGTAAAGCCACTAGCACGTGCAGCGTTTCGGGCAGGTCCTTAATCTAAGAAAATTTTAAGGAGGTAAATACTTGCAAAATTTATAGACAAAAAATGATAACAGATTACATGAAATGAAAAAAAAAAAAAAAAGATGAGAGAAAATTGTAGGTACAGTATATTAAAGCACATAGGTAGCTAAGATTGATTGCAATGACAGCTTAAAATGGTAGTTGACAACAAATTGGTAGGCACAATACAGCAGAAACAATATAAGATTGATTGCAATGATAGCTTGAATGGTAGTTGACAAAAATTGGTAGTCACAATACAGCATATGGCTAGCACATAAAAGAAGACAGTAATGAACACAATGATAAGGTTGTTTGATATTACATAAAAATTAGGAGATTGGGTAACACTAGGTACAGAGCAAATTTAAAGCTCAATGTAGGAAACTAAGAAGATGAAGTTAGGTACTTTTTGGTTTTGCTTTTAAATAAGGCAAAAGTTTTACAGTTTTTCAATTCACTAGGGAGTGAGTTCCATAGACTAGGTCCCTTAATTTGCATAGAGCGTTTACACAGATTAAGTTTGACCCTGGGGATATCAAAGAGATATTTATTTCTGGTGTGGTGATAATGGGTCCTATTACATCTGTCCAGGGAGAGTTTCAGAGCATGGTTTGCATTTAAGAACAGGGTTTTGTAAATGTAGTTGACACAAGAGAATGTGTGGAGGGAGTTAATATTTAGCAAATTTAGGGATATAAACAAGGGAGCGGAGTGTTGTCTGAAAGCAGAGTTAGTTATTATTCTGATAGCAGATTTTTGCTGTGTGATGATGGGCTTAAGGTAGTTTGCAGTGGTAGACCCCCATGCACAGATACCATAATTAAGATAGGGGTAGATTAGTGCATAATATAGTGAGAGGAGAGCAGAGTTAGGAACATAATATCTGATTTTGGAGAGTATACCAACTGTCTTAGAGACGTTCTTAGTTATGTGTTGAATGTGAGTGCTGAAGTTGAGTCTCTTGTCTAGGAATAGGCCAAGAAACTTGCCATCATTTTTATTACTGATGTTAATGTTGTCTATCTGTAGCTGAATTGCATTTGATGATTTGCTTCCAAATAAGATGTAGTAAGTCTTTTCGATGTTTAATGTTAGTTTGTTCGTTGACTTCCATAAGTGGACTTTTTTTAATTCATTATTCACAACATTATTTAGTGTATATGGGTTGAGGTTTGAGTAGATAAGGGTAGTATCGTCAGCAAACAATATAGGTTTGAGAATATTAGAGACATTAGGCAGATCGTTTATATATATAAGAAATAGAAGAGGTCCTAAGATGCTGCCCTGTGGCACTCCAACGGTAATTGGTAGAGTGGAAGAAGTTGTATCATTGATGGTTACATATTGGTGTCTGTCACTAAGATAGGATCGGATGTAGTCAAGGGCAAGGCCTCGGATTCCATAATGCTGGAGTTTAAGTAAGAGGTAGTTGTGATTAACAGTATCAAAGGCTTTTCTTAGGTCAATGAAGAGTCCAATCGGAAGCTCATTTTTGTCAAGGGCTGAGTAGATAATGTCAAGGAGACTAATGATTGCATCATTGGTGCTCTTTTGGGACCGGAAGCCAAACTGGCAGGGGCTGAGTATGTCGAATTTTACGAGGTAGGAATAGAGCTGTTTGTAAATAATTTTTTCAAATATTTTTGATAGAATGGGTAGATTTGATATTGGTCTATAATTGTTTATGTCCGCCGGATTGCCTCCTTTATGGACTGGCGTTACTCTTGCTTTTTTGGGGATATCAGGGAAGGTGTGATACTCTATAGATTTGTTGAACAGTAGTGCTATGGGTGGGGCAAGGGCATGGGAGGCTCTCTTGTACACAATGGACGGAATTTCACTAGTGTTCCCTTCCTTGGTTTTTAGAGAATGTATGATGGACACAACATCTGCCGGGCTGATTGGTGAAAGGAGAAGAGAGTTTGGATAGCTGCCTGAGAGATATGTGTTAATATGTGTCTGAGTCTGTGGGATTTTACTGGCAAGATTAGCACCAACCGATGAAAAGAAACTATTAAATTCATTTGCCATTTCTAAATCAGTTGACGGTATATCCCCATCCTTGTAGAGTTTTATTTGGTTATGTGAGTGTTGTATATATAGTAATATATCTTTTGTTGTAGTAGTTTGCTTGTATAACCCCAAAGTAGAATAATAATGTGATACAGTAGTTAAGATGAATGTTAAATGAATAGCAATTTGCTATACAGTATTCAGTGGATTAGTAGAGATATCTTAAAGGTACAGTATATTGAAATATAAATTTTATCAAATTTCAACCTCATTTCTTGTGAAATTTAGATACAGTATCTTTGATGGCCTATACAGTATTGTACTTTAACATGTGGAATAGGGTAAAGTGGATACAGCATAAAACATCTACCAGTCTTTATGATTTGTATTTGCAGTAGCCTCTTACTTCATAATTTTTTTGTTTATCAAAATTCTTAGAAAAAAAGCATGTCTAGAGTAACATGCCATCTTAATATCCTTGTCATTTACTAATATGCGTAACTAGAAGATTTACAGCTGACATACAATTAAGACAAGATATCAAATATCAGTATTATCAAATACTGAAATCAATGTACATTACCACATAATAAGTTCCAGCCAGTTTGGCTTTAAATCTCAACAATGCCTTTATTTACAGTACAGTGCTGACGCAATTTGCTCACCACGTGACAAAATCAAATTCATACTTGATCTATTCATTATCATAAGAACAACCTTTAATTCCATAAATCACATTGACCTCCTACTTAAACTCCAGCTGTACAGAATTTAGCCCTTTCTCGGAACTATATCTATTTCTAAACACACATCAGTGTGTTTGATGTGTGTTTTGAAATCGATATCATCATCAATTTCATCAGTGACACTAGCTCTCCCACTCTCCTGTTAGCCACAGGAGTGCCAAAAGGCAACATACTAGGACCACTCCTATTTCTTACATTAATGAGCTGCCCCATTATGCATGGGGCACAACCATTGTAAACTACTATACCCCTCTTGCCACCCAGCAAAAATCATATACCAAAATTATAACATGTTGTTTTCACACAACATGCAACTCCTAGATTCAAATCACTATACATGCTAATCATGTACACACCATACTATGTATGGTGTGTACATGATTGTGCAGATGTGTGTACTATTGTGCTATTTATACTGCAATATCTTAGACTTCAGTGCTAACTCTTGATTTGAAAATTGATCCTACATGGATGTAAAAGAACACAAGAACATCTCACATGAAATAAGTACAGTATATCTTTGAAATTCACAATCATACTTAATTGATGGATGTGAGGTGGTTAACCCCTGTGAGAACTCACTCAAGTGTGAGATAGGAATAAGTGGTATGTAATATTGTATGAAAATAGAAGAATAGGAGGCATTTGATTTTTGTTTAGTTACTAAGTACAGTATGTATATTCAGTGTGCTGTGCAGTATTAACATAACTTTATTACCATAGGTAAGGACTGGCTTCTGGTAACTAAAGGTACAGACATCACTGAAGCTTTTGAAAGTTCTCACATTAACACAGTCGCAGAGAGTATCCTTCCCAAGTATTACGTTAAGGATATATCAACGCCTCGAAATTCCCCATTCACTTTTCATGAAGATGGATTCTACAAAACATTAAAAAGAAAAGTATGATGAATTCATTTAATTTTCATTACTGTATTTGATTTTGGTGTAAAAGTTCATGCATGTTCATTCTTCATGTGTATAAATCTTTTCTGGTATTTAGCAGGAAAGCTATCTTGCTACATACCCTTCAACTCAAGTTGATTCGAGCATTTATATTATTTTCTGTTGTTGGTGGCAAGAAGTCTTTGTATATACAGTACTGTATATGTATACACTACTTTAGGCTTGTATCAAGGTCCCCTTGTATCAGCTACCAACCTTTCCCAGGATGCAACCTCACAATATCTGCCTAATTTCTGGGTACCTATTTACTGCTAGGTAAACAGAGGCAACAGGTGAATGGAAACTTTCCCTACCATTTCTGCCCCCACCTGGGAATCAAACCTGGAATCCTCAATTGTGAGTCGAAGATGTAAACCACTGTACTGGTTTACTAGACAATATAACCATTGCACAGCAATTGATCATTCTCCAGAGTACAGTACAGTAATTATTTTTATTCTGTATGCAGTTAAGGGGCCCCAAATAATAATTTTTGGTAATATTAAATATTTTTTTTTAATTGCCAATTAGATAGCCTAGATTGTATCATCATCAATGGATTAATTTAATATATTTACTGATACAAGTAGAGTCGATCACACAGGATTTGGGCGGTGCCAGGCTGTCAGTTCTTGCCATTTCAAAAGTCATACCTCACAAGTGTTAAATGTTTACATATTGGGAAGAGGTCAGGTAGTGTCAGGTTAGCCTTGCTCTCTGTTAAGCGGATAATTGCAAACGGTTGCTGTGTTCTTTCCATCAAGCAAGCTGCCTATCTAGGTGTGGAAGGAAGATAGCCAGAGGTTATCTCGCAGTAGACAGAGCTTAGCTCCTGGTTCCCGTTGTATATTCGAGCAGTTGTACATTGACAGAGGATTTCTTGCTTCACCAGAGGATCCAATGAGAGCAGGCTAGTCTATACCGGCCTGTCCCAGCCGGCTGGGGCCTTGACTCGTAGCCGTACCTTTCCCTCCTTCCTCTAACCAACTTGTTCTAAGACCTTGGCGAATTTGATTGTAATGTGATGTATTCTGTGTTTCCTAAATACATGTTGTGTAATTTCTAGGGGAAATCAGCTGTATTTGCTCTCAATTCCTGTGTAATGACTGATTCTCAGTTAATGTTGATTATGGTAAAGTCACAAATTATAATTATCCATGAGTATTCTTACATCATCTTGAAAATAAATAAATAAATAAATATATATAATGATGATAATCTCTTAACACTTTTTAACTACGGTATCTTTAAATCTGATAACCTAAGATCTTTGGTTCATTTCTTGACTTATGGAAAGGAAAAGAGTGAAGAGCTCTGAATATTACTTACTGAAGATAATGACTTTGATTTACATAGTTGTAATATCTTTAACTGTTAACATTGATTATAATATCTGTAAACAGAGAAGAGTTCCCCTCCCTTGTCTTGTAAACATTCTGAATGGATGGTGGCAGCTCTACCTTTCTAATTTTCCATCTTCCTCTATCAACTTTATCTACTCTAACTCATTCTAGCTCTTCTTTCTACTCTATATATATCCATCCACCTCTATCCCTATGTCTCTCTTACCAAGTCTACCTTTCATCCCATTTTCTTTCTAAACTTTTTCTTTCACTGACTACTCTTCCTCACTCTCCATCCACTCACCTCACTCTATGCTGTTCTTCATTCTGTTTAATTTCCTTATTCACTACAAGATTATAAGCTCTGTTTTGAGATTTATTTGAAAACAAAATCAACTGATTAAAAGTATTTTGCCCTTTTAGAAGTTGTGTCAACTACCCAAGTGTCTTGTAATAATGGCAAGTTGCCATTATTGGCTTTGTTCTCGTCTCAATCGGGGATCCTGGATTAGATTCCCAGGGAAAGGACAGAAATGGTTGGGAATGTTTTCTTTTGTCTAATGCCTCTGTTCACCTAGCAGTAAATAGATGCCTGGGAATTAGGCAAGTATTGTGAGGCTGCATCGTGGGGATAGTCAGTAGTTCAACCTCGGGGGGGACTTTATTACAAGCCTAAAGTATATATATATACAGTACTGCATATATATACACAAGTTTCTTATCCCCAACAAAATGAATAATTGATTATTAAATCTTAATCAGAATAATTATGTAAGTCATAGGAAAGTACTGTACAGTACTGAATATACAAATTTAAGTTGTATAATTAAAATATTAAGGATTTGTGACACTGCATTTTTGGCGGGAAAATTCAAATCTCAAAATGCAGTTTTAGGATGTTCCTATATTTTAAAGTTTTTAGGAATTTTTATGAAATTTGGTATAATATACTACTTGGCAGACTACACATTTTAGGTAAAAATCAACAATGTGAATGGATTGAAAATTATAATACAGTACTGTACTAATAAATTGAATAACTCCTCACAATGACAGTGTAAGTGAAAAGAAAGATATTTGGTTCTCTTGATGAGGACTTTATCAAATGAAGCATTGTGTATAGGAGAGAAATCAGTGTAATAATACTGAACTTAAGAATGCAGATATTTATTTATTTCCTTTTCTTTAATGACAGGACTGATTAACAACATAGTATTATTTACAATGTACAGTAATAATAAATAAATCTACCAATAATAAAAATGGCAATAAATTAATTCAAAGTTGAGTAAAGAAATACAGTACAGTATAGTATTTGCAGGTACAGTATATAGATTAGCACTGTCAAGTCCGACAATTGTAAAGTAATACACATTATCTGTATGCACAGATATAATTTTTAAATAAAAATGTAATTAGAAATTTGATTTGCCTTCTTTTAGGTGCAGCCAATTCTCAAAAAGGTCGGAAAAGGCCCTACATGGACAATGGTGCTTATGCAGGATGCTCTGGTCCTCACCTTTATCCTGCTGACTGTTGCTGCATGTCTCACCCACTCATACACTCTGGCCGTATTTGCTGGTATGGAGGCTTTTCAATCTATATTAGTCTTCAGTTTTGACAAATTAACTTCTCCGTATTTTATTTTTTTGGGAATGCTAATGCATTGGTGGTAGTATGGTTGGTCGCACATCCCATGGGACTAAAGTAGTGCCCCATCTTCTGCCAAGGGATGTTTTTCTTGGCTTCACTTGCATGACACTGGCACTCTGCTTTATATCTTGAAGATATATGAGAAGTGTTAAGTCTGCAGACACTAACAATGCTCTCTTCTGCCATGTGAGGGATTCTAATCATCCCATTGATTGGTCTTCCTCCAAAATAATCTTTCCTGCCTCTACTCTACACAGACGCCATCTTGTAGAATCGGCTCTTATACACAATGTACCCAACATGAACTTGAGTCCTGGCTTTGTTGCTGTGGACTCTTCCCTTTCACAGTATATACTCAAATGCTCTAATCTTTCTAACAAACGTGACTTAACATAAGCTTACCCCTTCCATTTATCTTTCTTTTTTTCTCTTTCCTTTTTTTTCTCTCTTCTCCCTTTTTCTGTGCATTGTCTTCTCCTACGCTCCCTTGCTATCCTCTTCTTATTCCTATTACTATCTCCTTCGGTAGTTATAATAGGAGCTGCCTCGTATGGGCCAATAGGCCTTCTGCAGTTCTCATTATTACTACTATCCCCTACACCTTACTTTCCTCCTCAGCTCTCTCTTGCCTATTTATTGCCTGTCCCTACCTGTCCTCATCACAATCGACTTGAGAATGGTCCAGGACGGACCGAAACGTCGTCGTCCCTTCAACTTCTAGTGTGTGGTCTGGTCAATATATCTTGAATTTTCCTATTTTCCTTGATTTCTATCATTTGATGATTCATTGGTCTAACCTGTCACCATGCCATGCCAGATGACCGGTTGTCATCTGGCATAACATGGTGATTTTAAAATTTAACAGATTTTTGACATTGACGGCTCCAGTGGTTCCTTCAGTTTATAACTCTGTGGGTGAAAAAGAATCTCCTGTTTTCAGTTCTTCATTGTGGCTTGTTGAGTTTGAAACTGCTGCACCTTGTTTGTGTTACATCACAAACAAGTAGCAATGGTTTTATTTGTGAAAGACTTAGTAAATGGAAACAAAGGGAAAGTAATGGTGGTGACTAGAAAAGAAAAGGAATGCAAATTTTATATGTACTAAAATCAATTATACTGCATCTCCTTTTGTGTACGGATACAAGATACTTAACAAAGCAAGCATGAAATATAAAGAATTGGAATAGTGAAATAGATAAACCAAAAAATTATACTTTTTTTTAAATCGTAAAAAACCCTTTGTACCTCTTAGACCCTTCTGTACCTGCAGTGGAGTTCTGAGTTCTGATTTTTATATTTTCTATGAGCTGCTACAATATGTAGTGTGGAAGCTACAGTATATGAATAGGGTCTCATTTTGAGCTTGTTGTACTGTGTAGATATTGCTCACGATAGATGAAATGTGACAAAATTGCCAGTTAAGAATTTCTGTTTCAGGTATTGTACTTGGAATGACCGGAAACTGTGCACACAACTTCTTCCATCAGCGAGATAACTGGCGAATGTATTACTTCGATCTGCTTCTCTTCTCTTCATATGATTGGCGGATTAGTCATGGCCTGTCCCATCACCTTTTTCCAAATACGATATATGACATGGAAGTTTCTGCACTCGAGCCAATTTGGGAGTTCTTCCCAAAGCCAGACAAAACCTTCATGCAAAGATATGGTTTTTATGTATATGAGCTCCTCGTTATACCTATAGGTATGTTCATAGAAGTTATTAAAAGAATGTGTCATAATTACACTGGAGAGCTTCGACTGCGCCCAGAAAATCTACTGCCCGTTGTTGAATTAATTGTGATGATATTATTTGCTGAATCTGTTGGAATGGCTGTGAGGTACGTTAATATCTTTACACATTATTGTACTAATATATTCTTGGACTTTCAGAGCATATAATTATAGTACTAATAATTTTAAGGAATGTATTTCATAAGTACAGTGACAATTGCTTTTAAGATTAAATCGGATAACAAAAATTAATAGCCAAGACAAGACAAATATTTAAAAATCTGGATCGGGTCCGGAACAATATGATGTAGATTTTGGAGGTTGTGGAGTGTATTCTGGACTGCCTCACATTGCAATATTTTCTATTTACTAGTTGCATTTATAGAGAAAAGAAATGATTCCAGCCATGTAATTGAAATGTTTGGCAAGCAACGTTATTGTAGTACATCACAGTAATGCTGCCTTTACTTTGACTTTGAACAATTTCAATAACTTTTGCTCTAATTTTTCTTAAGTGAAAGTTTGATACTATTTGGTGTGTTGTATGATGAGTTATACACATGTGTGAAGTACATGGTTTGTTTATTTTATTGTCACAGGATGTGGTTGGTGTTGCACATGGCTTGCAGTAGTTGGTTTTTTATCATTGGATTGATAGCTGCACATCACCATCCAGACATATATCACCACGGTGATGCTGTAAGAGAAGATAAAGATTGGGGACTCCTCCAACTTGATGCAGTCAGAGACCGGTAAGTTGTAAATATTTTTCTGGCAAGGACCCATCATTAGCTGACCGAGCTCATCATTAGCTCCCAGAGCTCATCATTAGCTCCCAGAGCTAATGATGAGCTCCATTACCACCAAGACAGTCCAGCATACCAGGCCTCTATGACCATCTGTCACCTACTGGGAGCACAAATTAGAATCTTGCCCACTCTGAGGCAAATGAAGTGGAAAAAAAGAGATAATTACAAAATAAGAGAATCACAAAGAGGCATAGATGCAACAAAACAAGTGAGCACTTCAAGGAAATTAGGCACCCCTGGGGTAAACAAGGAAATGGTCATTCCTGCAGGGTAAATTCCTTTGCTGCAATGCATATAATCACTGCCAAATTCAAAACAGTATGAACGTAAGGCATCTTGCCCTAAACTGCTCAATGACAGTGTGTCTAGTAAAAATGTTTTTAATTTGTAACAGTAGTTTTTGGTAACAAACACACAGTATGGTAGCTAAATATAGCATATATTTGATGCAACTTGGTTACAGAAGTTGGTGATGAATAGTATTTTGACATTGACAGGTTGAGCCATAGTGCATTACTGTTGAATGCTGGTAGTGGTAGAGGCATCTGCTCAGGCAGTTTGTCGTATATTCAAAGTGTTGTTGTTCTTAACATCTATGGAATGAGTTTGGTTGCTGCCTTGATTTGGCAGCCTAACATTCCCATCCACGTGACCATGTTTCTAGCTCCAGCCTGCTTGTAATTTGGTTGATAGGAATTATTGTTTTGCTTCCGTTTGATCTTGTTAGAGGTTCCTGGAATGCCTGGGAAGATGTTGCAGTGGTATTTGGGGTTGCTGCAGGTTATCATTTCAAGTATGTGGGATTTCTTGGGAACATGTATTGATATAAATAGTGCATGTGAGATTATTAGGAACCTTTAAGTGTTTGCCATAGAATATAATTGGAATAGGGAGTATCTGCTACATTATTGCTAATGTGGTAACTACAACTTGAGTGATCACTTCTGGAGAGTCCATTTAACATACAGTACTGTACTTTCATTTAGTGGAATTGGCAGAAATGGTTATGATTGAGATCACAAAGTATTATTGTCTTAATATATTTTAATGTCAAAGCTTACTAAGTATCTGCATTGGTACACCTCTATATATATAAGCATAGCTGTGCTGATGAAAATCCCTGATACTAAGTTGCATTTGACTTTGCAACTCCAAAGTGGCAGATTAAAGTATTAGGGGTAGAGGTAGTTTTATACAACTGTCCTTACAGAGTGTCATAGGAGAATGGTACCCACCTTGAGCTCTTAAATTAAGTTAATTCTGTGCCAAATTGGTTTTTGTTTGTAGTTAGTGATACTAACAAATTTAAATCTTGTGGTGATGGTATGAATACTATTAAAAGAAGTTTTTCTCTCTAGGGTGGAAGTGACTGGTAATCTGTTCCTGGTGTCAATCGCGTTTGGTGACCACAGTCTACACCACCTCCTGCCCACAGTCGATCACTCCAAGCTGCCTTACCTCTACCCTGCTTTCCTGGAAACTTGCAAGGAATTTGGCATTCCCTTTAAGCTTGTGCGGCAGTGGGACTTGTTTATTGGCCGATATCAACAATTGGCCAACATTACCCCAAACCCTAACCCTCCAGGATATAAGAAATCATAATCTAACAGAAGCTGATCATCATGACAGAATAGCTTACACCAAATTTATTGGTAAAGACGGGGGTAAGGCAGACCTATTTTCTTAGTTTTAAATGACTCTTTACTGTACATTATGTTGCAGTACATGAGTAAAATGGTGCAAATGTCTTATACCTCAGAAGAGTAAAGTTATTCTAGACTAAGATTTGTTAGTTTGATAAGCATTGGGAATTTAATTTTTAATAATTTATTCATCTGTAATTACTACAGTAACTTAACATTGTATATTTGTAGAAACAAATGGAAATTTTTAAATTATTTTGTGGGGACTTGTATGCTATATTAAAAGTATTTTAAGCAAATCTGTGATCTTTAATTAGAATCAATATTAAGTATACGAAATCAAATTTCAGGCTGTCTAAGAAAATCAATTAATAATTGTGTACACTACTTATGATTATACTGTACTGTACTTCAATATTTAACTTTCACTGACCCTGCGGGCCACCCGCATCACACCGGGAAGTAGGCCGAGCATTGCCGGTGAGCCCACAACCCAATGTTAAACACTCTCTCACAATGTTTATACTAATAATAAGACTAAGCAAAAAATTAATGCATGATGCTGAGAGCATAATCACCCCACTCTGCTTGTTTTGGTTTTATGATGCTGAGAGCATCATCGGGATACCAAAATGTTAAGATAGGTAGTGTACCCACATCATCCCTAACTGAATTGAATAAAATAGCATAGGATTAGATATTGGGTCTGCAGCAAGACACGAGTTAACCAAACTGGACACAGCATGAAAGAGTGTATAATACATTATTTGCACTAGTTTTTTGCACACAATTATTTGCACTAGTTTTTTGCACACAATTATTTGCACTAGTTTTTTTTTTTTTTTTTTTTCTCATTTTATTTAATATAAGGTTGTTCAGGCTTTGGACTTCGTATCTAACCAAAGATACAGGTACTGTAAGTATATCTTTGATAATAAGTTTTTTGTTTAGTTTGATTATTGCAGTTGTATGCTTTTATTATAGGTTTTATTATATATTTGTATATGCAAGATAATTTTGTTTTTAATAAGATATGCATTCAAACATTTGTTCACTCAATATACTGTATTGATAATCTTGAGTGCTTGCCTCTGTGACTACAGATTTCATTCTAGTTCATTGTGCCCGGCCTTCTAGCCATTTATACCTGCTATGCTAATTGTCTCTAAACATTAAAGTTTTCTTCATATATTATTTTTAAGTTGTAGATGTTGTAGATGGAAGTGGCATTGAAAAACCTCTTCATATAATGCATACCACCCATATAGGATACAAGAATTTCCCTGGATTGCTACAAATCAATTGTTATCCCCTCAGGATCTAGCATGTAGTGATCATATCTCGTTTCCTCTCCTTTAAGGATGAATTTCTTCAGCTTGTCTTCATAGTTGAGCCCTCTTAATTTTTGGAATTTGGCTTTAGTTGCAAACCTATGAACTTGGAATTACTTTTGTGCTCTAGGGTTTTGAGTCTGTGCTGGCTCTGCTTACTCAAGTAATCATTTCACATAGGCAGTATACATTAACTTGAAAGCCATCTTGTTAAGAGTCTTAAATGTTCATTCATAAGTTCCCCATGAACTGCTGATATTATCCTGTTCACACAAACTCATATTAAATGTTGCAATTATATCCACTCATAGATTTTTTATCTTATTGTTTCTTGTAGTTGTCTTTTCCTTTTGTAGTTACAAGTCTCCTCTCTCTCCCTTCCCCATCTTCATTACATTACACTTATTTTGATTGGATTTCATCAGCCATTAAACTGCCCACTCCTGAAGTTTGTCAAGGTTTTCGTGTAGCATAAACTCTACATAATCTGCAAATAATATGTAAAAGCTCATTCTGTTAGATCTAATTCTAGAAAACACACTTTCCACTCTTCTTTGGGCTGACATATCCTTTCTAATTCTGAGTTTTTCTATCCTGTTGATCCTGGCCCCCGGCCAGGCTTGGGGAGTAGAACTCCTGAAACCCTCTCTCCAGGTACCTGGTCCAGTCTTTTCCCATTATCCCTGCGTCTCTCTTCATCTTGTGTATCGGCTTTTGTGAGGGACTGCATTAAAAGCTTTCTGGCAGTCTGCCCAACCTTCATTCAATTTGCTTATTTTAGCAACGTTGTAAAGTTATTTAGGCTGGTGAGGCTCCCAGTGGTTCAGGGAGCCACAATGTGCCCGAATATAGTTCCCCTTAAAGTTACTAATGTGAAGGTGCACCACTGGGAGAGTACTTGTGTATAAATCACTTCAGGTATTTTCACATCTTAAAAAATATATATACATATTTTTTTCTCTCTACTCGCCTAGTTGTGCTTGTGGGGGTTTAGCTTTGGCTCTTTGGTCCCTGCAAAGGGGAGCTTTTTTGGTCCTTTGTGTGTGTGTGGTTTTCTTATTACAGTATAGTGTAGACTCATGCCAAAGTGAAATGCAATCCTTAAAATTGTGCAGCTTGTTCTAAATATATCAGATTTATAACACTGATGTATTTAACTCGGTTACTGTATCAGACTGTTATATATGTTAATGTTTAAGTTATATTTATTTCAAATTTGTAATCATTAATTAAATTTAAGAGTAACATTTTAATGGACAATGGCATAACATGCACTTATTAGTGGTTAAGAATTTTAAATATTCGTTTAATAAATATTTATGTATTTGTTGCATTTCCAGTATTTACTACCAAATGCTCAGATTACTATGGAAACTCCCTTCCAAAAATGGCCACAATAGAAAATATCCCAAGTCTGCCATATGCATAACTCACAATCTTGAGTCGGCTTTTCCCCTTCCTCACAAAAACAGCTTAAATGCAACAATGGGGATTACTTGCTCCCTATCCTGGGTGGACAATGATTTGGTTTAGGAGATACTCTTGACCACACTTGGGGACAGGCTGCTTAAATTCTCACTAAATGGTAATGTATAAACTTCTGAAACCACTATCCTAATCAAAGAGATTGCGTGTAACAAATTTAGTTAGCCAAAAGACGGACACGGTAAGGTGCCCTCCAGTTTCACCCACTAACGGAACTGCCCATATCCACTCGATTGGGAAGCGTGCTGCAGTCTTCAGGCTTGGTGCCTTTTTTGATAATCACTTGATAGGGATGAGCGAGTGTTCTGCAGGTGGCGGTCTCTACATTGACGCATACAAATTCTAGCAGTGTACCCACTCCAGTTAAAGACGAAATGAGGTATGCTTCTTCCTATGTTATTGTTACCTTTAATGACCATGTAGATGCTGCTGCTATAGAAACCATTAAGGCATTCCATCTCTCTGCATTTTCTTACTCTAAGAATGGTAGAAATCAATCTGTAATTATTTATGCTGATCAGGTATTTGGCCAAATGTCTGCAAGATTGTCCTACATTTACTTCCTATTCCCTCTAGTGAAAACGTTTGTTCATCAATACTAACATTGAAAACGTATATGATGTCCCCTTATAGTTAATTTAAAGATAAAGAAAGTGACAGCACTCCAGGAGCTATTTGTACTTCACTTATGTTACCCCCCCCCCTCCCCCTCCCAAGAATTTCACCTTGTCATTATTAGGGGTTTGTGTACAACCCCCCTGGGGGCCGGTGGGGGTTGCCTCTGAACATTGCATGCACAAAACAGAATAGACTAAGGCACCTGTTTGGGTCATTGGACCACCCTGCTGGAGGGGTCATCTACAAAGGTTGATTGTGTGTCCAGGCTGGGGGGAGAGGGAGAGACTTCTTTGTACTGGTGTAGGAGAATATACAATGCCACTCCATTAAAAAGGTGGGTGGAGAGTCTTAGATGATACACCTCTTCCTGCACTGGTTACATAACCTTCCCGGTTTGGTGCCTTCTTTTGATAATTACTTACTTATTTCCTGCACTGGCTAGTGCTCAGCCTTCCTTGTTGCCCTGGTAGATGCTATCCTTTGGCACCAGGACCTAAACTTTTAAAACAATGATGCATGGTAACTGAAATGACTTCTCTCACAGGCTTGTGGGGCAGGAGACCAGGCCTCCATATCGGACAGTGATGGAAAATTGGGCTCTGTAGCCCTAGCTACTTGGGCCTAGACCAGGCTTTATCTTTGGCTACTGCAACTTCTGTTCCCCCTCCAAATTCCTTGGCATGGTTGAGCCCCAAGTAGTCACCGCATGGGGCTCAACCAGCCATGGAATTGGGAGGGGGAAGAGTCAGTAGGGGTAGCAAAGCCAGGTCTGGGTCCAGCATAGTCAGGTGTACAGAGTCTGTCCTTACAGCACGATCCGACTAGAGGGCCTGATCACCCACCCCAGGAGTCGGGGGGGTACTGCAGTAGATATAAAAGTAAACTGATTAAAACTGGGCTACCCATCACTCTACCTTACCATGTAGCCTACATGGGAAGCACAAGGGCAAACAACCTCAGGAGTCACCATTGCAGGGCAGAACAGCATCCCAGGTACCGACCCTACAATGGTCACTTGACCCAATCTCTTAATTAGGCAGGGCTAACAAGATGGGCCGAATGATTCAGGTGGGCTGCACGACCTACTGCTTTACCCATCCTCTCAACAAAGCAGTGTGTTATGACCCCCAGGGCTAGCAACTCGTGGATAGGCGTGGCTCCCAGATGGAGCAAAAGGGCGTGCACAGGTTTTCATACATGGACAACATATGGGAACATATTTAGCTTGTGAACCATCACAGCAGGGATGAGAGGAGCAGAAGCTATCCCCTATTACCAGCAGGTGGTGCACAAAAGCCCTCTTACCGCACCGTCCACCGGGGAGAGGAAATAGCTACCAAATTTAACATCTGGCAGAGACTGCTGCTGTTTTTGTTTATATTACAGGACACGGTTAAGTATACACACACAACAAGGCCATACAAAGGTAATGGAGTCAAAAGCAACAGTTGTTACAGTTTCTATATTAAGAGAAAATAAGATTCAGCAGACTATTATAAAGTTGCAATGTGTACCCTTCAGTAAACCCTCCACAAGTGAGCCGAGAATGTTACTACTTACTGTAGTTCCAACATTTAGGAAACAAAATGAATAAGAAAATGTGCATGATCAATTAAAATGAAATGGTATTCAACCATTGAAGACAATATTTAAATCACATAGCTAAAGGCCTTTAGCTTTCTCTATATATTTGTAATGGTCGTTTGAAACCCTTGGGTTTAAACATTTGCCTTTAACTTGGGTTGATGGACAAACAATATTCACTTTTGACTGAAATGGATGTCATAGCAAGTGATTTTTGAAAATCAAATAATCTACATGAATTGATTATATATTACCAGAGAAAATGGCAATTTTACAATGGGGTCCTAAATTTTGATCTTTGGATTTCCTGGAACACACAAATATTTTTAACCGGGCAAATGTTTGTATAAAGTGAAAGTGAAATTACTTTCACTCGTCAACTTCACATTGAAACTGCAATATTTTCAATACTGATAATCACAGCTACAAATATTCAACATAAAATAACTTGTATATATAATATACACTCAGCACATACAGTTAGGAATTTGCATATTTTAACCAAATTCCATACTGTATTTACATCTTTAAAATAATTACCCAAAAATTATATCGGCAATTAAAATTTCATACAAGCATAATCAAGATTTCAGTGGAACTTTTGCACTGTAGCTTGCAAAAATGTTTCAGAAATGTGATTTGATATTCGTTTGGAATAAACAATATTAAGACTTCCTATACAAAAGTAGTGTAATCAATACAATTCTTTAAACTTGGTACAACTACTGTATTTGCCCAACCTTGTAAATGGCAGCAGTCCAGGTATATGGAAGCAAGCAATTTTTAATCACGAAGTGTTTCAAATATTCAGCAAATGTTTGAAGCCTAAACACCTATTGTCTTCCTCCAGCACACACTACTTCACCGATGGCTTTCCAAATCTTAAAAGGTGGAGTAGTGTGACGATTACTCAACAACCTATAAGTAAATCACTTTATGAACAAGTCATTATTTTACCCACAACAATCTTTTTCTTTGCAGCTAGTCTTATCATAGAATGGAATTTGCTGCTCTACTAAGGCCAGTAATCTTGTCACTTGAAGTAGGCAAATAACACCTTCCACCTACTAAGATCCACCCACAGCTGCACTAACATCATGCAAGGCTCCTCAAGTGTAGTTGTTTACTCCTTAGCAGTACTGTTAAGATAAAAAATAAACTCCAAAAAAGATTTTATTAACAATCGTGTTTGAAAACTGAATGTATCAGCACTGTCTCCCACTCCAGACTATCCCCCTCCCCCCCAACAGTCCTGTAATCATTTCTTCTTCTTGCCCTTCCTCTTGCGCATATCAGACATCTGTTGACCACCAGACTGACTGCTCCCTGAAGCATAGTTCTTCCCAAACTTCTCCTTACACAAGTTGTTAAAGAATTCCTCTAAATCTGGATCACTGAAATTAAAGGTCAATTGATCATTTAAACAATCTACCACTAGTTGAAATAATTAAATTCTCAAATGCCTATGGATAGTAAGGAACAAATTTTTGCAATTAAGATACATTTATTCACAGTTTAAAATAGCTGGTGAACCCAACAAATGGTGAGAACAAACCCTTGTGCAACTCTGGTCACTTATCAAAATATTGTATAATGCTTTTGCACTACTAGAGTAAGCTCTCCCACCATCTTTTGGTAATGTTGGGTACTAGGGAGAATAGCCCACCTACCACATTAGCTCCACAATTAGAAGTCTTATCACATTATAACACTAAATTCATGTTAAGTAAAAACCAAAGTATCAAGGACACATACTCATAGAATGCAGAGGTGTTCATGTTTATCTAAAACAATGAAACTTTAAATATGACAAATTAATTTAAATTTTGTGAAATACAAATTCATTTCTACAAATACACAACCTTCCACATAAATCTATTGTTAAATTATTTAAGACTGGAAAGAGCACCTAAAAGATTTGTCAAAATTCCACATGTTAGTTTAGCTAACAAAAGTGAAATAGCCAAAATTTACCCGCTTGAAGAAAAATAAGCATAGTGATGAAAGCTTTGTGAAAGAGCCATTCGGAGAAATTAAACAGAATACCAAATGCCACTGAAGACTAACTGTAGCCAAAGAATCAAGTTCAGGGAATTTTGCTTTTAATTAATTAATACGTTTTATGTATTAAACATGCTGCAATAAATGCAATCAGATGTTACTCTTGTCTATAAAGGCTAAATGAATATTTCAGTTGCTACCGAGTATCGTCATCTGAGGAGCAGCATCCCCAGAACTCGCTTCCACTTAGGGAAATTATCTCCTAGATAAGCTTTCTTTATACAGTATATTTCTGCAAGCTACTGAAGCAGCTCTTAAACATGTAATGACTATTATGAGCCTTGCTATCATTGAGGATGATATTGTATATTCAAAAGTTAAGAAAGTACCTTCACACAAGTATACACATGCAAAGCAGGTAAAAAAGCTAAATATCAAACTTAATAATTTCATGGAATAAGGAGTACTCACTGCAAGCACAATGAGTGTTCAGAAAATGCAACAGCCCACCATGCAGCTGGAATGTAGCCGAAGGAAAGAAGCAATACAATTATTACAAACCTTGTAAATTCAGGCGTATTGTTTTTAGACGGTGGACTCTTTTTGCCAGAGACAATGCGATACTGAACACTGTGGGTGTTAGCTTGCAAATGCTTCAGATTTTCACTTTGACATGCCGCCCAGTCACTAATGTCATACACAGCACCTTCCATACACGCATAGTACTTCCACCGAAGACCTAAAAAAGTGCTCTCTGCCCAGATGTCGCCCTAGGAAAAAAAAAAACAGGTTTCAAGTCATTATGATAAAATATATAATAAACTAAATGGTACATTTTAAAAGAAAAACTTGACTTGACTTGCCATAAAGTATACCGACAAGGACTACCAAATTATTACCAGTAGTCCCCAACTTACTACCGGCGTGCATTCTGAAAAGGTGTTCATAACAGCCACATTTTCCAGAGGTGTAATATGATCAATGGTGGAAGTGTTCCTGGAGCACCAACAATCAATATGAAACCTACTTTTAGGGAAAAAACAATAAGCTATTTATTTACCTTGAATAAAAGAATGATCCTGCTAGTCAGATGTGATGCAATTTGAACATCAACGAAGTATAAATTACTGGAGGAGGTGGTAGGAGAAGGGAAGTACAAGGAGAAAGTGCCAAGCCATTACAACTATAGCATCTTGAGGTTATCTCGAGATGATTTCGGGGCTTAGCGTCCCCGCGGCCACGAGGCCTCCTTTTTGTTACACACACCCCAGGAAGCAGCCCGTAGCAGCTGTCTAACTCCCAGGTACCTATTTACTGCTAGGTGAACAGGTACATCAGGGTGAAAGAAACTCTGCCCATTTGTTTCCGCCTCCACCGGTGATCGAACCCGGAACCTCAGGACTACGAGTCCGAAGCGCTGTCCACTCAGTTGTCAGGCCCCTATGTCAGGCCTCAGCATTTGGAAGAGATTAAGATAAAGATTTTGGGATGGGAGAATGGAATGGTGGCCAACCACTTCAGACAGTTGGGGATTGTATGCCGACCTGCATGAAGCGAGACCATCGCTCTACCGTCCAGCCTGATTGGGTGGGTAGAGGAGGAGGTAGTAAAACGTTGACACAAAAGCACTGATGAATCACCAGCACATTTCTTTATCTAACCATTACTAAAGGCACTTTTCCTCAAGAAACAACTGAAATTGTGCATTATGAGCACTATTTGCCATATGCTGACTTCACAACTGGTTTGCATAGGACATGGGGCAAAAAAATGGGAACATTGAGGCTACTTGTAAGTTATATGTTTGTAATTCTGTACTAAACCCACGCACATAAGGATGATTCCTAAAATTACTTGGCAAAGTAAAAACACAGAAATCAGCCAATGATGATATTACCAAGTAACCTTGGTATATCTCACTTGGAGGTGTGGATATAATGTTTAATTTTACTGTGTCCTATTTATTTTGTATCTGCTTTCTATACATTTATTTACTCATTTTATATAGCTCATCTTCCAGGAATTACAAAACCCCATCTTAAGAATTCTATGTCAATGTCAACATTAATACAACTTCCCATGTCAAGTGCTTTACTCTCCAATGATTGATGCCATGCTAAGAACCACTAACACCATACAAAATTTCAAGGACTTAGATGATGGTAGCTATGAGAAATCTAATACAAATACTTAACTTGAAAATGATTTCTCAGAATATGATACCTGTATAAACATTTCTTAATCTCACATGGCCAAACTAAAGTTACACGAATCATTTTGGTATTTTCCCGACATCTGACAACAATATTTTACAGTAGAGTATAGAAAGAAAAAAAAGAGTAATTTTGTTATACATACTAGGAAATTTACCTAATTTGGGGTGTGCAGCTAGGTTACGAAACTAGGGTTCAAATAACGCCCAAAACATCAAATTCACCTGAATAAAACAGTGCATCTACATCCCATATGTCATCCAGCAGCAACACTGCACCACAATCTCACCTCTCTAGCTGCATGGTGTATCTGGCACTCTGCACAATGTCTGGCTGCATATATAGGCCTAGGAAGTTTAACACGACGATGCCTCTTGTTACAATTTGTACAGCGTATGGTATTGGCCGCTTCGTCCAGCTTCTCTTGAAGTCGAGTCAAGAGAGATGCCAGCTCCCCCCATGCACCTTCTAATTGCACTTCTTCCGCAAGACGAGCATCATACTCACGTCGTCGTTCCTAGTAAGTAGATTATTGTTAATTAGTCGCCTATTACAGGCTTGCCTGCCATTACCCCCTTAGTCAAATCTTAGGAGGACACAAACACCACTTCCAAACAGGGCAGAAAATCAGTTTTTGTATTGCGAAGTTTTAAACCACAATACTGTACTGTATTAGACATTGTTTTCTTTTAATAATGTAATTTGTTATTTGTTCAATATTAAAAATAAAATATTTTGAATGCATTAATGACGCACGGATATTGCTATAAACAAAATGCTATAGATTACTATATTAATTAGTATTTTGGCTCTTTGACAATCCGCCGACTTCCTGTCCTCGTTGAGGCCGCTACAGTTTTAGTGGCCCCCGGGTAAATCCTTTATATGAATCCTTTCAATCCTTCAGTGACACCAGCCATATGTGTAATGTGCGTGCATGTAACCAATAAGTTAGAGGAGCTCTATGTAAGGGTACATGAATCCAGCTAAATATAAATAACTAGTAAGAATCATAGGATTCATCATGCAGTCTTTTCAAGGAGCTATCAAGTGATCTGATGAGAGAAGAAATGAGGGTTGGAAGGGAAGTGATACTGCTATTAAAAATGCAATCTAGCTTCGGAAAATTCCCTATGGAAAAGGGGAATAATCAACAGGACATACACATTAGTAATAGTGTTCATTAGGTCATTTACCATCAAACATTTCACAGGAGATAGCCGAGAGGAGAGTTCCATCAGTGAAAAAATTGCTTATCAGTCATTGAGGGGGGGGCCTCACTGGTGACTAAGTGGATTGAAAACTAATCTTGTAAAACTTTGTTTTTAATTAATAGGAAAGTGTCTAGGTAATGAGGGCAGTGTTTACAGGATATGCATGTACTCTAAACTACTGTACATGTACTTGTTAATATCACTTTATTCATCTATTTCTCATCAATTTTTATAATATTGAACAAGGGTGTTCTTGCACACTTACTGGTTCCCCTATTATTTCGAAGGCATGCGCTAAGATTTTAAAGGCCTCTTCAGCCCCAGGTTGTTTATTTTTGTCAGGATGTACAAGAAATGCTTGCCGTTTATAGTACTTCTTGATGTCTTCGTCTGTACATTCTTGAGTTACGCCCAAAATGCTATATGGATCTTTCCCTTTACACGCCAAGAGACGCTTCATCGCTTCATCACCCGTCGTAGGCAATGATATGTTGCATTCTAGTCCTCTTGGAACCTTTTTTTCTCTACCTGCATAAAATAATTAAATTAATTTATATTCTATAAAATAGTCAAACATTCTTTGAACAGGTAGGAATAGCCGATGAATGCAGATCGGGTAGGTAGAAGGGATATTAAATAGGGTAAAGCGAGACAAGAGTTCCATTCACCTGCGCTCTAGGAGACTCCAAGGACCCAATACGTGCGAGGCAGAAGCTCTATTTACTCCTAGAGCTCAGGTGAATGGAATATTTATTTCCACGAAAGTGTGGATGACAATTTGTTATGAGAAGAGAGTGGAATTACAAATTTTAGAAAGAGAAAAGTGAGAATATGCACAGGTGGAAAGAGCACGTGAGTAATGGACTGAGTTACAAGTATCGTACATAGTAATACTGCACTTGGAAATGGATAATAAAAATAATTACATAATTAAATATAAGTTTATATATAAATATATATATATATATATCGCCCACTACAAGGAGCCAAATTTGGGCAAGTTTGACAATCATTCAATGGTAACAACTTTAACGTGCTAGAAATTTAACTACTGTATCAAGAAACAAAGTCATCAAGTTCCACTTTACCAGGTATCTTCTTCTCTTCCTTGTTATTCTTCCAAACTGCTGAGGTTAATTTACTCCAGTAATAATATGCAGTGGTCTTAACAGAGGTCCAGTACTCCAAGAATCTGGCCAACATCAGCATCATGAGGTGAACGAAGAGACGCGAGCTCATGACGACCACGTCTGTGGCAAGAGTCCCAAGCCACACTGCCGCCTGCACCACCAAGCCTACCCACTGTACTGCCACTGCCCAGCCCTGTGCTACAAGCTCTGCCAAAGAATGGGAGTATTACTGATATGTTAAATCATTAGTCTCAAATTTTCAAAGCAACAACAAAATGGTACAAGAAAAAATTTGTGGTAGTAGCAAAATAAAAACCATATTAAAGTAATCACAAGACTGTGATGTATAATGGGAAAATATCAAAATCGTACAATGGGATCTATCCGTGTGTGTGCCAGTGTCCAGGGATATGGGTTCAATCCCATCATACAGCTTCAATATTTTCTCAATACTAGTAATATTAAAGTAATTCACCTCGTATCCACACACATGGGAAACAAGACAAGACCTAATAATCAGTATCAAGGAAACTGGTCAACCCTCACAAATTAACAAATTGAGCAGAAATTTTAAGGGTACTTAGAAGAAATGTGCTGCTCCACTTAGTCCAGAAATGTTTTACACATGTTATAGTAGATTTAATGTTTTGTTGTAGATTTTATTAAATTAAAGTTTCTACAGTGGAGTTTAGGAGCGAGCTTTGAGCTTCACTGAACAATGTTTTCGACAGAGTCACCAACTGATTATATATCGGGACAAACTGCTAATGGGCAAAAGTTTGATATGCATTGCCGGTGTCTGAAAAGACAATTATTGCAATATTCATAAATATTTTTACAAATTATTCAATTTACGATTAAATTCATCAACAATATAGCCAGTGAAAAGCAGACGTGCCACAGGCACGATCAGAGAATACTGTCTGAACATCAGAGGTCCACAGTTGTTCAATATCCTCCCAGCAAGTACAGTAGGAGCAGCAGAGAAAAAAAATTGCATAAAGTGTCACCCATATCATCCACAAATCAGAAGCAGGTTACCAAACACCAGAAGGAATATGATTTGATCCACCAAACAAAGCAGCAGGCATAAAAAGCTCTCTGTTTTACATGCACGTAAACATTATGATTACTTTAACAGGTACATTAAACACTTGCCCATACCTGAACCCGACTGGTTAAGCGATGTGTACTTCCGCTTTCTGGGAGGTCGTTTGGACTGATTTTCTCGATTTCTATCGGGTCTATCACTCCGACCATTAGTTGCCGTTTTACTACGTCCACCAGGTCGACTTCCAGCAATAATGCTGCAACTTGCATTATCTATAACATAAAAAATGGGGTATTTAGAAAAAAATTTAATGGTTTAAAAATTAACAACAAATTATCAATGACATAAGTCAATATTTTATGCTCAAATTATATTAGATGAACATTAATAGCAGGCTCATAATAAATGCTCATAGGAATCCAACGGAGCTGCAACAGACAAGGAATAAAATACTTCTGGATAAAACAAGACAATAGCAGCTGTGAAAGGACAGTCAACCAAGTTTGTTAAGCATAGCGAGAGGTACCGAGCCACATTATTTATTTGTCTTGCACCATTCTCATCTAAAATAGTATTAAAAAATCAGCAATAGCATTTATTCCCATTTTAACTGCAACAACATGTATTGTGTGCATTAGTGTGTGCATTACACTTCGATTAACAAATATGAAGTATTTTGGTACTTAAAGAAGACCAATTCAATAAAAGCAAAAACAAAACATAAGCAAAACTCGTCAATATCCTTCCACATACCTGTAACAAATTCTCTTGTATCACACCTTATACCAAACAAGAGAAAATTACAATACCATCTTCATTGTGCTCCGGAGTTACACTCCCACTACTCCTCCAATGCTTAACCCCAACTGGATGGCTCCTCTTATACTGATCACAAGAAACTGCAGATTTTCAGCTAGACGTCCAGGACTAGAGGCACACGAGTGGGGAGGGAGAGTAATATGCGCGGGAACAAGGAAGACAGAGGAAGTAGAGACGGAGAGAAAACAACGACAAAGGGAAAAGGAATGCAGTAGAGAAGTACACAAGATGTAGAATAAGCATGAAAGAATAATGACAATCAGCAAGTAAATGAGTAATGGAAGGTACGAAGCCTCTCAAGATAATGGAACTACAAATTGATCCATCACAAAATCTCGACACCACTCGAGATGTCTGATGCTCTGGGCTCATGTAACCCAAGAACCTGCCGTTTCCATGACGAGAAGACTGTTCTCTGGGAATCTCTCAATTCAAAAAGTGATGCATCAATAAAAACAATGATTTGAGAACATACAGTTGCAAGGTACATTACTGAATATCACAGCTAAGCAATGACCTAAAAATCTCCAAGTCAAAGTGTGATGCATAAAGATCAACTTTGAGAAACCAAACTTATAACAAAAATGAGAACCCAAGGAGCATTAAGTGACAAAAACTATTATAAATGTAAAAATGTTGAATTTTGCCCAAGAGCTTCTATTATTTGGAATATTCTTTGCATTAAATTCATGCCAATAAGGCAATAAGAGATTATTTGGATATTAAGAGCAGTTATGTTACATGATACATATTTGCAGCATGTAGTTGCAACTTTCATGTGTGCCACAATTCTCTTAATTTTTAAAATGGAACCATTTTTAATAAGGCACTAACAGATAATCTTATATCTCCTGTTGCAACATATTTGGAAAAACAAAAAAGGAGCAAGATATATAGAATAGTCAACTAGACTAATGCATAAATTAGTTAATGTATGAAGTTTCTTATTAGCCAAGAGTAATAAAATGCCATCTGATTAAATGAAACTTTTAAATTAAATATATTTTTGGTACATACTGAAAAAAGTAAAGGCCAAAATTTCTAAATATACCATGCAATTGTTCAAACTTTTAATACCATTTTCTAAACCAAACCCAAGTGAGGCAGAGACTCGGTTGTTACAATCGACTTGATAATGGTCCAGGACGGACTGAAACGTCGTCGTCCCTTCACATTCTAGTGTATGGTCTGGTCATCACCCAGTTGTTACACATCAGAATCTTGCATGCTATAAGCCTTGCTTTTATGAGGTCTAAGCACATCCAGCTTAATTGAAAATGGAACGTGACTAATGGAAAAAATAAAAGCAAAACCAAAATCCCCTTACCTTGAGTCTTTTTATCTTCCTTGGGTAGGTGTGAAATTTTGATCTTGTTCCCGTCACTGCGTTCGCTGTCATTGTTGTTATTGTTGCTGATGTTGTTATTATTATTGTTGTTGTTGGTAATGGTGTGGTTGGTAATTAGAGGGACAGAGGCATTGTTTGTATTGGGAATGGCTGCTGTGGGATTAAATGTCGCTTGGGAAGTAGCAGTGCTAGCAGACGTGGTTGAAGACACGCTTGGTACCGAGGATGGGCTGGTAGAATTCAGGATGTTGTTGATGTACGTGGTTCGTCTGATAGAAAAGTAATTGCCAAAGTATAAATTAAACATTACTGGCAATGTTTTATGTAATCATATAAACAGGCAATCATCAAACAGGCTACAAAAGTTGCAATCTATTCAGAATGCTCAACAAAGTTTTAACAAATCCAATTTTCCACAACTTCCTAAAACACCTACTGTATTATATACATTGAAGGCAAATGAATATTCATGAATATATTCACCTTCGACAAGCCGCTAGCTTCCTGTCCTCGCCAATGCCACTAGTGTTAGTACCTCTCGGGTAAATTCAGGTAAATACAGTATTTATGTAATTTTCACCATATGGTACTTTATGGCCATTTTGTGGTAATTTTTACTCTATTCATTAATATAGAGTACCGTAACGACCTCACACCACAGCCAATAAGCCGAGACGTACCTGTACTCAAAAGAGGTTAAGAGTTCCACAGGAGGTACCAAAACAAATCCTCGCAAACCACTGAAAGCGTAAAGTGGGAAGACAAACCTCCAGAAATATGACTACTCCAAAGCACTGAATGTGACAAAAATTAAACCCGAGGGGGGAGCAGACAGACAAGACCAGACAAGCAGGACACCACTACCTCCAATTCTGAATCCTTAGCCAAGCTGGGAATCCAGGCCATCAATATGCTGAGAACCCCTAACATAAGCAAACCTAACTCGCAAAGAGGCAGCTGCCTGAAAAGTATCCAAGCTCGAAGCTGAATTAGTAAGGGCAGACCCAGTGAGAACACATCTCACAGGACTCACGGTCATAGGGGTCAGTGAACACAAGCAGCATGGTGGAGGCAGAAAGAATGAACATCAGGTAGCAAAGACAGTGAACACCCTTCAACCTCACATTTGGTAAGGTCACTCACGCCCTGCACCTCTGTGAGGGGAAGGTCAGGTTCTGGCTCTGGTCACTGATTCAAGTTAGTCTATCGAGATAATAAAATAGATCACAAAAGGATGGAGTAGCTAGGCTGTTAAAGCTATGCTCATGGTAGACCACACAAAACTTCCATGATTGATGTGACCTGCTCCATACTATATTGCTCCATACTATAGTATGGAGCAATCTCAGCAAGTGTGTTTAAGGAGCCACTGGGAGCTGCTCCAGAAAATGGTGCATAGTTTGAGGGTTAAACAAATGGGGTTCACAAAGACTCAACCACACAAGTCAAACTAATTTATATAGATACTATACCAGTATAACAAGTTACTGAACAAATTCAATGTTTCAGTAGATGTAACCAAATCATTTAACCAAAGATTTCTTGAACTTGGGCACATTCAGGAAGAAAGTGAAGGTTTGGGAGCCAGGGTTTGGCCAAGTTGTCAAATGAGTATTTTAAACCTCATTCAGTGATAACATTATGGAAAAAAATTACAATTAAATACCATTTTGAGTACAGTATTCTAACATTCTGGGGTAGACAATGTTTCTCCACTGCCTCCACATTACTTTATATGACCCTGGAGGGATCTTTTGAAAGACCTCCGGTGCTAGTGCACGAGTGTAATCCTGCACAACTGTTCATGAATCGTGTTTGTGTAACAGCAGATTCCTACCTTAGGTAGCTGCCAAATGTTGTAGCTCAAAAATGTAACACGATTGTCTAAATATGATTACAATAAAACCTGCTTCCAAGGGCCTGCTTATCAGCCCATAACTATCTCATCAAGGCTACAGCTATCAGAACACCTACTTAAAGTGAATCAGTTTATCTTAATACAGTATGGTATATTATGCTGCTTCATGCACTCATGTGCAAAATATGCTACTTCAGTTAGTTTATCTAAAATTACGTACACGTCATTTTCTAGATGTCGTGTTCCTTTCATGTGAAACTAAATGACAATAAAATCTTACTACAACATAAGCAATCACACTAACATTACCAAATTTATTGTTTCTCACTATTCATTGTGGGAGGAACAATAATGAGTATTTTCCAGTATCAACAATTACATTAATAAGACCACCTTAAACTACAGTAGTCATCTTTCACACACTGTTCTGGCTTCTCTTTCCATTCACCTCAATGTGATATTGTTTAAATACATGTACAATACAGAACTGTATTTGGATTGTATTTTCAGATGATCAGATTGCATGGAAAAGCTATTAACACTGAAATGTAGGAACAGAACCCAAGAAGCAGAGTAAATAACAAAGTATGGGCTAATGTACACTACTGAACTATGGGTAACTAAGTGAATGTAAAATGGATTTGGGATACAACCATTTCAACGACACTTTCTAAAATACCCACCGGTATATTTGAGACAACCTACATGCAAAATTTGCCTGTACATAGCTGAATGACTTCCTTATATGACATCTCAACTTTAAGTGGTAATTCAACATGGTAAGCCATGCAAACAATTTTAACTTTTTTTTTTCCTCTGTAATACCAATTATTTAACGTGGCCCCTAAAATAACTCGCATTACATGCTGCTTCATCCATGAAAAACAGCAAGCTATCACAATCGACTTGAGAATGGTCCAGGACGAACCGAAACGTCGTCGTCCCTTTACATTCTAGTGTGTGGTCTGGTCATCAGCAAGCTATCACATAAACACATGAAAATTCCATAGTTATTTGCATAGTAATGTAGAGTACTGTATTGCATCGTCTCAAATCTAAAAACAAGACGTGGTGAAAATTTCAAAGAAATTAAAAGTGCTTGCTTACCTAGGTGCCAGTTTGGGTTGTGATGCAGTCACTTTATTATTCAATTGGTCACTACTCTTCAACAGATCCTCATCACATTGGGTACTATTGCCAATCTTCTCTATGCTGTTCTTTTTTAAATCACCTTTGACAGTAGCTTTCTTTGCCTGGTGCAATGGGCTGTTGGTTGATGCTTTGGAAAGTGATGGACCATTTCCAAGGATGACAGTAGGGCCTTCCCCCCAGTCATAATGCTCATAAGCACTAATACTTCCATTACTTAAGTTTCCCTCACTCAGATCAAAATAATCCAAACCAATACGAGATGAGGTGATATGGTTGTCCCCTTTGTTGGCTAGTCTACTGCTGTGACCAACATTGCAAGTACTGCTACAATTACTGATATTACTGCTTGCACTGTTGGTGTTGCGGGGTTTAGTCTTTCCATTGCTGCCTGGTTGGCTGCGCGTCTTCTGTTCAGGACGGGATGTTGTTGGCCCTGGGGAAGGCGACTGTGGAGGATGGTTGGTTATATTACTGCTGCTACTATTGCTGTTGCTACTACTGCTTCGACTGTTAACAGCTGGTCCACTTGTATTTAATTTGCCTTCCTGCACTGGATTCTTACTCAGTACATCAGAGTATGAAGGTTTATTTGCTTTTGTAGGTTGGGAGGCTGTCATCTGTACATTTCTGACACTGGCATTGCACTGAGATGACATGTGCGTCTCGCTAGTTAGTGGGCTTTTCATACTTGTGCCAACAGAGGTTGCCTGAGCCACACATGGAGTTTTAGTCTGAGCATCTGTGAGAATACTACGAAAAGGATCAAATGGGCTAAACCAGCTGCCCAAAGAGGCAGTAAAATTTGAAATTTTTGCAGAAATATTACTAACACTATCTCCCTCCATTATTCTGTCATTTTCATGGGTATAAAAACTGAATTCAGGATGAGGTACTGCTGAAGGTGCAAGTCCCTGTGGATCTCCTTGAAGTGGAGGGGTTCCTGACGATACAGCAGACCCCCTTTGCATTTCCAGGTAAAATGTTGGATCATGACCTCCAACCAGCATACCATCTAAGGAGTCTATGCTTGAATCCATGAACCCATCCATTCTACCATCATTATATGGATTTCCCTGGGCATGGTAATGATTTAAACGAAGTCCTAAATCTGAAGAGGACCTTAAAAGCGGACTGCGTCCCCCATCTCCTTCAGAAAAGATGTCTTGACTAACTGAATAACTTCTTGCTGCCGATCCACTTAGCTGTGGTGCTGGCGGCAGCCCTCCTGGTGCACTTGTAGTTGGAGGCTGAAGAGTCATCTGAGGCCCAATGTTGTGGGCAGATTGCATCGAGGGAATTGGTGACCCAAGGGTGGTGTGTGAAGCTTGCAGAGGAGACAGTGGGGGCCCCAAGCTCGAGAGTTGTGTCTGTCCAGATGTTGTCCAAGGTGGTGTGGCAGAAGGTACAAATCCAGGCTGGTAATGCTGGGAATCATGCTGGGGTGTAAAGTCATTAGTCATTCGTTCCAACAGATGATCAAAGGCTCCATCTGAAGCACCAGACCCATCACGCCACCTCTCTTCACTGCCTGGCATCATGCCACCTGCGACACAGGAAAAGTAATTGTTGAATGCAGCACAGGAAAGGAAATCGGCACTAAGCAATTACATAAATATTCCTCGGGTCAAAATAGGGTAAAGGTATCTTTGCTTAAATATAAGTATGTATTCTAATTACAGCAGTAAAAAGGTATGCAGGCATAAAAAAGACAGTTCCCATAAATTACATAAATCATTATTCTAAATCACTTATAATCACTAACTATAAATGTAAAGTAAAAAAATTAAAATATTATTTGGTAACTCATGGAGTGTTGGAGAGAAATAGAATAAATCCAGTGGTAAATGAAAGATGGTACTGTATTTAATAAAATGTAAAGCATTTCAAATATAACTACTTGCTATATTAGTAGATACTGTACTGAATGATGTACTAAAATTAAAAAAAAAGTTAATTAAAACTAGGTAAAGGTACTCAAGGATCTGTCCCACAAGACACCATCAAAACAACTAATCTTGACCATCTGTTTAGGTTTGCCTGGGTTCCAACCAAATAAAAAACTTTGCAATGTATGCACTGTATTCCTTCATTAGTTTATTTAGGAATCTAAATAAATACAGAATACAGTATTGATAAACCTCAATATCACTATGTAGAGGCATCCCTATTTTGGTTGAGCAGAGTACAAAATGCTGTGTTAAAAAAATATATTTTTTGTATTAAAGATGGCTTTATCAAACTAACATACTCAGGTCTAGCTGTTGTGGAATCACTTGAAGCAGAGGCATTCTCCAGTATCATTCCCTGCATTGTGAAATGGCTTTGCTATGTAGATTATGTTTTCATCACCACACCACGCTGTTTCAACCTGGATAATTTTAGGAATAGACTCGATGAAGAATCTACTTCTGTTATACAGTTTACATTACAATCAAGTCCCACCCTTTCCTAGACACACTAATAATAGAAGATTATGACAAGTTTAAAGTCTACAAAAAAAAAAAAAACTACCTAGAAATGAAAGTGTTTCTTAAAGACAAAATGAGGCATAAGCTAGACTGCACTCTCTTTCGGGGCATTTAGGATTTATGGCCAGATTCTTTGAAGATTAATACCAATACAGCATCACTTCCTTCTTCATCCTTAGATACACTACTGATTTCATTAAGGAATGCGGAAAGTGCAACAAAGGTAATAGTAACACTAACAAAACAGAACCAAACTGACCGCTTATTCTATCAACAGAGCAAAGTGAAATTATCACTATTATGCACAGTAAAGTTAATTCACATTGCACTGATGTGCACAAAATATCCGCAACAATCAACACCAAAGTCAGAAACAAAACAGAAACAAGTTAACTATGGTAGGGATGCACATAAATTCTTGCAGTACTTGGTACTTATTGAGAGAGTAAATGTAGGAGTAACTTCTGAATGCTTGTAAGCAAGGATTTAAGAACATAATCTAAGTACTGTATGTGTGCAATGTCAACAATAATAATGCTTGTCTTTCACTTCACAAACTTAACACATGTTACCTTAATACTTCATTCATCAAAGAAAAAGAAAACCAAATGTTTACAGAACTCCATTAACTCCTTACCTCCCCTTTTTCCCACCTTACTGTATCTAAGTAGCTAGTTCACGAATCTCTCAGGCAAATATGAAGAGGAAAAATCATTTCAATTATGTCGACACAACTTTGAGGATAAATCCTTTAGTCAAATAACCTTGAATGAAAACAGATCAAATTCCACAAATAGAACATTACAAAAGTGCTTGTTTATAATCATTGTATCTACATTGTATCCCATTTCCTTAAGGATATTTGTTAAGACTTTCTTTGAACAATTAGGAGAGGATAACTTCTCTTTGTGAGCCTATCTAGCTGTATCTTTAATGCTTTTCTGCATTCACTTCCCTTCATCTTGTGAGGATTACTTTTTTTCAAATTTCCATTTTAGGGTCCTGGTAGTACAGTCCAGTTCGTTCTCGACGCACAATCGAGAATTCCGGATTCAAATCCCGAGCGGGACAAATGGTTGGGCACATTTCCTTTCACCTGATGCCTCCGTTCACCAAGCAGCAAGTAGGTACTCAGGAGTTAGTCTGCTTGTTGTGGGGTTGCATCTTGGGCAGGGTTTTATCTTGAGGTTATCTTGAGATGTTTTCTGGGCTTAGCGTTCCCGCAGCCCGGTCCTCCACCAGGCCTCCTTTTTGTTACACACAAAAGGTCAAAAAGTCACACTTCCCCCAGGAATAAGCCCATAGCAGCTGTCTAACTCCCAGGTAACTATTTACTGCTAGGTGAACAATAGCATTAGGGTGAAAGAAACTTTTGCCCATTTGTCTCCGTCTCCACCAGGAATCGAACCCTGAACCTCAGAACTACAAATGCAAAGCGCTGTTCACTCAGCTGTCAGGCACCCCACACAGGGTCAGTAATTTGGCTTTTGGGGGGTGGAGGGGGGGAGGACCTCAATAAAAGCCAAACGTGTATGAATACAATCTGGCTTCCTGTCCCCCAACAGTGAATTATGAATTATTTCATGTGGGAGTTTGGCAATTTATTGAATATACTGTACCTGAAGACAATTGGTTGTCATACCCCAACCACACTAACCATGTCAAAAATGCCACCACTAATGCCAGGTTAGAATACAGTACCTAAACATCGCCAAATACTGTGCATTATTCTCAAGAAACTAACAAATGTGTTAGTTAATAAACCATTTCGTGCTAATGATTACAGATTGGTTTTATACAGAGTACAGTACTGTAATGTACTTAAAAAAAAAATACCTTTGATAATTTTGGTCAATTTATCCTGAATGCAAAGGGCCAAATAGTTTTGTATCAGAGGAGCAACCCATAGACATTTTTGCAATGTACAATAATTATAACCGATGGGTTATTTTGAGCCTAGTGCTGGGAGAACTTTAAATGTTGCTACTTCAACATGGATAGACAATTTAAATTCTTACATAGGAAGGTAATTATCGGGAGAAAAAGCCAAGCCATTACGATTATACAGTATAGAACTTGGAAGGAATGGGGATTAGGATTTGGGATGAGACGGGGGTAAGGAATGGTGCCCAACCATTTGAACGGTCAAGAATTGAATGCCAACCTGCATGAAGCGAGACCGTCACTCTACTGTCCAGCTCAAGTGCTGCTCGTATTACAGTACAAGAGAGATTTGATCCTTTCACTTGCCGGTTTTATCTTAATTTGAATTTTAATGCCTGTATAGTTTGTATTTGGAAATAATTTAAATGCTTACACCAGACATGTTTCAAACAAAATTCCAAGGGTTAAGTTTGAAAATCCACAGGTGAGCTGCCTGCTCTACATAGTGGCCTGCATCACTCCAACATGGGTCAGGGCTGACAATGTAAGGAACTAGACACTGCCACTCACAGCCAACTTCAAATTACAAGTAAAACATTACTCATAACATTTTGCAATTGTAAACCGTGAAAAATGTCCCAAAATAACAGCTAAAATAATAAAACGACATTATTGGCGTTTATTATTTTTGTTGTCGGGAAACGACAAACACTTTTGCCCGAAACAACTGCGTAATAGTGACTTATTAGTATGCGTTATTCCTGTCCGTATAATTGTACTTCTTCCTTAGGTTTGGGACACACATTCTTCTGAAGTATTATCATTACATCGTCACTAGCCCCTTCACTCATACTCTAGCATTGGCATCAATTACTCATCATAGAGCACTGTCAACACCAGTTATGACCATGGTGTTGACAGCCAGGACGACCCCACACAACACCTGTCACTGGGGACACAACACACTCTATTAACTCAACATATGACCTTAGCAACATTGGTATAACTCCTGCTGGTGTTGACCTATTAGTGTCTACGAGGGGGGGGGGGTGAGAACTAGGCCTTTAGGCCTAGTTAAGCCTTGTACCTGTTGCGTTTCAAGCTAACTAGTGTGACCTCGCGTGACGGGAGGTTCTAGAGGCTAGAGAAGCCTCCCCCCATCTTGGGACCCCCATAACACCTGTCACCCCCTGCTCTACATCCCCCCCCACGCCACAATAGGGGGCAACTACCCCCCCCAGCCTGCCCCCGAGCCCCTCCTCCACTGACAACAAAAACAATCACCTCGAGGACAGGTCATGCCCTGCCCATATTTTGACCTCCCACCACCCCCTCGCCGCCCCTACGCCCATGCCGCGTGCCCCGGCGCCCACGCCACACGCCCCACATACCTCTGGATTAAGCTGGAGAAGGCAAATAGTGAGACACATAGTACAGAGAGGGCCTAAGGAGGAGCTAAGGTGCCTCTCTACTACTCCTGACGGACCACAAACAACTCTCCTCGACAGATGGCACCACTGGCGCCCTCCTCAACCCGCCAAAGTTTGAATATCCTTCTCGCCTCATAGTCCTTATTATTCAACTTAACTATTGATTATGCAGTAAATATTTAACTTGTAATTATGGTATTACTTCATAGTAGTAGTAGAGGCTAGTATATGTATAGGACTGGCGCTCAAGAGCTTTCTGATCTTAGTAATGTTGCAAAGATATCTCTGTAGTGGTTAATTATCAGTTACTGCAGTTGTCTTCATCTTGGACAGCAACTAAAATATCTATTGTTGTTGTTGTTTAAGATTCAGCTACTAGGAACTAAAAGTTCCAATTAGCACGGGCTATGGTGAGCCCGTAATGGACTTACCTGGCATAGGAGCGGGGCTGAAACTTAAAAAAAAATATCAATATTTTAAGTGTATATATATCAAAATGTTTTGTTGCAATGTTAAATTCCAATGAACGTGAACACTGGTATTCGAGTCCTGTGTCTTAATGATTGAAAGTCAGCTGCGGCCGCTATATATAAGCTCAGTTAAGAAAATCTGTTCTATAGTTTAGTATGGCAAGGCAAATATTGCAAAAAGATGCAATAGTGCGATGCTATTAAGCCTTCGGAATCATTTCCAGCAACATTACAGGTCACCCACAGGGTTATAAATATACGCCTACCCGCCAAAACCATGAATGCCAAAACTCAGTTAAATTTTAAAATCCAAGGGGAAAAAATCATCAGGACATATGAGGGGGACCTTTAATAACCCGCCGGTTTCCTGTCCTCGTCGAGGCCACTGGAGTGTTAATGGCACTCAGGTAAATTCAGGTATATGAATCGTTGTGGTAATATACCCTAGAGTATGCCATCTTGTATATACTTACCTTTTAGCGGTGTCGTGTAGAAATAGCCTAAGCTCCACTATCCCTTTGAGATGTATTTCTTTCTTATCTCAATAAACATACTTGAACTTGAACTTGTCTTCCCTTCAGCTTTAGATTAACCAGTAAGCAAAATAAGCACATGCTTAGGGCCTCAAGAAAAAAGGGGGCCCCCCATAGAGTTTTTTCCATAGCCGAATTTACAATGGACAATGTTGCAGTTGAACCAGGGACCATAAAAAAGGTGGCGTCACAATCAATTAAACAATATTTATAATAATATAATTATATTATTTAAACGGTTAATAATACATTTTGTTTTGAATTACATGTACGGAATATGGGGATACCATAATGTTTTCAATGCTTAGGACTTTCTTGATCCAGACAAGTTCTTCAAAAGGTCGGATGTAACACAAACAAGGAACAACGGGTTCAAGCTCCACAATTAAACCAAACTGTAGATCACAAAACAAGAGATACTCTTCACTCATAGGGGTTAAATAAACCCATGGAACTGCCTACCCGTCGAAAACGTAAACGTAGCTCTCATCCTGTAACTACGTAATAACAATAACAATCTGTTCATATGACGCCAGAGTAAATCTTTATCCTACTGGTCTAGATACTAAAGGATGTGGAGCTTCCGGAGTCGGCTCAAACTTCCTGTAGTAAGCTTGTGTTGTTCAAACCAAAGAGCCAGAAAACAACAGTAAACATGGAAAGAGTTTATCTACATCTACAACGATAATATATATACCATAGGGTCTGACAGTACAGTCGACTTCATTCTCGATTCAATCTTGGATCCCGGGTTCGATTCCCGGGCGAGACAGAAATGGTTGGGCACGCTTCATTTCACCTAATGCCTCTGTTCACCTAGCAGCGAATAGGTACTCGGGAGTTAGGCAACTGTTGTGGGGGTTCAGTAGTTCGACCTTGAGGAACCTCGATATATACGTCAAAGCAGATGTTTACACAGGCTTCCAGTTCTCGATTAAACGATTAATTATATTCAGAGTAACATTAATATATTCTGTTGTATTGCTTGTAAGTACACTCCATGTACTGTACATGAATGTACCAATACATTAATCATATGTATTTACCACTACTTACAAACATACTTAATGAGCAGCTTGAAATGAAGCCTACATATCCCATTATCTGTCACATAAAAAGAATATACCAGCTGTGCGCGGCCCCTTTATTATAAATAGCATGTAAAATACGAATCATAATACTCCCGAGTTTGGTTTGATATAAATAAATTAAAGCTTGTTCAATATATACACGAGAGATGTAGCTATAGGGAGGATTTTGTGACCTTGGGATCAACGGCCACTAACTCATAAACAGGTTTGGCGGTAAATTCTCCCGGGAACACCAACATGATGGCGGGACTTCCACCACCTGCCCAACATTAGGCAAAAAAAAGCTTTAGCGGTTATCTTATTTTAGTCGTTTATTTAATTGCTTCATTAGGACACGCGACAGATAAGAATTAAGTTGAGAAAATATTAAATATTTTATGCATGTTATGAATTATTAAGGAGGAATTATCCCATATGTGGATATAATTAATAATAATAATACATTGGGTCGGAGGACAGGCAGCCAGTGTGTATATATATACATGTTAGACTTATATAGAGGTTTCCCTCTCCCCAAGGTCAAATTACTGACCCTCCCCAGTATGGAACCCTCATAACTATAGCTGACTACAACTCCCGGGGTACCTATTTACTGCTAGGTGAACAGGCGCATTAGGTGATAGAAAACGAGCCCAACCATTTCTGTTAGCTCATTAGCTTTGCATTGGAAATATTTGCTTGATTGCTTAATACCCTGTGTTCAAGGTACATAAGGAACTGTAGACAGATGGACAGATTAGCAAATTTAAAAAATAATGAGAGTAACGAACGTATAATTTTTAACCTATTACACATTATTTCTATATATCTTCAAAAGGATTTCCGTTCAAAATACATTTCATATTATAGTTTATGTAATGGTGTAAGGATTTCACTTAAGGTGTATTAGTTGCTCTTAATGACTGAAGACATGCGGGGATACAATTGTCATTGTTCACTCGAAATCAAAACAAACAGTGTGGGCGGAGGTGCATCACTAGCTCTTCACAAGTCCAAATTTGGGGAGAATGATTTAAAATTCGGCAGCAGAGGCAGGCCAGGACGACCCTTTCGACCCAGAAGGTGCTCAAGGTGTGGGAAGACAGGTGTTAAGTGTTGAGAGATGTGAATGACAGCGGCACGAGTGAGAGTGCAGGTGTAGTCAATGGATCAGCTGACAGTCAAGTCAATCATTGATTGACTTGTACACACGTTACTTTCTCTTTATTTACATGTTGCCTGACTCGCTATTGGTCACTTGGAGACGCAGTTGCCAACAGTGAATGGTATTCACGCGTTGTTAGGGCATGTCATGGTGATTGACGTGTGTATGTGTGTGTGTGATTCAGAGGATGACTCAGATTCAGATTCAGATTCAGATGTTTATTCAGGTAAGGTATATACATACAAGTGATGTTACATTAATGGATTGATATATAGATAGAGCTAGTACATACAATGCCTAAAGCCACTATTACGCAATGCGTTTCGGGCAAGAAAAACATTAATATCTAGAACTTAATACTAATTGAGCATAAAGAATAAAAGGTGTTGAGAACAAATACAAATAAAGATAAAAAAAAAAAAAAAGGGGAACATGACTGAAAAAGCAGCACAAATACAATAGGTTGACAAACAGTGTTGATTAAAAAAAGAAAATAACAGATATGGGTTGACAATAGAGGAGTGAGGTAGATTACAGGGAATTTATTAGGTAGTGTTTAGTTTTTATCTTAAACTGGTTGAGAGAGGTACAGTCTTTAACATGGTTGGGAAGGTCATTCCACATTCTGGGCCCCTTGATTTGCAGAGCATTTCTAGTTTGATTAAGACGTACTCTAGGAATATCAAAACTGTATTTATTTCTGGTGTGGTGCTCATGGGTTCTGTTACAACCTTCTATGAAGCTTTTAAGATCAGGATTGGCATTATAGTTTAGCGTTTTATATATGTATAATACACATGAGAGAATGTGCAGTGACTTAATATCTAACATATTAAGAGATTTGAGTAGGGGTATCGAGTGATGTCTGGGGCCAGAGTTGGATATTGTTCTAATAGCGGCTTTGTGTTGGGTAATTAGAGGACGTAAGTGATTTTGGGTAGTAGAACCCCAAGCACAAATACCATAGTTGAGATAAGGATAGATAAGGGAGTAATAGAGAGTCACCAGGGCAGGGCGTGGTACATAATATCTGATCTTAGAAAGAATGCCCACAGTTTTTGAAACTTTTTTTGATATATTTAGAATGTGTCCCTGGAAATTCAGCTTGTGGTCAATGAGAATGCCAAGGAATTTGCCATCTAATTTGTTACAAATTTGGGTATTGTTTATTTTGAGATTTATAAGACTAGAGGATTTATTGCCAAACAGAATATAGAAGGTTTTGTCAATGTTAAGGGTGAGTTTGTTGGCAGTTAGCCAAAGATGGACTTTATTTAGCTCAGTATTTACTGTGGCATTTAGAGCAAGAGGGTCAGGACTGGAGTAAATGAAGGTTGTGTCGTCAGCAAATAGAATTGGTTTGAGGTGTTGGGAGGCATTTGGAAGGTCATTAATGTAGATGAGAAAGAGGAGAGGGCCAAGTATGCTGCCCTGAGGAACACCAATGTTGATGGGTAGGGTGGGAGAAATTGTATTATTCACAGAAACATATTGGAGCCTGTCAGTAAGGTAGGACTCGAGGTATTGTAGGGAGTGTCCTCTGACTCCATAATGATGTAATTTAAGAAGAAGGTTATGGTGGTTGACAGTATCAAAAGCTTTACGCAGGTCCACAAATAACCCAACAGGGAACTCCTTTTTATCAAGAGCTGTATGAATCGAGTTAAGCATACTAATAAGTGCATCGTTAGTGCTTTTTTTGGGTCTGAAGCCATATTGGCAAGGGCTAAGTATATTGAGTTTGGCTAGATATGAGTAAAGCTGCTTGTATATAAGTTTTTCAAAAATTTTTGACAAGTTTGGCAGGATTGATATAGGTCTGTAGTTGTTAACATCTGTGGGGTCACCACATTTGTGGACAGGCGTTACTCTCGCTTTTTTTAGAATATCTGGAAAGGTTTGGAGTTCAAGTCATCTTAGACTCGTGGGTGACTGATTCATCAGACTGTTTCATCAACATTGCGCCATTGTATATGGTGTAGATGCCTCCATGTGGTATGTGAATGTTAGTAGTACAGTGGTGTGTGTACTGGTGTTAGACGTGGGAGCCTCTCCGGCACAACTGAGCCTTTATCTAGCTATATTTGCCATATATTTAAAACAAAATTAATTTGCCAAGTAATTTGAAATCATTTGTGATTGTACTCCAGTGGATCTGGATTTAATTCTCTTGATGTTCAAGTTTAAAATAATCGTAATGGAATTGTAAAATGCATCATTGCATAGCAAGATTTTTCCAGTAGTGAGTTTTATCTCTAACAAATTTTATATCTCGGCTCCTCACACGTAAAAAATAGTAATGTTAACGTGTATTCTGATACTGTAATGTGCGGAATTAAACAAAATTGCACTTTGGTTTCAATGCTGCAATCTTGTGAAAATTTGCATAAAATACATTCATTGTCATTTTTTTTTTTTTTGTACCAGTCAAAAGAGAATAATTTATTAAATTTTTATTCAAAAATTATACAAAATATGACAATAAACATCAGCATAAACAAAAAGATGTAAAAACATATAGTATGGTTGGCACATGGGAAGTTTTGGCATCTTGTATGAAAATTCACAGAAAATCCATTTAAAATTCATTCAATACTTCCTTTATATCAAGTGACAAAACAGTCATATGCAAACATTTCAATGTAAAAATCTAATCATACTGTATGACAGAAAAGAGTCTCACAAATGTACAATTATTAAAATGTTTGTTTTCAGCACACCACAAGCTTCTCATGGCCTAGTTCACGTGTGGTGGTGGGGGTTATGGGCCTCCCTGGAAACACAAACAGACACTGTCTCTATTTTCCGCTTGTTACAACTTATAATAAAGTTGTTACAACTTGGCTTAACGTGTTAATGACGTATTAGAACGTTGTTACAACTTGCTATATTGGTTGTTATAACTGGTTAGGAGGTGTTAAAACTTGTTCGAACGTTGTATCAACGTCGTAGTTTCGGTGTGTGTTTGGCGGGCTGGCACTTTACAAGAATGTGTGTTAATACAACCACATCTAAAAATCTAACAATAATTTAACCTACAAACACCATCTTTTAATAGAAAATATTTATTAAGTTTGCAATGACATGACTGCTCTTGCTTGTGTTGCTTTGACAGTAAATAGGTCTTTTTCTCAAGTTAATCTGTCTTTATAGGTTTGGGCCCAGTTACATTAACTATTATGCGTTTCAGTAACTAAACTTTTTTTTTATGATAGTTGCTATTGTATATTGTTGGTGCCTGCAGTTGCTGGTTTATTGTGCACCCCATATTTATCCTGAGAGCAGTAGTGCAAAGAGATTACTGAGGACATAAAAGGATTTAATCAAATCCCAGTGGGTTTTATTTGACATTGATTGATACAGTATCTCTGTACACACTTTATTTAATTATGACATTGTAGGTAACAGAACCGCTGCTTACATTGCAACTGCTCCATATAACAATGCAATATTACATGTTGAAAGTTGCCTAATGTAACCTTTACCTAGTCTTTGTTGAACTTAAGCTAACTTTTCCCTATTCTAACATTAATATAACCTTAGTTTAACCTAACATTTTTCTAACCTCAGGCTAACCTAATCAAAGTACAGTATTACATGACTCTTGTAGTCTCAGACCCCCAACTGAAGTACAGTAATTTAACCTTACCTAACTGGTCCAGAATAACGTGGTTAGCTGAAAGAGATGAACTGGAAATGTCTAGTATTACTTGACTGTATAATTTAACTCAATTGCAGTACAGTATTGGTGTGGGCCAGAATTTAAATGGGTTTATGCTTACTACAGGAACAAAAAAATTTCACTGACAAACCAATAATATTCAGGAAAGGTATACTGTACTATGAAATCAATTTTAATTTTCATGTGGTTCATTTTGAATAGAGTATCTTGGTTTACAATTGATAAAAAATGAAGATCTGTACTATAACATTAGTCCACATTGTCTTGAATGCCTGGCATAGCATTGGTATTAGGTATACTGTACAGTATTTGGATTTTGGATAATTGACATGTTGCATATACTGTACTGTATTATATTTGTAGTCCCTGTGGCACAGTGGTAAAGCACTCACCCAGTGCTTCACGAGTGCTTTGACCTGGGTTCGTATACTGACCGGGGAGGATTGACTGGGCGCCAATCCTTAACTATAGCCTCTGCTCATCCAGCAATGAAAGGGTACCTGGTTGGATAATGATCAGGCTAGTCATATTCTGGTGAAAAATTAGGATTAAGGACCTGCCCAAAGTGCTATGGGTGCTAGTCACTTTACAAGAATGTAAGAACACTTGCATACTGTATATAAATAAAATAAAATTAAAATTACTCTAGTGAAAATCTATTTTCAGTTGAGAATGTTTTTAAATACTGTATAAATGCATTAATGAAAGAATTATTTATATTTCTTTGAATGTTTAAAAGTGTTTTCTAATGTGATTTTTTTTTACTAATACCTCATTATTTTCAGGTTAAATAAATATAAATGATAAAATGGCCTAGGTAGCTAAATTTGTATATTTTAAAATTTGACCCAATAACTCGGTCAAACTATATTCATCATGATATCAACTTTGACGTAAGTATTGACTAGTGATTCATTTTGGATGAAATATTTGAGTGTGCTGTACTGTCTTTGAACTTTGCATGGAGGGTTAATTTAGCTTTTGCATCTAAAATTTAAATTCAGAATGTTTAGTACTGTATTAGGTATATGATGAATTTACCTGGATAATGATAACATTGCCATACATATGCTTGCTTTGTTCACTCTCAAAATATATAAACATCCCATATGAATGCAAGTTCTTATAATTTTGTAATAGAACTTGTTTTAGTAGTGTGCAATTTGCTATATAATTATTTTAGCACTAGTTTGAGTGAGTTATATAATGTAATTATAGCTCCTCATTACTGTAGACAAATGAAGAAAGTTTAATTAGTTATATCCATAACAGAATACTAAACTATACCAGAGTTTTATTATTTTGTTTTTAGTTTTCCATTTAATATTTTTATAATGGTTTATAATACAGTACTTTAGTTATTATTTATATGAGGGATTTATGAAGATTTTATGTTGTGTAAATGCAGTAGATTGAGATTTAAAAAAAGAGTAGATACAGTATCTTAAGTAATAATACATTACATACTTATATACTGTATAGTTTGCGAACCACCTAAAGTGGATTTTTTGGAGGTCTTTTAACGCAATATCTTAATGAAATTAGTTTATGGCCAGCAAATTTATAGTAGCTTCAGGAACTTAATGTAAATTTTTTTATTATACTGTACTCTGGGTGGTGTCTTAAAATAATTTAAAACAAATTTCCCGGGTATGTTTCCCCGGCTCAAATTCTGCAGCTGGGGAGTAGTTTTTTTTCTGTTATTTCTTAGAGGGCTTCCCTCGGTGGCTTCCTGAGCTAGGCGCCTGGTTAGATCAAGATGCCACTGAGGGAACCCACCAGAATGAGGGGTTTTCATTACATGCAACACTGAATTTTTCTCAAATTCAACATGTGTATCATCTCTCCTCAGAAATGAGTTGTTGTTGTTTTAGATTCAGCGACTTGGAACAAAAGTTCCAAGTAGCACGGGCTATGAGGAGCCTGTAGTGGACTTATGTCAAGAATGAGTATTTGTATTTCTGAACTGTTTGCAATTTGTATGTGCTTAAAACAGTGATATCAATAAAATGAACTTTGTTTGTATATATGTAGACTACAAGTCCCTTACTTGCTATCAAATTTTGTAATTCCTACAACCCTTTGATTATAAAAATTCAATATGGTTGTTTCTCATATTTGCTAAGCATTAACAGGTAAAAGATTTCCTGTATGCCTAATAAAGTATTGGTATTGACTCAAGTGAACTGGCTGATGAAACGGCAAAATGTGCCATTCAGATATGCCCCCCCCCCTCCTCTGCTCTCGAAATCTATTCATTTTATTGATTATTACTGATTCATACACTCAGACTTATTTATACTGTACAATGAATAAATTGGGACAAGTTTGACCAATAGTAAACTGGCCAAAAATGTAGTTTTCCATAGGTTTCTTTATAAATAGGGAAACTTCCTGCTAGCATATTGGTCATATTAAGTTATGGTCTGTGCTGTCATGACTGCTTCTCTCACTTAATATTTGGCATCTCTTAGTCGAATGTTCATTTTTCAGGAAGATAGAAGCTACTGTATTCTTTCATTTATTATACGTTAATTTTTCCTGCTCTTGTATCAGCATTTTGAATAGTATTTAATTCCTTATATTGACTTGTGCATCAAAGTGTTATTTAATCACACTGAGTTACCACTTCACTTTGATAATCACTTACTGAAAAGCAAAATAGAATGACCTTAGTTTTTTAATGATGAAAGCTACCGTAAATTAAATGTTTAATTTCCTCTTTCAGAATTATCTCAAAGCTAGCGATGGCAGTTGACAGAGAGATGGAGCTTGAAGGGAATAACGACGAGATCGGTAGACCAGAAGATGACATGGGCATATCGTATACCCTTGATATGTTTCGGGAGCATGATGAGGTGCGTCAGATGCTGAGCTCCATAGAAAATGCAGTTGAAAATCAATTCACAGCTGAAAAGGCGTTTGAAACTTTAAAGACTATCCTTGATTATTACCAGGTATAGTATTTAATTAGTTTGTATTGCTGAAATAAGTTTGCAGTTTTTAAATTCAATTTTTTTTTATCCAAGTGTATTTTTATATAGCTTCTAATGATTGGAATTATTACTGTATTAATATTCTATGGATATAACCCAATATATGATTCGAGTAATGTCCATTTATAAATAAAACTGTTTCAAGTGCTTCATTGTTAATGTCCCCAAACAAAAGCTTAAAATAAATAATAGATTGAGTGTGTTGTAAAATTAATATAGAGATGATATTTTGTCTCTGACTTGTTGATTGTAGTGTTCTTCATTGTGTGGGAGTGATTCTGCAATAGACTTTTAGGGTTAAACATATATTAAAGCCTCACAGCCTGTTTCCTAGTTTCATTTAAAAAGCAGTTGGTTAGATAATTGCTCCAGTAAATACTTTTTGCCGTTGATTGTAAGTACAGTATATCTTGTAATATGAGTTCTCCTGCCTCGTGTATCGGAGGCATCCATGTCCTGTATGATTATAGCTGTGTTGTCTTTTTCTAGGAACAGCCTCATCTCCTTGACCCACATCTCGAAGGAATTCTTACCCAGTTGGTGGAAGTTACACGTAACCCAAATAACATTCCTGAAGTTGCTAGCCAGGCTTTTAAGTACCTTTGGCTTTTCATCAAAGTTCGTGGGTACAAAACTATAGTCAGGAAACTTCCTCATGAGGTAATATTTTACTATTGTTATGGCCTTGCCATTTGTTAATGAGGGTATACAATATTACTGCACTTGTACTGTTCCTGTCTGTCTGAATAACTATCCATGTGTCCCTCATATATGTTATCATATGTAGGGTAAAGTCATAAGTCAGTGGCAGTTGTTGCCTCGAGCAAAACAAAACTTTATCACTCAAAGCATAGCATAAAACAAATTTAAAACTTTTTAAATTATGTACTAATTTGGAAATAATTTTTGTTGGGTACAGAAAGGTTGTTGGTTTTTTTGTTGGGTACAGAAAGTCTATGTATTGAGGTTTCCTTAGGGTTGAGCCCTTGAGCCCAACCCTCCCCAGGATGCTATGCCACAACAAGCTGGCTAACTCCCGAGTGCCTAGTTACTGCTTGGTGAACAGTGGTATTGGGTGAAAGGAAGTGTGCCCCAACATTTCTGTTTGTCCTGCCCGGGAATCGAACCCAGGATCCCCGATTTGTTAAACAATTGATGGAGACTTCTCGTATTTATTATTAATCAACCTAGGTGATTTATGTGAAATATAATGTTCCTAAGCTCTGAGTAGGACATCTTTGAACAATCAGAAGTAACCACTGTAGGTTTTACTTGATTCTGAATTGCCAGCTTTGCACATCTGTAAACCCAGGCAAGCTTGGTACCAATATGCTGCAGTTTGGGTCGAACCTCAGTCAACTGTCTGTGTCTACAGGGCCTGAGCCTACCTGCTTGCTGAAAATATAAGTCACCAATATTAGTGTTGACTAAAATTTCCATGACATCATAAACTCTTACTACTAAAGGGTGGACCATCAAATGTAGTAGGTAGTAGGCCATGCTAAGAGGTGACCTACTACCTCCTACTACTACTACTACTACTAAACCCTTCAACCTGGCTGGTAGAAGGGTTGATTATGCAATTGCACTCGTGTGCTCTTGCTTTCCTAGTGATGTTGAAATAAAATAGTGTTCCATAATAAAGTTAAATGGCATGGTTTTATTTTTGACTACTATTTCCATATACATTGGTCTATGCTATATGGTATCTATGTAGGCTGTTATTGTTTTCCATTGTCGGGAACAGGAATCTTGTAATTAGGCTTATTGAGGTCCCTCTAGGCCAGTTACAGTACTGACCTTTCCCAGGATTCAGTCCACAACAGTTGCCTAACTCCTGGGTACCTATATACTGATAGGGGAGCATCAGGTGAAAGGACACATGCTCAATCATCCCTGTCCCACCACGGGAGTTAAATCCGGGACTCTTGATTGCGAGCCTTCAATGTATATCACTGCGCTACAAACATGTACAGTATATAATAAACTGTATATACAGTTTATTAGCTCCTTGTTTGTATGATTATAAGCTTTTATCCCCCTTGATTCATCAATTCCTATTTCCTAATGTTGTATACCTTCAGTGTGTATCATCATAACGTTCTCAGTTTTTTCACCTTTATAAACTGTTCAATCTTTGTGATATTTCATCCTTTTTGTCTTTTAATAATGCAATTCTTCATTCAGGGCATCCATTAATGTTCATAAAATATCATCATCTTTGGATTACAGGTAAAAGACCTGCTTCCTGTACTACACATGCTGGAGACCCCGGAAGGTAGCTCAGACTTCTATGAAAGCTATGTTCTCCTCCTGTGGTTGTCTATCATTGTCTATATGCCATTCAATATGATGGGCTTTGATACTACAGCAGCTGTAGACAGTCAGCAGTCCGGGGCTATTGTTGTTGACAGGTGAGCGTCTTGGTAATACAACTGTACTATGGCTGCAGTCTTTCACCGGAGCTATGCTGGAGGAGACATTTTAATAGGATATTATTTGCGATTTCAATGTTATTTCTTCAAATGCGTATTCAGTCTTATTTAATTAAATATTAATAAAGGCGGTAAATAAATAATCATCATAAATTTTAATACAGTATGTACATTTAAACAGTGATATTTTCTACATTCACAAGTACTGTAACCTATAAAGGCCTTCTTATACAGTATTAGAATTAATGCAGAAAAACTTAATTTCAAACCTTGGTATGTATATTAGTTCATTTTTTTTATTTAATTTACAATCTCTCTAGCCTTGTACTGTACTGTGTTTCCTCTTCATTCTGAGAGATCCCACTTGTATGCTCCTATAGGTATGATTCCACCATCTACGGGGATCAGTACTTGCAGTCAGGCAGGGCAACATTGTAGGGCCCATTGTCACAGAACTTTCTAATCCCCTCTGCATGGTTATACTTGTACGAAGGAGCACTGGAAGAGATCTTCCAGCTAGAACAACGCGTAGAAAACTCAGACACGCTCAAAGCTTTACAAGCACACTACTTGGCACTTTAAATCACCAAGGAGTGTCCAAATTTTTGGACTTGGTTCACCTGCCTACTCTTCTTGCCAACAGGTGGCAGTACGTGTATCATAACATGATCCACATTGCCAAAGTTTATTACACTCTTTGCTGACAGTCTTCATGTCAGAAGAGCAGACAGAGATCTAGAATATTGGTGTATGTACTGATGTGTTTAAGTGCTGTCAAGTATTGTATAGCACAGCACTTGTGCAATGCGCAGCTTACTGTGGCATGGAGGAGTGCTGAACTTAGTGCAGTACTATGATCTGATGGTCACCTTTTTTTTTGTCTTTTACAGTTTCCCAAACAGGTTTATAATTGGTTTCATCTCTGATTGTGTGACTTTATTAGAGATTTGGGTGAGGACTTTGTTGGACCTCTTCTTAGCTGATGGTGTGTACACTTCACCTGCCAAGTTGTGAACACTGATGCCTAAATATTATTTCTGGATGCTATGATGCCTGCATTTAAGTAGGTTCCACAAGTTTCTCTCTTCTATGAGGAGGAGTCGGCCAATTTCTAAAATTCAGTTTGGTAGTTAACAGTTCTCGACTGGAAAAGCTTAGCCTGTGGAATTTCTGAAAGGTAAGCAACAAAATTTGCATCCTCCTTCTCCTCCTGTGGTCAAGGTACTTAAGAGGCTGCCAATGTCTCACATAAGAACTGGTTGGCAGGAGGGTGTAAGCTTTGGAGTTTTGCTGTCATCTTCCAGTAGGAAGGGTGGGGGGAAGGGGGTTACAGACAGTCTGTGGATTGAGTGGTACACTGTATTGGATTATGTAGATTCAGATGAATTACATTTTTCACAACAGGGTCAACAATGACCTTGTGTGGACACTTAACATTTTGGCTTCGTGATGACGCTCTCGGAGTCATTAAAACAATACACTTAGTTTGGGAGATGACGTTAATGCTGTCATCAATTCATTCTTGTTTATTCTTATTAGTAAGTATAAACATTGTGACTGAAAGATTTAACATTGGGTTGTGTGCTCACCGGCAACGCCCAGCCTACCTTGTGGTGCGCTACGGGTGGCCCGCTAGGCCAGGCAAAGTGTTTAAAAGTTCCCATGTCACCGACACCTAGAATGTTATCCTGTCTGGCTGCATGATTTGATTTCTTATAGACAACAGAAGTGTAGCTTAGTATCAAGCAAGTTTGCTCAGAAAGACTGTTCATTTGTACTTAAGTACAGTGGAACCTCGATTGACGAATGGCTCCAGTTATGAGCATTTTGAGTAGCGAGCAAGCCACTCGCAGAAAATATGTCTCGACTGATAAACTTTCCCTCGATTAATGAGCGTTCCCGCTGGTTCTCGGACACCTCTGACGATAGTTTTGTTGTTGTTTGACAAGACAAGTTTTCCACATGACGAGCTCGATCCTGGAACACATTAAACTCGTTAATCGAGGCGCCACTGTATTGTTTTCTCTGAGTTGGTCCCCCCCCCCACAGCCCTTTAAAGTAGGAAGTGAGGTAATGATAATAACAAATTTCATTATGAAGCTAGAATACTTTTGTTAATTTGTATATGTTTCCCCATGATTTCAATTCAGATGCTTTCTATACTCAGGTTTTTTTTTGTTACCAGGATATTAACCGTCATCAAAACCCACTTGAGATCGGGCCAAAAGTCACGAGAGATGGCAGCCTACCTGGCGTCACGGTTTATTACAAGGCCTGACCTGAAAGACAAATATCTGCCAGAATTTGTGAATTATTGTTTTGAGGTGAGATATTGGATCACTGAAAATTAGTTCTCGTCTGAGTTATAATATAATTAGAGTTTACATCTTGAAATTTTATACTGTAGATTCTTCTGATATAATATAAAATTGATGTTCCACAGGTGCTAGAAAATGACTTGCAAGAAGATGTACACAGTGTGTTCCATAAGCTAGGGGTGCTGCGGGCCATGGGCCTGATATTCAAGCATGGGAAGAGGGAGGAATTGTTTCCTTACTCACAGGATGTGCTCTCCCGTCTCCTTGCGTGTCAAGTGACCACCAGTTGTGATGCTCCGGTCAGGAAATTGGCCATGAAACTCATTCAGCGCATTGGTTAGTCTTAGTTTGGGTGTCTTCTCCCAACACAAGTTGATCGTAAATAGATTAATTAGGTATCTGTGTCAGGGATGTCTTATGGTTATATTATGTTTATTGACAATGAATGGTGTTCTTGGCAGACCATATATGGCTGCAGGAGCAAACAAGAGAATTTTTCAGAAAATTGTTTAATACACTTAATGGCATGTTTATTCTCTCTCTCTTTCTCTTATATCCAATCTTCCTAAACATACAACTACTATGGGTTCGCGATGAGTCACAATAACGGGGCTAAAGTATGTTGACCAGACCACACACTAGAAGATGAAGGGACGAAGACCACAATCGACTTGAGAATGGTCCAGGACGGACCGAAACGTCGTCGACCCTTCACCTTCTCGTGTGTGGTCTGGTCAACATACTATGGGCTCCTTCCATTGTGCCCAGACATCCATTTGTGGGATTCTACTGTATTGTATTTAAAGTTATGTACTGTAGTTACAGGAAATAAAATAAATTCAACCCTATTTTATTTGCAGGGCTGACATTTCTGAAACCAAGAGTAGCATCATGGCGATACCAGCGTGGAAGTCGGAGCCTTGCCATGAATGTGCAAGGTGCTGCCTCCGAGAGTCTGGCAGTAAGTGAGACGCTGCCGGAGGATGACGAAGAGGTGGCTGGAGAGATTGAAGAAGTTATAGACAACTTATTGCAAGGACTAAAGGATAAAGATACTATAGTCAGGTAATTTATTAGTTTTGCATAATTATTTTATAATGCAAATACCATTTAGTATTTGTAAGATGAAATTTTTTTTGGTCACATTTGATTTCAATTTTCATGGCCCAGTTTTATTTGCACTCTTTATTAATTATTTAATTTTAGGGCCCCATGGGGTGCAGCAGTGGTTTGTATATTGCCTTGCATGCAAGAGGAGCTGGGCTTGAATCATGGCAGGATTGGACGATTGGACACTATTCTTCCACTTATTTTGCTCTTGTTTACCTAACAATAATTGGGGAATGGTATGTAAAACATTTAGCAGATCATATTCTGGTGAGAACATGGCAATGAATAACCTAACTGGTTCTATACTCGGCCCAAAATCTAAATTTTAACTTCAAATATTTTTTTAACTTTCAAGACCCAGAAAATTCTTGGAAAATATAAAATGAATAATCTCTTATCCATTTGCACATTGGATGATCTTAAAGCCAGTTCCTATATGCTTCACAAAGGGCTCATCACCCATCATGCTCCCAAGACTTTTATCCAAATTGTGACAGATTTTCCCAAGGCATAGCTAGATGACATGAATCTATGGAGGGAAGATATTGGCGAGTCTTAAGTTATGCCCCTACCAAGAGCTCGGTAAGTGGAGATGGGTTAGCTTAGGGAGAAAATAGAATGGCTGTTTTTCAGTAAATGACTGTAAGCAGTTTAGCTCATCGTTTTCATTTGTATTGGATAAAGATAGTGTAGTACTGAGAAAATTAAAAAGGCTAACATGATTAACAGGCAGGTAACTGTAAACTAAAAGTTGTTTATGTGAAAAGGCATAATGTTCTTGCTTTTTTATACAGATGTTAACTATTTGGGGGAAGCAGAAATATCACGAGGTGCAACAAATGTGGGTGTAAAATGCAGGAATGATTTGTTAATCTAGGATGGTACTGATGTAAACCACAACACATTTGCAAAGATGGTAGCATAAAATACTTGGAAGTTGTATGAAGTTAAGCTGATGTTAGTGCCTTCTTACATTTAAGAGCTGCTGCTGTTCAGAGTAGATTATGGCTGTGACGTGGTTCATATTAAATAAAACTCCAAGTATCACATGAGGCTGAGGAAGCTCCTACCTGCTTGATACCTGCTTGATGGAGTTCTGGGAGTTCTTCTACTCCCGAAGCCTGGCCTGAGGCTAGGCTTGACTTGTGAGAGTTTGGTCCACCGGGCTGTTGCTTGGAGCAGCCCGCAGGCCCACATACCCACCACAGTCCGGTTGGTCCAGCACTCCTTGAAGAAAACAGCACAGTCAAGTCAAATCAAGCCAGTAAGGCCTGGCCTCGGGGCAGGCTTGAGGAGTAGAAGAACTCCCAGAACCCCATCAAGCAGTACAGTACAGTACTTTGGGTAGTTATATAATTATATCCTTCATATTTCCATAGGTGACAGCAGTAGCAGCTCGTCCTCTACTATAACAATTCACAGTAATCACTAAATATTACAGCTTGCTATCCCTCTGATACTACACTTCAGAGCAACCACCTCACATCGAGAACATGTAGGAGATGACACTACATCTTGATAGCTTCATCAGACTCCAGCCATCACCTGGAAACAACACATACATCATAATAAAATATAAGACCTATCTCTTAACACTGTGATCTTGTCACACTGCTACTTTTCCAGATATCTATTAGTTAGTATGCTGCTCACAACTTGCACCACCTCTGCTTAGCAGGTTCAACCAGGGGCTCACCTCTAAAACATTTAGGTAGCTCATTACCTTAGCTGTATTAGCCAATGCAAAAGTGAAATAGCTAGATCAATAAGCCAACAACTGATGCTCCTGGATCATCAGATAATGATGCAGTGACCACAGAAAGAGTTAGGCATGGGAAAATTGGTAGCCTTGGTTCATGTATACAGTTTGGCAATCTGGCCTTACCATTGAAAAATACGTTTCAAAGGGCTGGATCCTGGGAAATACTGGCGATAAGAGTAAAATCTCTTTACAGTTGGGTTTTCTCCTGGTAGCTGTCCATCGTATCATAGGCCGAATTAAAATTTTTGCTTGGTGAAATGTGCCTGTAGAGCATGGGAACAATTAGGATATAAATGGTACCTTCTTCAATGTGGCAAATTCATTTTATGATCGGCCCATTAGAAGAAACTGTTGGTGCGTTGGAACATCCATGGAGCATATTCATAACAAAATTCTATGGTTTATTTTCATTAGGAGGTTTACACAAAAAATATGGAAAATTATGATAAATAGCAAAAAATGGACTAGTATGTATTCTAAAATCTGAATATTTGGGATCGATGTAATAGGGGTTTTTGATGATTGCAGTACAATATATTGTACAGTATATGAATGTGAAGCTGGATGGTAGTACATTTCTTTTAATTTTGTATTGAATATATATACAGTATATATATATATATAACAAAGAAAAAAAAATAGGACACAGATGTAGTTTTTCTCATGAAGGCGAGGTTTTTATCGTGTCAATTACTTGAAACCTGAAATGGTGCGAGAATGGTTTTTGCACTTAATCCTTCTCATGTATATGGATAAAGTTTAGGATAATGAAATAAATGATAAAACATTAATTGTTTTCATTATTTTCTACACTAGGTGGTCTGCAGCTAAAGGTGTAGGCCGTGTGACGAGCCGCCTTCCTCGAGAATTTGGAGATGAAGTTGTAGGAGCTATCCTGGAACTGTTTTCTTCTAGAGAATCAGACAAAGCTTGGCATGGAGGATGTCTAGCATTAGCAGAGCTTGGTAAGATACAGTTTTAGAGTTCAGAATTAGATCAAAGTTCAAAAAGACCCAAGTTCAAAATCATACTTGCATTTAAGTAAACTTTTTACTTTGCAGATTGAAGATTATCTATATAAAATCAAGTGTACTGCTTTGTAATTTTTGCAATGGCTTGCACCAGTGGCTCCCTGAGCTATCCACCTAAAGTACTTTCAAGGCTCTTAATGAATTATGAGTGCCTACCAAGGACCAGGACCACAATCTGCCTCTTCGCAAAAATCGATACAGTATAGGCGAGTCTAGAGATACAAAATCACCATGATACAGAAGGAAAACTCACTGGAAAGATAGAGCATGCCAAAACAAGCAACAGCATGCCAAAACAAGCAACTACTTGTACAACATTTGCACCCTTGATGTGAACTATGTACACTCTCATCATTTAGGTCCAAGTAGCCACACCTTCCTTGCCACCAGATGATATCCCCGATGACCCGAGAGTTCCAGCCAACGACCCCGAGTCATTCATGCACCTTGTACTGTTCATTCTAGGAGCCACTTCGCTCTGTGAGCATAGATTTTGGACGGTCTGGTGCAGGGGGCCTGTGCTTACGGGCTTTTTCTTCTTCACAGGGTTATGTTTTCATGCAAGCTTGTTCTGTTTGCCCCAATTCCTTGTGCGCCCTGGTTGCTTGTGACTAGAAATGCCTTTTATGGTTGCTGGTGGTGTTGACCCTGCCTTCAGTCAGGGTTCTCTTCCCTGATAGGGTTTGGGATTCTGAGAATTAGGTATGGGAACCTGAAATGTGAAATAGAATACGTATAATGAAAAGAACAATAAAAGGAAACTTAACTGAGAATGTTGGTGCTCTGCACATCTGTCTGAGCCAGACATCAAGAAGGACTCTAGTATAAGTAACCTGCCCTAAAGCCACACAGCTCTACAGATGATGAATGGCAGCAAACTTACAGAAGTCAAGGCCTATCAGAAAGATCACTAAGCTAAAGCTACAGAAAAATGCATGAGGAGCAGGGAAGAAGAGACCAAATATGAAGGAAGAGTGTTAGCAAACAGAGGGTGCAAGTCGCCTACAGAAGCCATAATCAGCAGCCACTCGACAAACTTGCCACAAAGAGCAGTCATGTGTGGCAAGGAAGTAAAGTCCTACTGTACAGTCAACAAACCTGAATCACCAGACCAAAAGGACATGTCCTTCAACGATGGGGTATTTTTTATACTCAACACTACTTAAACATTTGTCATAAAATACTTATTACATTTACTATGAATGTCATTCTAATCTTAAGGCACAAGATAAATTTAATATTGTATTTACTAGTCAAGAACAAATCCATAAGGGCCGTGATGAGGGTTCGAACCTATGTCCGAGAGGATCCCAGATGCGCCTTTGTTCATTTGATGGCATCACGTTATTGTGATTTCTGTTTGTTGACTAGTTAAGCTTTTTATTCCACTGGAACAGCCCGGCGTGGTTTGCTGCTGCCGGAGCGTTTGCCAGCTGTCGCACCAGTTATAGACAAGGCGCTCGTCTATGACGAACTCAGAGGACAGTGTTCTGTGGGTTCGAATATTAGGTAAGTTTCAGTATTTTGTCATAAATGTAAGGAGACAAAAATTGGGTAAGCAGGCAATATGTACTTTACTGAATGTGATGATGATTTTGCTCGGCTGTCACTGATGATTTGTTACATTAATTTTTTAATCAATAGTCTTAGTGTATTTTATTTTGTTTTTGGAAGCTACAATTTTTCAGTTTTTTATATATTATATATATGTGTTTATGCAGTATATACATAATATGCATATACAGTATAATATATTTATTTATTGTAATTGTTATTGACAGGGATGCAGCTTGCTATTTGTGTTGGGCATTTGCTCGAGCCTACCACCCAGACCAGATGGCTCCTTATGTTGAACAACTGGCTACTGGACTTTTGATAGTGTCTTTGTTTGATAGAGAGGTATGAGACCAATTTTCCCCAATTGTTGTAGTACAGATGTAGAGGAAGATAGACTTAGTCTGAAGGTATTGTAATACAGTATAGCTAAATAAATAGTAAAATATAAATACAGTAATATACAACTTGCATATCCATACTGGTTGCAGATATGTACTGCATCAGTTATATGTTAATTATCTGTGGTTGAATGGTATTTCTTTATTATTTTATGTTTGTGAATGTCACCGAGTCATATCAATACATGTTTCGGAGTAGAGTTCTGAATAATTGACCATCCCAGAGCTACGTTTAGAGCAATTATAATGGTGTTTTATGTCTTGCACAGATTCCATGCCGACGAGCTGCATCTGCAGCCTTCCAAGAACACGTTGGACGTCAAGGAACATTCCCTCATGGCATTGAGCTTCACACAATGGTCGACTACTTTGCCGTTGGCAACCGCTCAAATTCGTTTCTCACTCTAAGTGTTAAAGTTGGCAGGTAATTTGTTGTGACACTTTCTAACTATTAATGTCTCAACATTTTGATGTGTTGGCTGTACTATACAGTATACTCGAGTATTAATTAGCTTTCTGATTTATACAAATACAGTATGCTACATGGACTGGATACAGGTTATCCAATAAAAAGATGCTGTTTTTAATGTACAGTACAGCATCATTGTTTACCTGGTCAAGTTCCTTCATGGCCACTACACATGGAAGGTGAAGGCTTAGAAAGATGTGAGCATGTGTGTAAATATGCAGGATCTTTGTAATTACATACCTGTTGTGCTGTATTTGCAGAATGACAGTTGTGCTTGTAATGTCCCATCTTTCCTGTAATCTGTTAAGTATCTGCCAAACAGTATACAAAATTATATTGTTTAATTTTGTGGGCATTTTGATTATCATAATTTGAATCATACCTCTTGTTGAGGATTTAGACAATTCTTAAGCAATTTTGTCGATTTTGTCTGTAGTGATCACATTGCCTTTTATTTTCTTATCTCTACTAGTATTAGTATATTTAATGCCTCCAACCTCTGTATTGCTCTAGCGCCTGAGTATTGTCATGCTTGACTCGTCAAGAATTCTGAACAACTGAATGTGTGTGCCCAGAAAAGAGCATCTCAAATTGACTCAAAATCCTGGTTTTTGGTTCAAGTAATTTGTACATTTCAGGCATCCAGAGTATACTCGAGCTTTAATAGACCACCTGGTAGACAGGAAGGTTAACCACTGGGACTCGGCAATCAGGGAACTTGCTGCTAAGGTAAATAGAGTTTATGGTGATGCAGTGCATAAAAATGCATTGTATCACCACAATATATTGAACTTGTAATCTTGAAGAATCTTGAACTTTATGATTATTGCCCTCATTTTTTGTACTTTAAAGTGGGACTGAAGACAACAAGGAATATTGAACATGTGTAAAGTGAAATTGTAAAATTCATTAATGAATAAACTTTAGTCAACTAATTAGAAGGTTTGTGCTTATTATTCCAGCAAGCCTGGGTTATAGAATGCAGCATCACTTTTGGAATATTAATTTAATGGAAATCCCAATGTTGATATCTCCTTTGCTAAATGTATTGCCAAACATTGCCTACCTTGTACTTAATCTTACCAATATTTTTGTTTTATGTATGGGCCAATACTTGTAGTGCAAGGAGTTTCTCTAGCAGAAATAATTGCACACAAGTTTCTTATCTATGCATAATCATTTTTCTCTGGGTACTTATACAGTACTGAAACATTAAGTAACCTTCACATTACAGCGAGAATTTCATAAAAGTTTGAATCCAAAATTTAATTATTTTGTATAGACAGTATGTACTAAGTATGCAGAGGCACATTCCTACCATTTTGTTTTATTTAAGGAAAACTTATTAGGCTATAAGCAAATATTTCTAATAAAATTTAAGACACTATATAGTAAATCAACTTGATACTGTTTTTACAGCTTAATGTCTTTCAACAATTAGATTAAGCATTTAATATATTTAGAAGATTGTATTCACTTTGCTTCACTCTAAGTTGAAAACAAATTGATTGATTTCAGCTTATCAGGCTGTTTCTTTTGATCTGTTCCATAATGTTGGGAAATCTTATTGATGTTGAGAAAGATATAAAGCTTCCATATAAATGATACACTCTATAATGTTTCAGGCACTCCATAATTTAACTCATTTGGCCCCGGAGTACATGAGCAAGACAGTTGCACCACGACTCCTGCATCAGACCACATCCTCTATTTTGGTCACAAGACATGGCTGTATATTAGCCTTGGCCAACATCACCCACGCTCTCTCTCTTGTGGCCAGCAAAGAAGGCAAAGCTTGGAAGGATATCATGGGTATGTGGCTATTTTTTTTTCCAAGTGTTATTTATTTCCCACAGATTATACTCTTGTCTTGTGCTGTATGAGGTGACCTATGAAGAGAATATTTATTCAGACCATATTGTGGAGCATTGTGCACCTGGTATATCATTACTTTGGAATCTCTCTGGTGAAACACTTATAAATATACTGTACGAAGATGAGTTTCCTTAAAGGTAAGGTATTTGAGTTCCTCTGTAAGGGCCAACATTAGAGGAATATCTTTTCTCATTAATTGCAGTTCTCTGCCCACATGATTACACTGACAACTTTACAGTATTTGTTAAAATGCAACATGGTTATTTTGGAGATTTATTTTTACAAAGCCCATTTCAAGGTTTCTATCTTTTATGGACTATATGAATCATTTAAAAGATAATTTACTCCTTTGAGTGTATTGTGTTGTAGCACCCCACATAACGAACCTCTTTGCCTATTATCTTCTCGTACGAACAGTTTCTAATTTTTGCTGTGTTTTTTTCATTAAACAGGCCAAGATATATTGGATGGCATTGCTAAGATAGTAGCAACACTAGAAGAAAGGAAGCTGTACCGTGGTATGGGAGGAGAGTACATGAAACAGGCAACATCTGTAATGATAGAGAAGTGTTCACTAGCTGCCATACCATTCCATGGCCAGGAAGTCCTTGGTACGAGATTTTTGTTTTGATGTATAATAATAAAAATGCATTATTCTGCCTTAATGGCTGATGTAATCAGATGCATTATATTCTCACCCTGTCCCTATGTGCATAGTTGTATATGACAGTTTGTCGCACTTTATTTATAAGGTTAGTAATCCATAGAAAATACCAAATACTCAAAACTTCATGCTAAAAAGCATAATCTGTACTTTTCAGATATCAGGATTTTTCCCATTCCAACATCTGTTTTAATTAATGAGTATCTGTACATGCAAGGAAAAATCAAATGAAAATGTGACACTTTTGCGTTCTTGTTGTGAACCTGTAGATGTTCTTCACTCTCGGGTTGTTTAGCAACACTATTCTATATGTTATATAGAATATATATGTTATATAGAACCAGCACTACGAATGAGTTTGGCAATACTGTCTTGTCTACCCATATGTCGCTGCTTTTAGTTAAGTTATTGTAATGAAACCATAAAGACTGTCACTGTGTTTGTGTAAAGCATCAAAGAGCTCGTGAGTTATTAATAATTTTTTGGTCACTGAGCAACCATTGTGTGCTCACTTTTGAAATCATTAGGGAAGTGAAAGCCTTTGTGCACGATATTTGTTATTTCACAGCATCCACCCAACCTTGTCTCTCGCTGTGTCCTGTGTGCTCCTCTTGTTTACACACACACTTTCACTCGCCATGTCTTCCTGCCTAATTCCTGGATATCCTTTTCTCCTCCTACCCTCAACTTTACTTTATGCACTCTCTCTACCAGTGTACCATCATTCATCATCCATTAACTCAACATGCTCAAACGGTTTCAATGTACTATCCTCAATCTTGCCGTTTTTGCACTCTTGCATCACTCCATGATATTTTCATTCAGTATTTTATTTTTTCTCCTAACACGACATGTGTGTCTGAGATTATTCATTTTTACTGTTCTAACTCTTGATTTTTAATGTCCTTGTCATCTGGTAACCGTGCCCAAGAGTCTGCACCACTTCATGCAGATCTCTGGCTGTATCCCTATTTTGTGTTTCCTAACCAGGGTTTTCATTGCACCAGCTACTTTCCCAACTCTCAGATTTGATTACACAAATACCTCTTAGGAATCACACGTCCCAGGTATTTGAACTGATGGGTTACTTATAGCACTTTACCATTCACATTTATTGACTGCATAGTATTTCTTTCTTTCCATTATTTGTAATAAATCGGATTATACGTTTTAGCTTTATTAAACATTTTTAACAGAATTTAGACCAATTAATTTTGTCTTCAGATCAGTGGCATAATCTACTAGAAGAATGCATGATATATGTTGATGAAAATATCCGTGCCGCGGCTCTGGAGGCTCTTCCTCCACTTTGGACAACATACTTTGAGCCTACAACTGAAGAAAAACTAAAATGGAGAGATGAACTGATCAAAAGATACACCCATGCTCTCCATACAGATAAAGAGATACACAGCTTAGGCTTTGCAGCAGCTCTTGGTAAGAATTCATTTATGCTGGTGTTTATTTATGATATTTATGATATTTGTGTTTAACACAATATTTCCTGGTTCAGACAACTTCTGTACTAATCTTTTAATTAGTACAGAAGTTCACGGGTACCATCCCATCAGTATTTATTTATTAATGCTTTAAACTTTTGCATATAACTGGCCTTGTCCTTCAGTTCCTTATATCCTTCTGGCTCATTCACTTCCAGTTTCCACCTGTGTTCTCTTGCTGTATTTCTTCTAATGTGGAACATTAATGGTCTTGTTTATTTTGTTTATATTTTATACATCATAACATGTCTCCTCTGGGTCATTTTCACTCTTGCATTTGCAGCAACCTGCAAATGCAAGAGCGATTATACTCTTCTATTTGCAGGAACTCCTGTATTAATGGTACTGTACTCTATTAGCCTGTTATTGTTCTAACCTATCAGTGACTTTCAGGAATGAGGTTAGCTCTTTATGCTTCACCTCCTAGATTGTTTTTCCTGGTACACCTGGAGTATGCCTGGGGTGAGTTCTGGAAGTTCTTTAACTTCCTGCTCAACAGGCTATTGCTTGGAGCTACCTGTAGGCCCACATATGCACCATAACCTGTTAGATCTGACACTTCTTGATGTTCAAGTTCTGTCATTTTTGCTTTTGAATTTGTGAATTACGGCGGCATCTACAACATATTATATTTCTACACATTACTTACTTTTGCAACTACCACCAATGTACTTCTGTTTTATTTTTCTCTCCGATTAAAAGAGGCTTTTTGGTCCACCTTGTTTATTACCCTCATTAATTTTGTTCTTTGGGTTATTCCCCTCTGCTCCTTTTCTCTCTTCTAGGACCGAGTTGTGTTAGTCCACGAGTTTCACTCTTCTTCAATATGTAGAGTGGAACAGGAATGTCTACCCCCAACAAGAGTTACAATTAATTAAACAATTTCATAATGCTTACTTGCTTAATTTTTGTTGCTTCAAATCATCCAGAGTCATTAGTAAAATACTCGTTACCATTTACCAAATTTTAGTGTTATATAAAGTGGTTAGCTTCAGTTAAATAATCATTAATGTTTGAATGTGCTTAAAAAACTTTGCTTTTCAGGGTGCCTTACACATTCTCTAGTTGTGGGCAAGTTTGACATTGTGCTGGAAGGCTTAATTAATGCTACAAAAATCACACCTGGAACTACAAATTGGGCACAAACAAGGAAGGAAGCAATAAATTCAATATTTAGATTGGTGAAAACTGTTGGCATTAAAAAAGATGGGAAAGGTAAGGCTAGCTTTTGTGTACTAAATAAAATATGTATGAATATATATATATACACTGTACTGTACTATAATGCTATAATATTTCGGTGATGAAAGAGCCTAGTTTCTAATTACATTGGTCTATAGCCAAAATACTTCTGAAATAAATGAGGTCAATTTTGACAAATTCTGGGTCACTGAGAGCAGAAATGATGTTTAAAATTGTTGATTAGCTCTAATGTTCATCCAAGTAGAGTCTTAAAGCAGTTTTGGCGTGTAATGGGAGGGTTTTCCATCAATTCCATTGGGTTATGCAAGCCATATGAAGGAAACTTATGGCAACATGAAGCAGCTTTTGAAGTGGATACCCCCTCCCCGCTCAGCTCGTTGTCGCCGTGTGGGGGCTTCGTGGGCGGCTGCCGGAGTGTGATGCTCCTTCGGACAGTCCTCTGTCCTTTTCTAGCCTTGTGCTCCTGCTGCCGTCCTCTCCAATTCTGCTGGGCACCTTTTCCTTTTCCTTCTGTTTCGTTTTTCTCCCCCCTCTTCTCCTATCTGCTTGCCGTTTCCTGCCGACCTTTTGCTCGTTCTGGTTCTTCCATGGACTTCTTCTATTTTGACGCCCGGGTGCTTGAGGAGGCATACTCATGCACCCGTAGAACTGCAGTACCCGACATCGAGAGCGAGGGGAACCTTTTATTGTCAATCCCCACTTCGTCACTGAACCCGATCTCGACGGACTGTCGGTTTCTTAAGGTGGCGTTTGTGGGGCGTATACTCACGACGCACCCCTAGGAGGCCCCGACAAGATCGGCGATAGCTTCTTGTTGGGTGTCCTGCCTCTAATTGTGGCTCCGTGGTGGGTGTGGGGGCACATTCGTGAGTGAATTTTTCTTTTCGTTGCGATGAAAACCCCTGTTTCGGCTGCTTCTGGCTTCCCTTCTCAGGCTCGTGGGGTGGGCGACCAAGCCCCCGAGTCGGTCCGTATTGGAAGACCGGGCTCTGTAGCCTCCGCTGCATTGGGCCCCGACCTTGCTCCTCCTTTGGCCTCTCTGACTCCTTCCCCTGGCTCCCTTCCCTCCTCTGTGGTTGGGTCGAGCCCCAAGCCCCCAGTGGTGACTACCTCGTCCCCTGGCGCGGCTCCTTCTCTAGTTGTAACTACTGCGCCTTTTAACCCCTCTCTCTCTGGGGGTTCTCACCGCCGTCCTCGTCACGGCCGCCCTCGCTCGATTCCTTCCAGTTCTGCTACCTATCAAGCCTTGTTTGGTCCCGCTTCGTGGGCCAAATATTTTGATCTCCTCCCTCTTGATTCTGCGCCTCCTGACGATTTCTCCCTTCATCGACATCTCATTGATTCCGTGGATGCCTCCATTACTTTCAACCCCACTCGTCTCGGTACACGTGTCGTTGCTGCTCCTTCTCAGGATGCTGCTTCCCGCTTGGCTGCCTTGTCCTGCCTTGGCGAGACCCCCGTTCGGGTCTCGAAAAACGCTCAGTTGAATGCCAGTGTTGGCACTATTTTGCTCCCGCCCCATGTTGCAACCGGTGTTCGGGACCTGCGCGACTGCCACGACGATATTCGACATATCCTCGCTGCCCAGGGCCATTCTATTCTCCAGGTGGACACGTTTACTCGTCCCCCTCGTGGTAGTCGCCGTCAACCCCTCCGGGTTGTGAAGATTACCTTTGATGGTAGGACCCTTCCACCCTCTGTCATTCTTGCTGGTGCCAGGTGCTCTGTCCAGGAGTACATTCCTTCTCCTCGGCTCTGCAACAAGTGCTGGAGGTTTGGGCATGGTGCCCTCCGCTGCTCCGGGACTGTCTCTCTCTGTCCTTTGTGTGGTGGCGAAGGTCACTCTAAGTCGGAGTGCACTTCTCCCCAGGCTCGTTGCCTCAACTGCGGTGAGGCCCATCCTACCTTCTCCCGTGCGTGTGTCCATTACAAGCTTGAGGCAGCCGTCCTCAACCTGAAGCACCGGGAGCGTTTATCTTTTCCTGAGGCGAGGCGCCAGGTTCGCCGGCTCCCGCCTTATGCTAATATCTCTTATGCTCGCGTGTTGCGCTCTTCCTCTCCTCGTCCTTCCCACCTTCCTCAGACTCACAACCGTTTCCGGGCCTTGGACCCTGATGCGCCCACTGCCCCCTCCTCTGTTCCTTCGGGTTCTCTCCCGAAGGATCCTCCTCCTGGTCCTCTGTCTGGGGTTCCCCTTCCTTCTACCCGGTCTGTCGTGTCTTCTGTGTCTTCTTCCTCGTCCCCCTCCGGTCCTCCTTCCCATCCTCTTCCTCCATCTATCAGCTCTCCCCACCGCCTGTCGGTGCGGTCGGATGTCCATCGCTCTCCTACCGGCCGTCGTGTGTGCTCTCGTTCGGCTTCTCCAGTTGAGACACTGGAGTCAATTGCCCGGTACGTAGTTGCTGGGACACCGGTCTCTTTAAGTCAGAAGCGTAAGCCTGGCTCCTCTCCTTCCTCTTCCCCGGCGGGTAAGAAGGCTTCGCTTTCTTCCTCAGCTCCTCCTTCTGGCTCTGTTGCTCCTTCCCCTCCCGTTTCAGTGCTTGCGCCCCCTGTTCCTGCTATGGAGGTTTCTTTGTACCCTGCTTCCCTTTCGGTTGCTGCTCTTGCTGGGGTGCGCTCCCCTCTTTCTACTCCCCCTCCTCCTGCTGCTGTCCTTGACGGATCCTCTCCGTTGTCTCCTCCTCTTCCTCCTCTTCCTCCTCCTCCTCCGGACCCTGCCCGCCCACCTCTGATCTGTTCTCCCATTTCCTTCCCTCCGTCTTTGCTCAGTTTACCCATGCCCCCTAACCCTGACTTTGCTGACCCTGATCCCGACCCTGATATTCTTTAACGTGCTCTGTTGCTCTTTCGCCTTTGTTTCTTCCTTGTTCTCTGTTTTTGTCCTTTCTCTTCTCGTCGTTGTCCATTCTTCAATGGAACGTTCGAGGTTATTACGCCAATTTCCTCGAACTCCAACTTCTGGTTTCGCGGTTTTCGCCCCTTTGTGTCTGTCTCCAGGAGCCAATGCTTGGTGCTCGTCCTGGTCGTTTTCGTGGCTATTCCTTTCTCTCCCCCCCCCCCAGCCATTGCTGGGGCTTCTAATTCTTCTGCTCTCTTGATTCGGGCTGATGTTCCCTTTGTTCCTTTACTTTTTCCTTCGCCTCTCCATTGTTCTGCTGCTCGTATCTTTGTGGGGAAATGGTACACAGTTTGTTCCATTTATCTCCCCCCGAGTGTCCCGCTCTCTCTTCCTGATTTGAAACACCTCCTAGACTCCTTGCCGGAGCCTGTGCTCCTGCTGGGTGACTTCAATTGTCGTCATTCTCTTTGGGGTGACGTTCTGACGAATACCCGGGGTCGCCTCCTTGAGCCGTTTCTCCTCTCTTCTTCCCTGTCTCTTCTGAATTCTGGTGAGCCCACTCATTTGGACTCTCGAACTCGCACCCTTTCTTGTCTTGATCTTTCTCTCTGCTCTTCTTCTCTTTACTTAGATTTCACGTGGCAGGTTCTTGATGACCTCCATGGAAGTGATCATTTCCCCATCCTTGTTTCCTTTTTCTCTTTTCGCCCTTCCCTCTCTTTCCCTAGGTGGCAGTTTGCTAAGGCGGACTGGACCCTATTTTCCCTCAGTGCTACTCTCTCTGACCTCTCCCTTCTGCCCCTCTCTCGCGCTCTCCTCCTTTTTCATGACACTGTCTTCGACGCTGCCCTCCGCTCTATTCCTCGCTCTTCCTCTCGGGGTCCACGGAAGTGCGTTCCCTGGTGGAATGCGGACTGTGCTCGGGCTGTCCGCTGTAAGCGTGCAGCCTGGAAGAAGCACCGCCGTAGGCAGACGACCGATTCTTTTCTTTTCTTTCGGAAAGCGAGTGCGGTGGCCCGTAGGGCCATCCGTACGGCTAAACGTGAATGTTGGGCATCTTATGTCTCGACAATTACGTCCGAAACCCCTCTGGCCCAGATCTGGAAGCGTATCCGCAAGATAGCGGGTAAGTTCGTTCCCGATGTTTCACCGGTCCTTCACCTCCATGATACTCTTGTGGCGGACCCGTTGCAGGTCGCTTCCGAACTGGGTTCCCACTTTTCTTCTGTTAGCTCTGGTCTTCATCTTCCCCAATCTTTCCTTCTTCGTAAACCTGTCCTTGAGTCTCGTCCTTTAGATTTCTGCACTCATCTTCAGCTTCCCTATAATGATCCCTTCTCTCTCTCTGAACTTCGTTCTGCCCTGGCCCTCTGCGGTTCTACGGCGGCGGGCTCCGATGGTATTCATTATGAGATGCTTCGCCATCTCCCTCCGAGCACGTCTCAGTATTTACTGAGTCTGTATAATCGGATCTGGGAGTCGTCGTCAGTCCCTGAGGACTGGCTCGATGCCGTTGTCCTCCCTGTTCGCAAACCGGGGTCTCTGGGTACTTCCCCTAAGGACTTTCGCCCTCTTGCTCTCACAAGTTGTGTCTGCAAACTCTTTGAACGTATGGTTAACGTTTGTCTGATGTGGTTCCTGGAACACCATCACCTCCTCTCCCCTTCTCAATTTGGTTTCCGCAAGTGCCGCAGCACGACAGATGTCCTGGTGAACTTGGAGGTCTATATTCGTACTGCTTTTGCTGCGAAGACCTCCGTTGTTGCCGTCCTTTTTGACCTAGAAAAGGCTTACGACACCACTTGGCGTTATCATATCCTATCTCAACTTCATTCTTTTGGCCTTCGTGGTCATCTCCCTCTCTTTCTCCGCAGCTTCCTCTCTCGTCGTTCCTTTCGGGTGCGCCTTGGTACCGCTCTGTCTCCCTCTTTTCAGCAATACGAAGGTGTGCCCCAGGGTAGTGTTCTGAGCACTACTCTTTTTCTGGTTGCCCTCAATGGTCTTCTTTCCTCTCTTCCTTCTGGTGTCTTCTCCGCTCTCTATGTCGATGATCTTACCCTTTGTTGTCAGGGTGATGATTCGCCTCTCCTTCAACGCCGGCTTCAACTTGCAATTGATGCCGTGTCGTCTTGGGCCACAGGTCATGGCTTCAAGTTCTCTACTTCTAAGACTTGTGCCATGACTTTTACGCGGAAACGGGTTGTTCTTCGTCCCTCTTTGTCACTTTATGGTCATCCCCTTGAATACAAAGATTCCGCGAAGCTTTTGGGGTTATTCCTTGACACTCGTTTGTCTTGGTCTCCCCATATCTCTTACCTCCGTGTTGAGTGCTCTAAGGCCCTTACCCTCCTTCGGGTCTTGTCCCATACTTCTTGGGGGGCAGATAGGCGCACTCTCCTTGCTTTACATTCCTCTCTCGTCCTGTCTAAGCTCGATTATGGTTGCCCTGCTTACTCGTCTGCTTCTCCTTCTACTCTTCGCCGTCTTGATGCTTTGCACCATACTGGGTTGCGCCTCAGTTCTGGTGCCTTTCGTTCGACTCCCGTCCTTAGCTTGTATGTTGACACTGGCTTCCTGTCTCTCCAGGACCGCCGTGATCGCTACTGTCTTCGCTATCTTGCGCGGTCCTTGCAACATCCTTCCTCTCGCCTCTGTCGTGCTTTAACTTTTACCCCTCCTGCGGTTCCTGTTCCTCTTCACCACCTCCCTCTTTCTGTCCGGTTATCTCGCCTACAGGATTCTCTTTCCGTTCGTATTTCTGGTGTTTCTCCTCGTGTTGTTCCTTCTTTGCCCCCGTGGAGGGTCCCTCTTCCGCGGTTTTGTACATCCTTGACTCGTATCACTAAAGCTTTTACCCCTCCTACGGTTCTAAAACGCCTTTTCCTTGAGCACTTTTCTTCTCACTCCCGCTCCGTTTCTGTCTTCACCGATGGGTCTAAGTCAGCGGACGGTGTTGGCTACTCTGTTGTTTTTCCTGATCGCACTTATATGTGTCGCTTGCCTCCGGAGACTAGCATCTTTACAGCGGAACTTTATGCTATTCTCTATGCTCTTCGTCTCCTGCTTTTTCGTTGTCAGTCTTCCTTTGTGGTTGTTGTTGACTCTCGTAGTGCCCTCATGGCTCTCGGGTGCTTTAATCCAGTTCATCCAGTAGTTGTCGAGATCCAGCATTGGCTGTTTCTCGTTCACAGTAAATTTAAGTCGGTTGAGTTTTGTTGGGTTCCCAGCCATATTGGCGTGTCTTTAAATGAGCGTGCGGATGCTGCCGCTAAGGAAGCTGTCCGCTCTTGTCCCATCTCTCGTAAAGGCATTCCGTATTCCGACTTTTACCCGGTTATCCATTCCTCAGTCCTTACCCGTTGGCAGGCTTCTTGGTTGTCTGTTACTGGTAACAAGCTACGTACTCTTAAATGTTGTGTTTCCTCGTGGCCGTCCTCCTTCCACCGTAACCGGCGGTGGGAAACAGCTCTGGCGAGGTTGCGTATTGGCCATACTCGCTTAACCCATGGTCACTTGATGGAGCGCCGCCCTGCTCCTTATTGTCCTAGTTGCATTGTCCCTCTTACGGTCGTGCATGTCCTTCTTGAATGTCCTGACTTCCAGGACGAGCGTGTGTCTTGCTTTCCGACCGCCCCTCGCGGTCACCTGTCCCTCGATAGAATTCTTGGTGACTCGGATACTTTTGATATCGTTCGCCTTATGCGTTTTTGTTCTCGTATTGGCATCCTTGGTGATATTTAGCGCCCTCTGATTATTTTGCGTATTTGATGGTGCTACATAGCCTTCCCGGTTTGGTGCCTTCTTTTGATAACTACTTACTTACTTACTTTTGAAGTGGATAAATGATGACCAATATCAGTGACAGTTCTGTGGCAATTTGAAGATTGTTGCTCTTGTGATAGGTATGCATGGTGGATACACAAAGTACTGTTGTTTTCTTTGTGAGTGGGATAGTTATATCAAGATATTCCCACCTTGTCATGTGAGACTGGCCACTCTGTCCGTCATTGGAGCCTGGGAAAAAACTGTTCGGCATCCATTACCTGTTAAATCAAGCAAGATTTTGTTACCAACCTTACACATAAAACAATAGCTAATCAGCAATTTAGTTATTATATGGTATTTGAATTCAGCACATCAAAATGCATGATAAACGGCTCTTTTTCATCTTAGAAGCCGATGACTTTTTGAAATATTGTTGACGAGGGTTTGTAAACAAATGCACGAATGCTGGTAGAAGAGCACCTCCAATTTTTCCTAGTTATAGAATTTGGGCTTTGTTTCTAGAGTTTGTACTCTGCCACTGGGGTCTTCTCCAAGAGGAACGTCCGTTCAACTTGGCATTTGTTGATACAGGAGTTGATGAATTTCTTACTTTTTCCCTGATTTTGATTTCCTTATAGATTTAGTTATTTTTCTTCCTCGTGCCTTTCTTCCTTTAATATTTGCCCATATTGTCTAAGTTATTTATCCTTGATATATATTCATTGTAAAGTGACTTTTCAGCATTTTAGTTCTATTCATTATACTGTAAATATCTGTAAACAACATTGCTGTAAATATCCAAAACATCATTGCAGGAAATTAATATTCATAATTCTAATTCTTTATCATGTAATTTTTTTTTTTATTATTATTGCTGTTAATATGAGATAAATTTTTACAGCATGTGAGCATGTATGTCAGAGCAATCTACCAAGTATCTATCATGCTCTGCTGAACAGTTTAGATGACTACACCATGGACCGCAGGGGTGACATTGGAGCCTGGGTCAGAGAGGCGGCTATATCCTCACTACAGGTGAGCAAATTGACGCCTTCTTCTCATTTGTTTATCCAGTAAGCTCGTTTTTTTACCATCAAATTTGGCAACTCATTTTTTTCCATTCCCATGATCAATTTTGCCTTGTAATAAGGTAAAGTAAGAAAAGGTAAATTTAGTCTCACAAATATATTATTCTTGTTATAAATATATATAATTTATATATATAAATTATATTTAACTTGGGTTGTTGTCTAATATAGTTTCTTCCATTTCTGCTGTGCTATAATTTTTATATTTGTTTTAAGGTTGTCATAGTTGTTGTCTGATATGACAATTCTATTTCAGGCCTTAACCCTAGCAGTAGTTGCAGAGGATGCCAGCTTGTTAACAGAAGATATTGTCAAGGAATTGATGTCTCGTATTTGTCAGCAAGCGGTAGAAAGAATAGACAGAACACGAAAAGTGGCTGGAACGGCATTTGCTGCTCTCCTCTACAGGTATGCTTAAAATGTTTATGTAATTATCCTAATAATGTCATCTAGTCTACCCATCAGTAGTATGTTTATCAATATTAAAAGTAAAATTAATGATGGGCATACATTTTGGTTTGTATGTCTTGTATATGCAGTATAGATTATGCTGTATTTGCAAGTGAATGCATTAAGGCTTTTTATTTTTTTTGTCAGCTCCAGTAAGTGTGCATTTTCAATGGAGCCATTTCCAGGTCTGGGCCCTTGCGGGCCTACCCACAAGGAAAAAAAAAAAAATTAGAAATAAAGTGGATCTATTACAGTTGTGCAATTTACCTTCCAGTTCTCCAGAAGTGCCATTTATCCCTGACCGACAAGAAGTAAAGAGAGTTTTTCCAAAGCCAATATGCGACACAGTGAACTGGGCTTCAGAAAAGGCCACGTTTCATTTATTCATTCAGATTGTGGACTTTCCAGCGTATAGGACTCGAGTCCTATTAGGAATCACTTACTCAGCTGGAGGAATCTCGGCAAATTTGGTTAGTAAAATATATCTCCATGAAAACTGTAAATTGTACTATTTAACTATGCTTACTGTCATATCTTTTACATGAGGATACAAATATTTGATTCAGTATTTTGTATCGATTTATTTGTCCAGCACGAGTCAAATAAATGCAATAATAATGTACTTACTTTGCACATGTATCAGTGTGTTTTTGGCAGAAAAACACTAACACATGTGCAAAAGGAGTATATACAGCAGGCATGTCAAACTGAAGGTCCCCCAAAAGGCCGTATGGATTACATTTATGTTAACATGAGGGCCACACATGAAAACTAATTGAAGTAATTTAATAAATATTATTGCAGAATATTTTTTCTATTATATTATATACCAAATTACAGTATCCTTTGTGCAGGCTGCAGGTGTGCTTGCAAAAGGCCGCATGCGTCCCGTGGGCCGCATGTTTGACATGCCTGATATTATACAGTACTGTTGCACATGTATTGGTGTGTTCTTGCACATGCCTACATACACACACGCATGCACACCTGTATGCACGGACAGACTCGGGCAGACTCTTTGAAGTGGGTTTATGTCTACAATGCTTAACTATATTATAAAAGTACAGTATTTATATTTCTGAGCAAGGTCCCCTCGGCTAACTCCATTAGCTAGCACTAGTGCCCACCGAGGGCACTGCTCAAACTCCAAACTCTAGATGTCTTTGGCCAGCTGTGACAAGGCACATTTCGTAGGGTCTTGCGACATACTAGGGGAGGGAAGGTAGTAGAAAGTCTAGCACAGTCCACCACTGAGAGGGACACGTTGCAACAGAATGGAAAATACAATAGAAAAATTGGGCTGTTATTTGTTAACAACAGGTTAGGAGTTTAGTGGTTACTCAACTGAATTGGGAAAATTGTTGGAAATGGCATTTATGTTTGGCTGGTAATTAAATAATTTGTTGTCAGTAAATTATTCTCTTGATGTTTATTGTTATTATCCCTCGCTTATTTACATGCTTACTATTTTTTTCAACAGTCTCGGTATACAAGTGAAGCTATACACAGCTATTTGAATGCTCGTGCCAAGAAACCAGAATTTCTCTCATCCTTCCTGGAGACAATTCTACAGTTGTTTATTTCTCATCAAAAAGTGGACCGAATCACACTCCCATTAATCAAGACAGTTGGAGACTTGCTGAGCTCTTCTGCTGTTCTTGATCCGGTTAGTATTTAAATGAATGACTCAGTTTTAACATATGTGTAGTTAAAGCCTCTTGCAGGATTCACTTTTTTTATAATGTTTTGTTTATTACATAGGCATGAAAAGTGGCTGATCTTACAAGCCAATTGAGCATAATAACTTTGAATGTGTATGAGGAATATATAGAGATAAGTCCTTTATTGCATCTAGTTAAGAAATGGATCTTTAGACTTCATAAATGTGTATTCACTTTCATATAATGAGGGAACAGTTGTGGTTGGAAAGTTAATTAACAAATATAAATTTGTAGTAATACAGATGTCTGTTAACTTGATGTACATTTGCATGAGAAGATGGAGCCATGAACATTGTTTTTATGACTCAGTATTTTCCAGTAATGGCTTACTGTTAAGGCCAGCTTCTGTTTGTTGCTGGTCTGCACCTGGTGACGTCATTTACGCATTAATCACAGGGCCTTGTCACATATCCTTCTAATGCTCCTTGACCATTTATCATTTCTTGCCCCTGTAACACGGGTTAGGTTCCTCTCTCTTTTTACTTCCTTCTTTCTACTCCCTCTACCCGTATTCTTACTTATTATTCTCTACCAAGGGACTCCAAAACTTTTACCAAAGCCAACTCCACGCCACGTGGTCCTAAGACGATTGACCGACTTAGGATTCTACACCCAGTATGACGTGACCTAAGCTCTGAGCAAAACCCTAGAGTCGCCTCTATGCTGCCACCACCAGACCAGCTCTACAGAGCAATGATCGAGGTCTGGATCGATCACGCTAATTAATCAACCTTGGGGCTTGATCCCCACTAGTAGTTTATAACCTCGGAAACTTGAGTGTGGAATTAATTAGATGGGGATGATGAATTCCGATCCGATGTTAGAATCGGCGCCCAATGCAACTCTGCCTCGTGTGGACCACGTGACCAGGACAAGTTTACACATAACCAAATGGAAACAATAAAATGCAAATTAATAACAAATTTAATTTATTAAGAGAAAACTAAAACAAAATCTAAATGTGTTCACTCCCTATCACTTTAACACTCCCTACTTGACCTGAATGGCAAATGAGAAGACTATTTCTATACATAACCATAGCAACTATACCTCTATGTTTTCCAGCTCTCGGTGTTGGGCTGGTCTTGGGGAGAGGTAAGATGTTTTGACCTCTCCCAGCTGCTCGGCAGATCACACTGATCTCTTCCTTGTCTGGTCTACCCCAGACAAGAGTATTGTATCCTTCCGCCTAGTCAAAGTTCTACCCAGTTACTAGCAAGGTTTAAGTTATAACAATTAAACTCTGTTGTACTTAATTGATCCAGACTGGTTGAATTATTTTACTGAATTAAATTACAAACATCTAACGGCAGAGCTGTTCCCGCTCACAAAAATGGTTATTAAAACTTTGAGAAATAGTAGACCTGTCAACCCCTGATGACCTATGACCGCTGGTCACTCCGCCTTAAAAGTTAGATCTGATTCGTGACGTCACTGATGGTGACTTAAACTCAATAATTAGAATACTCTTGATATTGTATCCAGTACTATTATACAATACAATTTTAATGCAAAATGAATAAAGGCTAATTTTCTCTAAATTACTGAATACTATAGGATGGTTCATTATACGCAGCTATGAACAAAGATGCCCGCCATTTGTGACTCAGACCTGCTAATTCCCAGGGGACTGGGCGTTGTTGAGAGGTCAGGTCCCTACTCGAACTTCTGGAACCTTCTGGAATAATTCTTACAACAGCCTAGTTTGTTACACCCCTATATACCCCCCTTTCTTTTATCATTATATATGTTGCAGTATTTGTGGAGTTATTTTTGTTTTGTCAACATTATATTATGACTGACCTGAAAAGGGGGTGAACTTCAGCATTCATGTGCAGTATTCCCATATAGGGCAGGAGCATCATGTTAGTACATTACACATTACCACATTGTTCTCTTAACTTTCACAGAGTATATGGGCACTCACCAGGAAAGGAGTGTTCTATGATTACATGCTATGTGTGTGTGTGCTTTTTTCTATATGTAAGAACATGTAAATGTCACTATAGCGTCGACCTTCCCTGGGAGGTGCCCTCACAAAAGTGGGAAACAGTATAGTGGTGCACTTACCTTGCAGTATTTGCAGTGAGATCTGGCTCTTGTGTACCATGTTTTCCAGCAATGGAATTTTTTTTTTTTATCTCTCTACATTTCTATCTATCATCCTTGCTCTTGAAACTGCCTGATGAGACAAGGACACGTATGAACACTTTAAAATAAATAGATAAAAGATTCATTTGTTTGTATATTTTCAGATACTGGGAGATGATGATGCCTACACCTCCAGGCTCATCACTGTGCTGAAAAAGGAGTGTTTTAGATCAACAGACTACCACAAGCTGGCAGCCGTTATCACGGCACTGTGTGAATTGCTGAGAATGAACAGTAGTGCTGCTAAATCCTGCCTCACCCAGCTCGTACTGTTCCTTGGATACCAGGTGAGCATTTTTGTATTTTTAATATTGTATTACTGCATTATCATTTGGAAATAAAAGTTTAAAATATTTCTGAGAAGTGCCACTCGGTTGCTCTCGAAGGAAAGGTGTTAGTGTCCCGATGGCTAGCACTGTGCAGTCAGGGCAGTCTCATATTTCACTCTAGTTAACAGGAATTATTTCAAATAGCCTTGTAAAATCATACTTTTGTGAGGGAACGTAGGCCTTATAATCTGATATATTCACACTGGAGGTTTCAATTCTTGGTTAATGTTGATTTGTTGCAGGTTCCACCCTTCTTTTTCTTACAAAAATATTGCCTTTCTGATCATGTTAAGTTGCCAGTCTCATCTTCAGGATTAGAGATTATCCTGATTATAGGCACCTTGGCTGCTACTCTGGTTCATGGGAAATGCCTGATTTTGCCTGCGTTAGGTGGAATTTAAAGTGGCGGAAGTTAGAGGACACTTAATATGTAGGTGCTGTCCCTAGTGGCAGTTCAGGGTAGCAGCTGGGCGAGCCAACTGGCAGTTAATAAAGTTCTCCTCGATAGTTTCTCTTATGTTGAGTAGCACTCAGAAGGGGGTTTGAGTGTAAGGATGTTTATAAAGATTCCTGGTGCTAAATATCTACCTGTTAGTCATATTTCACAGGGAATTATACACTTTATTAAAGATGGAGTCAGCTCCATCAACCCGGATATGCTGAAGAATGTCCAAAGAAATCTATTTTTTCTGTTTACTAGCATGTTTAGAGGTTGGTGGGGTGCATTTTAAACAATTAGTCATTAGTCAAACAAATGTAGTCATTTTTACCAATAAATATAGTTATTCAAATGAATAAATCTGTGATAACCCTGTATGTTAATAATTTATATTGTTTGTATTTTTAAATAGATTAATGAATGGTTAGGGGTTATTTTGAATGTTATTTTAAATGTTAAATACACATATAGTATTTTAGTTTTGATGTAAAATATTGCTAAAACAAAGATCTGATAAAGCTGTCATTTTCATTTGTCGGCAGTATCCCAAAGTTCGAACAGTTACTGCAACCAGCTTACTAACTGCAGTGCAAGATTATTGTGATCAAGGCGTTGTACCTGAAGAACACATAGAGGAAATCACAAGTATTTTAGAGGAGACAGAATGGATGGATAATATTGAAGAAGTCCGGAAACAACGGAATCGTCTCTGTGAGTTGTTTGACATTCCTTCTCCACAGCTCAGAAAAAAATAACTTGCATCGTGATATTAATTGTTTGTATAATGTGCCTCATAAATTGTACATTCCAGGTTTATTATTGCGCCCACTATAGTCTAGCATATGTGCAGTGAGTGGCTTTTGTACCGTCATGTTGAGAATTAGGACTTGGGCCAGGTACTGGAACAGGATAGATTATTCAGCATTATCAGTGAGTGCCTTTTTTGATTCAAAGCACCAGACACACAAACTTCTTTGTAGTACAACCACCATCCCCTCCCACAACAGCAAATACCAGCTTGTCTCTTCTTCCCTTGTGGAACCAATCTCCTTCGTCCCTTTCGTGGCTCGTACACTTCCCTGTTGCCCTTCCTCTACTGCTAAATCAATAGATCTACATGTCACCACCTACCTAAGACCATAGGAATACATAAAATGGCAGGCGGCTATTGGGCTATGCGAGGCAGCTTCTCTTTATACACAATAAAACTCGTACCATACATTAAAACCAGACCGCTTGAAACAATCCAGTCATCCTACATCTATTACGTTACCCGATAATTGGTTAACTAAATCACCAGCTCTATTTCCAGACCAATAATTACCCAGGCCTTTTCTAAATCTAAATTTATCCAATTTGTATCCACTGTGTTATGTTCTAATTTGTCTTGATATATTTAACACCTTATTAATGTCCCTATTGTTATATCTTCTCATCCATTAATATACTTTAAACACATAACCCCTTAATCTTCACCTTTCTAGAAAATGTAAATTAATCTTTTTTAATCTCACTTCATAAAGGAGGTTTCTAATTCCTAGGATATAAGAAAGTCCAATGGTTTCATCACACCAGCCAATTAATGTTATAAAGACAGAGACCAGGAGCTAGAGCTCATTCTCTGGGAACACAATTAGGCAAGGGCATGTTAAACATATTAATTTTGTATAGTTAATGCAGAAAAGCACCTACATACATACTCACACACACACACACACCTTTGCAATTGATTTAAAAGTGTTTGTCTTTGGGAAAATTATAATATTTAAGTAATACAGATTTGTTTAGATTTTTTTTACACAGGTAATTTTTTGCTTCAATGTATATTTGTTTATGGGTTATCAGTTGGTACCTGTGATCTCTAATGCTGTCAACTGTTTCAGGATTTAGATTATCTTTGTCAAAATGCAATGTATATTTTCAGGATTTAAGTAGGCTGGCACTAGCAGCGCCCTCATAATGTTCATCACACTTAGCTTTTAGATAGTACCTAGATGAATGTTTTTCCTTCCTTATTTTATGTTCATGTTTTCAATCTCACGCCATGTTTGATGGTATCAACTCGGAAAGGTTAACCAAGTTCAGGACTCTTACGCTTATTATAACAAGCTTCCCGCGTGCTGTAGGGCCTCTTGTTTATCCTGTCTGGTCACAGGGTAAGAGTAAGGACTTCGTTGTGTGTGAATATCGTCCACATTATTTTATCTTATTTCACAAAGTATTTGTAAAGATCTAATCAATTATGTCCAACTGCTCATCACATAAGGTAACTCAAGCTTTAAAATATTAGGTTCTATAATTTAAATAAAAGCTTGCATATTATAAACTTTGATCATTTGTCCTGCATTTCAGTTTCTGCAAATGAAATTAACGAAGGAAACAATAAAATATTTGACAGACTGTTCAAGGATGTGTGAAGGGAAACCTAGACTTATAAGAGCACAGTAAAGTATTTAACTCGTCGAACCTTAAGTGGCAATCGCTTCTCAAAAACCTTTGTTTCTTTGGAGAAGGTGTGAGTATACTCGGATTTCTAACTTGGGTGTCTTTTATACCCATGGGGCGATTTTATGACTGAATAGTCATAGACCTGGATAATATTCCTGTAAATATGAATCAGCCAATCACATACAGTTTGGGATCCAGGAGATCCCGAAACCTGGCACCTGGAGATCGTTGCCAATTTGCAGTGTGCTGGCAGAAGGAAAATTCATACACAAGTAGAAAGACCATTTCAAATTGTTTTTCTTGGATTTTGTTCTAACAAAATGACTGAGTGAAATTAAAAAGATAGTAAATGAGAAGAGTACTTCAGATCTGCAATAATATTGGAGTCAAAGGGTAAGTACAGGATTAAGGCGCATGGTAGTCTGTAGAAAAACGTTCTCAAGTCGTGATACAGGTGATCATGAAAAACATACACTGAACTAAAGTTTTATGGATATTTACTCTGCTATTGTAACTTAAGGCTGAGAACGACGGCATAAAAGATGGAATTAATTACCAAATACATCTAGGATTTATTACTGTTCAGTAAATTGCCCAGTGTCAGAGGATCTGTCAACATAGTTTCAGAAAAGCTCAGTGGCTGGCTGATAATGGTGAGGTATGCATCTTGATGTAGCACTATTAAATAGCTGCACAGTTTACAGGTTAAGTGAGACTAAATGTTAAGGAAAATGTGAAATGGTAATTGACTTGTGACATGAAATACATTAAAGAGCTGACAAAGAAGTGAGGTACAGCAGTAGTAGTTATCTATATGAAAGGGGATTGTCAAAGAATGTACAGCTGACTTTCAAAATAATGCACAAATTATACCATTCAACATAGCACATCAATTTCTCCCCAGCTTTCTGGGGAGAAATTGAAATCAAAATCCCTTTGCAGGGTATCATCGCAATACCCTGCGAAGGGATTTTGTTAAGGATCTTGTTGGAAAAATAGAATGCATTCAAGGATGAAGAATTTTATTACACACAATTGGAATAATGTACAGCATTTAGGTAACTATAATAAATAATGGTTTAATTTATACAGGAAAATGTTTAAGGTGATATGATTATACTGAGTGAAACCCAGATGAAAACTGGCCATGTTTTCTTATTGAAAATAAATGACTGTCCCACATATCAAACCAAACTGTTACATTGGTTTCATATTTATTTATTATTATTTTTTAAACTAGCTAAAATTACTACAGGTACAGTAGTTTAAGAGGTATGATCCAAAATCCATTCTGAAGGAAGTTCTAAAAATCACCGCCATCCAAAACATTAAGACCAGATTCGGCAAAGAATTCAAACCTCCATTCGACATAAGAGCCCTAGATGGCAAAGTTGGGTACTTTTGTGGGTCGTGTGCTTCTGTTAGCTCCACTGAACCACTATGTGAGTGGTTCAGCCTTCGTTATGGCCTTTTGCATTCATTGTCCCTGCCTGTCTCCAGTCACGGGTCCAGTTGTCATACAGAAAATTGGCAGTCAGAGGTTTGTGAACTCTTCCAGTCTCTCTGATGATCTTCCACCACCTTTGAGATTCCTATAGTTTTATTCCTCACCTGGCTTTTCTCAGTGATGTCTTAAGATTAACTTCATTGCATCTTATAATATGGCACTGCAACTGCTTCTACTAGGTATTGTCTCGATATCTCATCTCTACAGTTTCTTAAACTAGAGTGTGCATTTCTTCCACCTCCATCCTTATAATACACTCTTGGAACCCCACCTTATTACTCTGTTAAGTTTTCATGTCTTTTTCACTTTGAGGTGTTAGTCATTCGAGGCTCTGACTTTAGAGATTGTTACTGTTGGCCTATTGGCTATTGATGGGCATCATGGTCTGCCTTCACCTTAACCCACTTCTTCCTGGCAAAAAATGAGATTCCTTCCTTCTGGTGGGGCTATATTCTTGTGTAAGGCTTGGTTAGTGTAGCCATCTGTCCATCACATCATGTGCCTGCTCTCTGCTGGCATCTTCAGGCATTTCAGCATTTGCTGTGCTCTTCCTCAAACTGCAGACCATGCGTTCTTATTCTAAGGCTTGTCTGCCTGTCTTGAGTAACATGGAATATGTGAAGCTCAGTCAACAAAGGCTCTATTTATGTGACACTGCTATGCTCAAGGCATTCTTCTCCATCCCTGTATATCCTGATAACTGTACCATGAGATTTTGGAGGACAAACCATAGTTTTGCCTAGTTTCATGTACCCCTACACTATAGGTTTTTATCTTCAGTATGTGTTGTGTCGAGACGTTTCTCCTCGTCATCATAGGGTCAGGCCCTATATATCTCCAATGTTGTGGTTCTCATCACTATATCTTCCAAGCCCTTCTGTGGCTCAAGTAACTTTTCTGTCTTACTGTTTACATTTCTTGTCTTTTTGTGTGCTTGTGGTGATGCTTGCATAAGGGAGCAACTAAGTAGCCTATGTTTAAAAAGAGTCCATTGTGTAGAGGAAATCCTCCTGAGCTATTCACTTGGTTTCTCCCATACCCTCCCTCCCTTGAAGTGAATGACACAAAGTTAGCTCCAATAGCTAGGTGACTGTTTATGCTACCAGTGCTGCTACCTGGTGTTGGGTGGTGGCCATCTAGTTAGTGGTCGTTAGCAGCAGCAGAGCAGTGTTTGGCAGTCTTTATGATTTTGAGTATTGCATAGAGTAATTTCATTCAGGGCTAGATTGAACATTTTTCAGTGTATCTCCTACTTTGATCCAGTGGGGGCATTTAAAAAAGACCTCGGGTGCCTTGTGTGATGGGAAGTTGCGCTGACCCAGGCTGGGGTGTGCAATGTCCCAGGAGGAAAGTGGGATTTTATCAGAAATAAGCATTTTATCTTCAATGCCTTATTTTGTATAACAAAATAAAATAAGTATTTAAATACAATAAATATACTAGAGGTGTCCAAAAACACTAGTGAGACCTCGTGAACTTTTAAAAACTAATGTCATTGTCATACAAACCCGCATATCTTTGAATGTTGACCACAAATTACTTTAATGGATTTATACCTAACCTAACCTAACCTGGGTACCTAAATGGAACCTAACCTGGCTTTGCACCCTGGAGAGGCCACTCCAGATCGACAACCAGAACGCAACGCCATAGTCTCTTATGACTGATGTATGCCTACTATATATTTACTATTTAGGTTCAGATCACAGATTCGATAGACGACTATGTTTTTCTAATTACGGGCACAAGATATATGTGTTTGTATATGTATACATATGTTATTAATTATATAAATAAATAAAACTGTGCAAGCTTAAATTATAAATGCAAAATATTAATTGTATGGAGTGCCAGTACAGTAAATTCATTTTTTAAAGTACCAGGAAGCATACTTGGTATTTTACCAAAATCTGTTTTTTCTTCTTAATATCATAGATCACTACACATACTTCACTCTTGGTCATGGTGTTATAGCAAACTGACAAGTTGATGCTGGATATTGCCATGTCTGAGAAAGTGTGAGCATTGAGCTACAAGACACAAAAACATCTCCCAGGGAGGTTGCCTGACCTTTGGCCAGATGTCAGAATATGCTGGGAATCTTACATTATTCTTGCTTCTCCCATGAGCTCACCTGGAAAGTCAGCAAGTGTTAGCCACAATAAACATGAAGGTAAGTATCAGTGAATGATCTATCAACACTGGGGATTTAGCAAAGTGTAAGTCTGTGAATGACAAAAATTAAATTTGTATGTAAAGTATGCTTTAGGTTTAAAAAAAAAAAAATTAAAAGATGATTCTACATAAAAATATATCTTTGAGGACTTCTCCAAGATATAAAATAATTGTATGTACCTTGCGGCTGTTGTAACAACACACACACAACATGCATGGTTTCAAAATGAGCAGTCAACTGGTGGTAACACAGTTTATTCTCTCTGTTGCCATCTACATGGTGCATGAAATCGGTATTTAATTGAAACAAAAGTACCAGTACGTAAAAGAATACTATAAAACCAGCGTTGAATGTAATGAAACGCCATTTTCTGGGCAAGACGCGGAGGCTCCGGGGAAGGCCTCCGAGGCTCCCCCCAGAAAGATTTAGGATTCATTGCTTTAAAGTATATTTTGCATATTGTAATTATGAAAGTGATACAAAGCAAACTTTAACCAATTTTTGATTATGTTTACATGAAATTGCATTGTTATTTTACACAGATTTTGCTTTACCATACAGCATGAACATGTGAAACCTAATTAAGCATTAGAAATCCTATACCAAAAATATCTATAATCACGTATTTTGTTAATTAATGCTTTTTATGTTGGCTAAAGTATACTGCATCACTAAACAAAAATACTAGAAAGTAATTCATACAAAGATCAGCAAAAGAAAACCAACAAATAGGTGTCTTAACCACACGGTACTTTCAAGTTAACAGTCAGCTTGGTGTGAGTGAAAAAATTTGAAATTTTTTTGAGTGTGCATACACATGAATATGCATGAATGTGTGCGAATCTGTGTGTGTATTTTTGTACTGTCATTTGTTAACAAAGTGGAACCAACCTGTGCACACACAAACCTGAGAAAAATTATATCAGGAACCTGAAAATTTTAGAATACTGTACATCTGATAATAAAGATGAATGTTGACCAAACCACACACTAGAAATTGAAGAGACGACAACATTTCAGTCCGTCCTGGTCCATTATCAAGTCGATGGTCCAGGACGGACCGAAATGTCGTCGTCTCTTCAATTTCTAGTGTGATTTTGTCAACATTTATCAGCTACGTTATTATGATGCTTCATCTGCATAAAGATGTATTTTTATTTACAAAGAACTCTTCCTGGGTATATAGTACTGTAGTGTTAAACTTTTCAAACACTAATGTTGTTATACTGCATAGCAATTTCTCAAGAAATGCCTTGCTTTGTACATAATAAAATCTTGTACCCTTAAAAGAATGCTAAAAAAAAAAATAGTATTCCAACTTGGAAGATTCTGACCATTGCCCTATGTTGCAAGGGGGTAACTTGTACAGACAACAGCCCTTCCAGACTACACTCAATCCCTAGTGTATATAAAATTTAAGGCATTAAAATTCTCCAGGTATATTGAAGTGCTATAGTATTCAAAATAAGTGACCCATCAATGATATTCAAACCAAAACACATGCAAACGGACACAATTATTTGTTATTTATGTTGATTTAGGCTTTGAGCCAGGTACAGGAATAGTCTAGTTATTCAGTGCCAAGCTATCCCAAAACTACTGAAATCAGTTAGGTTTTGCAACGTTGCATATATTGCTGCTGTTGTTAGCATTACCCCGGGAGCACCATGAGTAGGTAACAATGGCTGTGCTCCTCCCATAGTATACTTGTGCATTTTTGGAATTATTCTACTCCCTAAGTCTAGCCTGGGGCAAGGTTTGACTTATAACTTGGTCCAGCAGATTTGCTTGGAATAGCTCACATGCCCATATTCGTTACAAACCCGCTGTTCTGGCACTTCCTGCATGAACTTGTCTAACCGTTTACTTAACATGTCCAATTTTGTTGTGTTTAGTGGTTAGCACTTTCATTCATTGAGTCGCAAGTAAAAATTATTAGGTTTGAACACTGGGTAGGGTGGAATGATAAGGCATGATCTAATAATTTTTGTACCTAGCAGTAATTGGGGACCTGGATGCAAAACAATTGGCAGACAGTGTTCTATGGAAAACATGATGCTGAATAATCCAACTGGTTCTCATACTTAGCCTAAGCCCTGAATAACACCCTTATTCTCTTCAAGAATACTTTTGGTTGCATAAAAATTAACGAAGTAGAAAAACCATGTCCACTTTTGTCTTAATTGTACGCAATTAGAATGAAAAATATTTTATTCTTTCCTTCTTGTTGCCAATCTATTAATACAGTATAGTACACATAACCCCAAGGTTACTAAAGTTGATTTTTTTTTATAATTAGCACTTTTTTGTGCAAGATGTTATATTAAATGTGATGTTTAATATTGATCTGCATTGCATTTATGGGGCTTGATGGCTGAGTGGACAGTGCTCAGGGTTCATAGTCCTAAGGGTCCGGGTTCGATCCCCGGTGGAAGGCGGAAACAAATGAGCAGAGTTTCTTTTACCCTGATACCTAGCAGTAAATAGGTACCTGGGAGTTAAACAGCTGCTAGGTTGCTTCCTGGGGATGTGTGCGTGAAAATTAGAATTAAGGACTTGCCCAAAATGCTATGCATATTAGTGGCTATACAAGAATGTAAGAACTCTTGTATACAGTATATATATTAATAATAATAAAAAAATTACTTCTGTCAAAATCAAGTGAGTAACCATTTTCAGAATTGTTGACCAAACCACACACTAGAAAGTGAAGGGACGATGACGTTTTGGTCCGTCCTGGACCATTCTCAAGTCGACTTGAGAATGGTCCAGGATGGACCGCAATGTCGTCGTCCCTTCACTTTCTAGTGTGTGGTTTGGTCAACATATTTCAGCCACGTTATTGTGACTCCTCGTCTGCATTTTCATCAGATGATTTAAATATAGTAAAAGTAGTGTACTGTTCTGCCAATAAAATATAAAATAAATAAATCTAAATGATTATATATGAAGATATATATGATATATGAAATGATTATATATATATATACATATATATATAAATAATAATAAATAATATAGGCTGTTTACAATAGTGAAATGTTTTTTTGGGTGATTTTTCAATTGACAGAAGGATGCCTAATGTCAGATTTTGTCTTAAAACAGCATCGCACTTGTTACTTTACTATGCTTCAATAGTCTCACTTGCAAGTTTTTGAATTTCACCATTTCTTCCATCAACCTGATACATCAAACCTGGAAATTAAGAACTTTTTCATTTCTTTTCACGTCACTCAATATCATGAGGTTGGTAATTGAAATTTTATTTATCAAGAGTTTAAACTAGAATTTAACCAGAATACACAAGTTTAAGGATAGGAAGAAGGTTGCATACAAGTGAAACACAAGATAGTGCAGTTAATACTAATAGTTAATACCTGTGTAGAGCTCAATTCGAAATATTTATAATTTATGTTAGTTAGGAAATATTAGATCATATTACTCTTCAGCTCTCTTAGCGAAGGAATAATTATGGCAGCGTTAAATTTTTCTACACTGAAAACTAAAATATGAAAACGGATGTTCTAATGTATGGTACTTTACACTTCAATATATACAAAAGCTAGGAAATTCTTCATTTTCCATAAACTTTAAAAAAAGTGAATTACCCATTATTAGTGCCAAGTCTCAGGCTGCGTACTATTTCCTTTTCATATAAAGAAAAAGTTTAAACATTTTTAGTTTTCGTTTCATATTTTAGCATATTTTATTTATCCTAATTGCTGTACTCTTACGTAAAGCAAACTGTTATGGAACCTTGTGGCCTTTTGAACCCAATTTGGCATTCATGAGTTAAATGGAAGGTTTGCATACCACACAGACACATTAGGATATTCATATCGTTATCCCATCATATTAGGATAACGATAAGATGTTTGTTTTCCTATTTATTTGGCAATTCAGTGTTCAGTATAATTTTATATTTAATAATTAAAGGGTACATCAGCAAAGTCCTACAAATTGTATGTAAGCCAAAAGCTCCCCCCACCCCCACTCTCCATAGCTCATTTGGATATTCCGTATCACCTTGCCTGATATTCCCAGAACATTATTAGCTAATACCTTTTCAGGATACCCAATTACTGCTGGTTGAACAAAGGTAAGAAATTCAGGAATGGTACATAGTGTATGCATCATTGAACATTATTGCATACGCTATGCAGGAATGGTACATGGCATATGTACCAAATTAATCTTTGAACACGCTGTTCAAAGATTAATTGTAGCATGTATGAGTGTTGAATCCTCATCCTTCCTGTTTCAATAATATAGTTTCCATATTTTCAAAAAGTTTATTACAAACAGGTTTTGACAGTATGGGAAAATGTTTATTTGCAGTGGTTGGATTGATCTTTATTAAGGAAAACAAATGGACCCCAATTTGTCTGCATACTGTTGTTTTCATTAAATTTGTACTGACTCGACATATATTGTGAATGGAATGTGCAGTAAGCCACCTATACTAACTCGTACTACCATATTGGCATGAACAAATCCACAAGGGCCGTGACGAGGATTCTAACCTGCGTCCGGGAGCATCCCAGACACTGCCATAATCGACTGAGCTACAACAGGGTTAAGGATGCTCCCGGACGCAGGTTCGAATTTTCGTCACGGCCCTTGTGGATTTGTTCATTTGATGCATCACGTTAGTGTGATCTCTGTGTGTGACCATATTGGCATCTTATCAGCTTTGGAAATGTTTCACTTGCAATCAATATATTTGACAGGCACATTTAGTTTACCTTTGTATTGGGATTCTAAACTGTCAGTAGGTAAATAATCATCTCCAAATTTCACTTCACATGCAGACTAAGTTTTTAAATATTACTGTTGATGTAGCTTCACTTTTTCTACTCCTAAGTAGAAAAAGTGAAGCTACTTCAGACATCACAACTTTTTAGGGTAAAGAATTTTAATCTTGTCATATCTAATATCCATTGCAGCATTTTGGATGTGTGTTGGTCAGGTTGGTTCCCAAGCAATATGCAGTATAACATAGGAATTGTGTACACTGTCATTGACTGAATGGAATGTTAAAGTTTACAAATATTTTTATAGATTTATATGCACATTCCATACAATTTGTACACTCTGAGAACAGGCTAAGCAAACGATGACACCTGTATCTATGCAAAACCTAAACTAGAGCAAGTACTATACATGGAATTCTTTGGTAAAAAAATTTACAAGAGTTCTTTGAATATTTTGCAAGATCTGAAGGTATCCAAAAACCTAGAATCATTTTATACAAGATTATATTACCAAGGAAAGGGAGCTCCAAGACAGAATAAGGCACATAAAATGCAGAAAAATCATGAAAATTTCCTCCGAGTCTATAACGAAGATAAATTAAACTGAAAAATAATAATGGGAGAATAAAAAATTCAGATGGCGTACATAATTAAGAGTAAGGAAAGAAGGGTCTCTCACCAAGAGCACCGAACACTATACAGTATGACTGTGACCAATATAACTAAGCCACATTGGCTATAGTTGGAATGTGACCAGCAAAACCAGAACATCCACTTGATTGCAGTATGAATATACGTAATTGTAGCCATATACGAGTATATATTTCAGAGAACACTTATGAGTGTAAGGCCTATCTAAAATAGACCAAGTACATTACAGTATGACTGACTAATATAAGTATGCCTCATCGACTAGTCAGAGTGTGACCAACAAAAAACCAGAACACAATTTGATTGTACAGTACTGTACTGTATATGGCTAAAATTTTAGGCATACTGCAATGTATGCATGACTTACAAAATGGCTATAAATGAGCCTACATATATAAATGTAGGTAAACACACACCCACAAATATGGCCTCTATCTAAAAGTGGCCGAGGGGAAAATACATACTGTACTGTACATTTAATTCATAACGGAGTTTAGAGAACTTGTTTGAAAATCATGGCGTAAACATAACTGTAAATTTCAAGTAGATGACTGATAAAACTCCAGACCCAGTTATGCTACTTCTAGCAAGATCAAAACTAACACTGTATATAAAAATATAAAATATGAATGAGAACTTACATCCCAAACATATATATATATATGTGCAAGAGATTGATTTTGTATAATATTTTAACTAAGTACTGACTATCTTTAATAAGAATATTACTGAAGGTTCTAAATACAAAGTACCCCCCAAAATTTTTTTTTTATTGGAGTCTAAACGCCAATGGACGAGGTACAGTACATCTTATTCTCATGAGTAAGGACCTATTTGTGCAATTTATTCCATACCATACATGGAACATTACAAAATAATATCTTAAAAGAGCAAGATCGCACAAGCTTATTATATATCTGAACCCGCTTATTCTAATTTTAATATACGATAAGCGACTTATATAAGAATTAAGTAAAAGGGGCCTGAGCAGAAGAGCAAGCTTGAGACTAGTTACCTTTTCCCTTGCTTGGATACACAATGAAGAGAAGCAGTTGTAAACCTGCAAGGATACACCCAATCATATTTGGATACTGGACAAAGTTATTTTGAATAATAATTCCGTATAGCCACCAAAGTCCGGCCATGACGAAGGTTGCAAAGATGAGTGGGAATGGCAGCATCTCTGTGCTCTGGGTGTGGAAGACATCCTTCAGTGATATCAGAGGAGATGCACAAAAGATGATACTTGCAGCACAACACATCAAGCCAACATGGTACTTGATCACCTCTGCATTTGTGCCTGGAAACATAAAATAAATGTTTCAATAAATATGCAGACAGTATTCATATCCACAGTACAAACTTTTGTTACTAAATTAAGAAATGGTAAAGTGCATCACCAGATCAGGTGGACAATGTTGAAATTAAAAAATTGTATCATTAGTGGAAATCTTGAACTGGGAATTTAATGTATTAAATGTTCATAATAACTAAAATTAAATCATTAGCATTTATAATGGAAATGTTAGTTTTAAGAAAATAGAAAAATAAGAAAATTTTATTCTTCAACTTAATCTTGTTAGACCCCATTCAGACTATGCAGTTCAATATACTGTATCTAGATATAGCAGGGCATAAGCCTAAAGTGTACTGTATGTATAAACCGGCTGCATGTCCCCCAACATAATGAATTATTATTACTTGACAAAACTAAATTTAGCAAAAATTTATATGGTGTCCCTTCAGAGTCCTATAATATATAAAATTATGGTACGGTATATTGTAGTACTGTAATATATTTAGAAAGGAAATTACTTAACTGAAAATAAATTTACCTGAGAAGAACACATAATACTGTACAATGAAAATAGCAGAGAAGAACAGCAACATTTGCCTCCTTGTGGCATGCCACGACACCGGAAGAATACAGTATTTCACATAGATGAACAGGTAACTTGCCTGCAAAACACAAAATTTCATAATTGGTAAGTTTGTTCTATAATATTTGGGTTTCAAAAATATTATGCAGAAAAAGTAGTCATATATGCAAGAACACCAATTTATAGATGCAGTACAACACACAATCATACTTGTCGTGGTCTCGCTTCATTTAGTTTAGCAGAAATATTTGTAGTCTTCAGTGGTTTTGGGGCACTTTTGTACTTTCTCTTGAAGTACATTTCTATCATCTACCACTGTGCACACATTTGTGATCATCTGCTTGTAGTCAGTGTATTAGGAGCTATGTTCAAGGAATACAATTTTCTTTTATCAATGTTTTCAAGCATTCAGTGACTTGAGCACATACATACACTGCCTTTTGAAGCTCATTCAACCCATTACCATCTTATTTGTGAAGCATTTGTCCCCTGTGGCCTTTCTGCACTGCTTTTTTTCAGTAACTGGAACTCGTGGCATCTTGCTATTACAATTACCTGTACTGCTTTAACAAAATTGTTATCCTTTCATACACAGTGTATCTGCATGCAATGCACCAGAGTACTCAACAAGCTTGTTTTTTTTTTAAATTATGTGTATGTGTGTAATTACCAAAGTAATTACCTACACCTGGATGGGTTCTGGGAGTTGTTCTACTCCCCAAGCCTGGCCTGGAGCCCAGCTATCACCTATTATCACTAACAAATGACACTGTTGGTCTATCATTTGAGAATGACAGTAGTTTAAGGGTTATTATATCATGACAAATAAATACTGTAACAATAAATGATAAACAATATTAAGAAATAAGAATTAATGTCCAGTCAAGATAAAAGCAGGACTTCGCTCCACAGCCATGAAGCAGAATCTGACCAATATGCAAAGGACGATGAATCCGATCTGGACACAATCACGGTTTCCTAGTAGGTACCAAAGCAAGTCCTGATAAGTACCATCCAAAGGAAGATGAGACAACAAACTCATATGGAGGATGGTAAATCCAGGTTACAAACACACATTATGGTTTATGTTGGCACTGCCGAGCATTAAAAATATCAGATAACAATTAGCATCATCAGAATGTGAAGCAAAGTGCTGCATTTAACACAACTCAGTATTACAGTATTAAAATAAATGTTAAGATACTCAGTTTCTGATAGCATTTGCTGCAAATTGTGAAAACTATAAACTTCACTAATATGCATTCTTAGGAGAAATCATAAACCTACCTTATACATTCTCATCTCTGCAGCAGAGGAGAAAAAATTGTCTTAAAACATTTAAACAAAAAAATTTAGTTACAAACAGGCATTAACTCTAAAGATAAAGGTCACCGATTACTATTTCTCGTGCATTACATCATAGTTTACACATATTAAGGTTCAGTGAATTTGGTAATCCACAAATGTCTTAAAAAATTCTCATATTTAAACCAAGGAAACCAAGATAAATTTTCTTGAAGCACTTCTTTAGGTTCCCAACACATTTGCAACTCCTTGGAGTTTTGGTCCAGACCAAGTGTTCATGCTGGACACAACACATTGGGTTTCACTGTTACCTTCGTATGAGAGTGAACCATTGGTTCACTCTCCCCTTCGAGAGGGGAGGAAAGGGAGGGAGACCCAAGTGCAGCTGGGTACCCACTAGTTATGAAATATGCGGCTCTCTCTCCAAGGTTCCTCTACTCCTCTCTGTTACTTGTCTACCTGTTCATCTGACCTGCATATTGTCTACCTGTTCATCTGACCTGCATATTGTCTACCTGTTCATCTGACCTGCATATTGTAACCTAAACTGCCTGCTGACATGTTTTTGTTAGTGACAGTTAATAGGCTCTAGACACTTTAGCTTGTCACACAATTCCCCTCCCCACATATCAAACAAATTACCAAAGATGCACTACACATTAAAATTGAAGCAACAAAATGTCAAATCGTACCTGCAGGAGAAGGCCCACTGTATTAGTCACACTGATCGATACATCACCCAGCAGCAGACCGTATGTAAGCCACGTGCTGTAAAAAATTACATGAATACTGTAATGGACTGGATCAACACCTTTAATTCATACACCATTCCCATGGGAAAGAAGGTCAGGTACAGAGAGTTACTGAAACTGCCCAGAAAGGACATCTCGTTGCACTGAATGCTCGATTTCTGGGCTGGCTCTTGGTAGCTCCACCAGTGCAAACTCCCAATGGTGTCTCAGATTAGGATACCATCTTTAGGCTGAAAGTGATTAGTAAAGAAACAAAGAGGTTGACCTATGGATTGAGAAGGCCGAAACATGGGGCTCGGAGAAAGAGGAACTCTGTGACTGGAAAGGCACCCCAAGAACCAAACCGGCCCAGCCAGAGAATAGAACATCAGAGATAAACAGGAGCCAACATCAGGTTAAACTGCCAGAAACCCTGAGCCAGAATATTAGCCATAGATATACAGTACTGTATTAGCAATGAAGGTAGCAATAACAGTATACTTGCACAAAGAGGAAATAGAATCTCATGTACAGTATAGGTACATAATTTCATACAAATTTAGTTTCCTTAATTCCATCTTTTCTTTGTTATCAAGATACATAGATTACTTTGCTTCATTTAATGTTCAGTAGGCATGAGCAAGTCCAGTTTTGTTTTTCTCTGTTGTGCCAGAGCCAATGTACAAGAGTGTTACTGAGGGCTGCCCAACAATGTTCACTTCTGCCATTTATCAGTGTCAATCCTATGAGTGTTTTCTCAGGGATCTGAAGAAAGGGTAAAAGGGAAGAAGGGATTTACTCAATAAATTGGCACCTACCCAAACATTACAGCCATTAGCCTTGTTTACATCACATATTAACTCTGAAGTAGCATTGCAAACACTGGTTGAATAATTAAACATGTACACTTATCAAGTTTTTTTTAAGTACAGTACTGTACAATACATCACCAGTGCAGAATACAAGGCAATTATTATTTTCTTTACATTTGATATTATCCTTAATTCTAGGTAAATTTACATTGATCATGCTCATTCAAGTTTAAAAATTTATGTTATTTACCTCGCACAAAAAACTCCTCCAATGAAGGGGAATCCCGAAATATTTCCAGTTGATGATTGTTTGATGATCTTGCGACAGATGTCAGTTCCACTTAAAAATTGGATAATAGTAACTATAGTTGCAACTGTTGCAACCAGATCCTTGTAATCTGATAATGCCATCATTAATGTCTGTTGGAAAATAAAGAGGAAAAGAAAGTCAGGTACAAAATATATAACATTACATAATTATTTTAATGAGGACTTTAAGAATGGATGAAAATAGCCTTTCTATATACAGTATAGGATTAAATATAACTATTTTGCAGATAAAAATAATCACAAATATCCATCCTAGATTCATTAAATATGCTATTTATAACAAAAAATAAACTTTATGGCAAAAGTCGCCGGTATCTGATCATTTAATTAAGGTTACAATATTGGTGTTCAATTTGCATTTAAAAATAATATTAGCAGACGATGAGTCACGATAACGCAGCTGAAGAAATGATGATCAAACCACATCTCAGAAGATGGAGAAGAGACAACATTTCAGTCCATCCTGGACCATTATCAAGTCGTGTGAAAGGAGAGTCTTCTATCCCACAATTTGATAATGGTCCAGGACGGACAGAAACGTTGTCACTTTTGCATCTTTTGAGGTGTGGTTTGGTCGTGGTGGGTATGTGGGCCTGCGGGCCGCTCCAAGCAACAGCCTGGTGGACTAAACTTTCACAAGTCGAGCCTGGCCTCGGGCCGGGCTTGGGCAGTAGAAGAACTCCCAGAACCCCATCAAGCAGGTATCAAGCAGGTATCATCATCATAATATTAGTAAATATACTGTACCATGTACTGTACAGTCAGGTTCATTCTCAACTCACAAGCAAGAAGTCTGGGTTCGAATCCCAGGCAGAACAAAAATGGTCAGATGTGTTTCCCATCACCTAATGTGTCTGTTCACCTAGCAGTAAATAGATATCCAGGAATTAGTCAGCTTGTGAGATTGCATCCTGGGGGAGGAAGTCAGTAATTCGACCTTGGGGGTTCCTTTCATATAAACCTAACATATAAATATACACTGGCTGCCTGTACCCCCGATACAATGAATTACATGTATAAAACTGTACGGTGACTGCAAACTAACATATACCATATGTGAATATTGCTGGTATATAAAGTCCCATCGCTACTAACAACATTACTTATAATACTATAGTATTCACACAGGGTATATGTTAGCTTGCAGTCATCGTATAGTTTTATACACAGTAATTCATTGTGAATCAAGCAAGAAAAAATATCAGGAACTCACCGTTCACAGCAAGTTATACGGGAGACACCGAGTGAAGCAGAGCAGTGTGAGGGAGTGCCAGCACACCTGCACCCAGGTGTCAGGCCACGTGTGCAGTACACAACACCTGTCAGCCCAGGACACAGCAACCAACACCTGTCAGCCCAAGACACAGCAACTAGTATTAAGTTATAGTCTTAGTTTCCTGCCCGAAACGCTTTGTGTAATAGTGGCTCTAGGCATTGTATATACCAGCTCTATCTATAAATCCATCAACTTTTGTATCCTACCTTGTATGTATGTACCTTACCTGAATAAATATTTATTTATTTATATAACCATGTTGTTGTGTTGATTTAGGGGCGACGACGATCGTGGTTATATAACCATCAGCTGTCAGGCCACGAGTACACACACGGACGTCAACAAACGATGACGACTCACCTGTGATTGACAAAATGTCAACGGGGTCACAAAATGTAATATCAACACATTTTGTCTTGTCTGGGACAGGAAGCCTGTGTCTATCTATAGATCTATATTGTGACGAGATTCTGTAATAGAGCAGTGGCTATTCTGGCTGGTGTTGTGCCAATCGCACATTAATAAGACAAAACTAACAGAACAAACTGCTTGTGCCCTCTATGGTATGAGACCTGTGGGTAAAAACCAGAGAATGAAAACTTCTAACATTTAATATAACAAAAATGACTTTCCTAACGTAATATACTAACAGATTAGTATAGTTTCAACACTTAGGTAATTACGCAGGTAATTACAGTTGAGAGGCGAGCTGGAAGAGCAGAGCACAACCCCCGCAAGCACAATTAGGTGAATACAGGTAATTTCAGAGTACTCAACCACGGATATAAGTCATTTCGTACACAAAACCTTACGCCAACGGATTTTGAAAACTATCTAACTTAACCCAACCTAAACTAAATTAACTCCAAACCAACCTAATCTAACTTAACCCAAACCAACCTAACCTAACCTAACTATACATATGGTTTTAACAACAAAAAAACGAACTACATCGAATCGTCTCCTGTACGAAGACATACCCCCCCTCGGGTACCAACCAGTGTTTCCAGATTGGGCTACAAATAGCGAATTGGGCTACTTTTGAGAGCCCCGCGCTCCCAAACTTTTTATTTCGCTACTTGCTACTTTTTGGGCTAATTTAAAAGCAAAATGTGCTAATTTGGGCTATTAATGTCAAGAATGTACAATTGCGAGTTACATGAAAGTAACTAAGCTATAAATGTTTGTAATTAATAATAATTGTATATATTATTTATACTAAATAATATTATTTAATAAATTAGTTCCAATTCAATGCAGAGTTTTCTTCCAAGCACAGAAACTTGTAAATATAAATACAAGATAATAGATAGATCGATAAATAAATAGACAACTTTCAAATATTGCACCAAGTAATGGCGAGAGGAAAAAACTAGACAGTATACATTACATTTGAAATTAATAATGGATGAATGGTAATAAATTGGTGTATGTTTGTATGTAAACCAGACAGAGTCCATTTAATGGCAGAATTTAGCCATTTTGTGTAAAACTTTTATATCCTATTATTAATTATAACAGTAATTGAAAAAAGTCATATTTTGTATATACAAGAGATGAAACAGCGAGCCATGAGCTAGAGCGATGTGCTGATCGAGTCCATAAGGAGGCGGAGCTTCCAGGAATACCTTCCTGTGATTGGCTGTTGCGGGGAATACCAACACTCTTTTATGAATAAAATTTAAACTAAGAAATAGGTCCTTGTGCACAACAACAAGGTTGTTGTGAAAAAGAACAATAATTTCTCTTTTGCACCTGACAGAAATCTCCATCTAACTGAATAATTTACTCGAATAAGAGGGCAGAGCAGCGTATCATTATTTGTGTGAGGCAACTCCCACTGATGACGTCACAAGTCAGGTAGCCAGCCCATGTTTCTGTAACACCCGTTACATCCTGCAGTATTTAATTATCACTATATTAATACTTTTAAATACTTAACATTTCACTTTTTAGATAGATTAAAGTTGAAGCAGAATGTCATAAGCAAGGATGGTGTGCTGAATAAATATGATTTATTAAGTGGATGGAGCCTTTAGCTGATCCTTTCCTGTGATTGGCTGTTGTGTGAATGTCAACAAAGAGTTTCTACCAATGATATGCCATTTATTATGCACCCCATACCATCTGTGGGCGGAGCTAGGAACCTCCTACCCGAGCACAACAACCCGCCTTATGGGTTGCAGTTTGGCTATTTATAGTGCGTTGGAAAAAATAGAGATGGCGCTAGTTGTATTTTGTGGGGTAATTTGTTATAGGTGTAATTTGATGTCAACAGATGGCGTAAGCTGTATCTTATGGCTTCTGTTGACCAGCCAGTTGATAGTGTTTCTTCTGCCGACAGATGGCATCAGCTGTATTATTATTATTTTATTAATATTATTACATTAATAATAATATATTATTATTACTTTAAACACTGATCTATACGTCTGGTAGCTTATAATAAGGTTTTATACCATGCTGGTATTAGGTAACTAGAATTCTGCAATTTCAAGTTCAAGTATGTTTATTGAGATAAGCAATAAATACATCTCAAAGGGATAGAGTAGCTTAGGCTATTTCTACCCCCCTCTATTTCAAGTCCCTCAAGGGGCGCACAAACGCTGTAAGTACAAATAGACAAATTACAATACAAGAATCCCATTTAACATTGCAGGTTAATATAGTAAGTACAGCATATAATTGTTACACTCTCGGGGCAAAATTCTTGTAGCTCCTATGTATACTGTCTATCATACCATTATCACACATCCAAACAATTTGATGTGGTACACTATTTATTTCCTTATTTCTATAGTTGTCAATAAGTTGACATTCTTATACATAATGTTCTAAGGTGTGGGCGTGCGACATACTACATAATTTACACTCCTTATCTTTTTCACTGACATCAACACCGTATTGCCAGATATATTTGTTTCCTAATCTTAATACTTTTTTTTTGATCTACTGTTGAGAATATGTAAGACAAATGTAAGGTTTTGAGGCTAAGTAACGAAGATAGTTACAAGATACGAGCCAGATGGTGTTGAGATTGCAAAAGGGATTATGATAAGAACTTAAGCCAAAAAATCAATGCATATATGTTCGCAAATATGAGACCGGAATTTATTTCTCGAAAAGTTAGCAATAAAATACGCTTTCTAGTTCTTTATTTATAAAATTAAGACCAGGGATTCTGTCTAACGAAGCTGCAAGCTAAAACACCGTTATCCTATAATGTTCATCTGTAGCTTGACCCTAAATACTGTTTATTAAACGAATTTATTGTTAGAGTTCATTAGGAATCAACTTTGTTGAAGGCCGAGCTTCCAGAGATACCGTCCTGTGATTGGCTGTTGCGGGGAATACCAACACTCTTTTATGAATAAAATTTATACTAAGAAATAGGTCCTTGTGCACAACAACAAGGTTGTTGTGTAAAAGAACAACAATTTCTGTTTTGCACCTGACAGAAATCTCCATCTAACTGAATAATTTACTCGAATAAGAGGGCAGAGCAGCGTATCATTATTTGTGTGAGGCAACCCCCACTGATGACGTCACAAGTTAGGTAGCCAGCCCATGTTTCTGTAACACTCGTTACGTCCTGCAGTATTTAATTATCACTATATTAATACTTTTAAATACTTAACATTTCACTTTTTAGGTAGATTAAAGTTGAAGCAGAATGTCATAAGAAAGGATGGTGTGCTGAATAGAGATGATTTATTAAGTGGATGGAGCCTTTAGCTGATCCTTTCCTGTGATTGGCTGTGGTGTGAATGTCAACAAAGAGTTTCTACCAATGATATGCCATTTATTATGCACCCCATACCATCTGTGGGCGGAGTTTGGAACCTCCTACCCGAGCACAACAACCCGCCTTATGGGTTGCTGTTTGGCTATTTATAGTGCGTTGGAAAAAATAGAGATGGCGTTAGTAGTATTTTGTGGGGTAATTTGTTATAGGTGTAATTTGATGTCAACAGATGGCGTAAGCTGTACCTTATGGCTACTTTTTTTTTTTTTTTTTTTTTTTGCAGGGATAATCCTGCGCGGGCCCTAAGCCTCTGGCTGGCCCACTAAGTGTTGCTTGTTTCTGTTTTACTTGGGCGGAGTATGAGTATTTATGACTCGTATGGTCGCTTCAGTAAGATTTTGCCATATGTGTTTAACAACTTCTTCTGCTCTGTTGAATCTAAGTTGAAATCTGAATGGGTTTGTAATTGTGCACTGTGTTAGATAATGTTCCAGTGGTCTGTCGGGCATTTCTCCACAGTGTTGACATTTCCTCTCATCTTCCGGAACCTGTAAGCCTATTTCCCATGCACATGGGTATCCAAGCCTAATGCGATGTAAGTGCACTTCTGTTGTTCTACTGCCCCCTTTCATCAAACTAAGTGGTACGTAGTCGGTTGAATTCTTGTACCAACCCGCAGATCCTGATGTTGCAACTGCTGTGGTGTGGTCACTGTACATCTTTTGCATTGCTCTGTTTCGAATTACTTTCTTCATCTGTGATAGACTCTGTGGTATGTAAATGTCTACATTTCTCCTCTTAGTAGCAAGTTTTGCAGCTACGTCTGCAATGTCATTACCTATGATTCCCACATGACTTGGCACCCAGTTGATAAGTACCCGTCGGCCTTGTCGTTTGAGTGTGTGCATGGATGATAAGACATTTGTGATCAGATGGATGTTATCACATATGTGTTCTTGTTGCAAGGTTTCAATGGCGGTTCTCGAATCAGTATGTATGATAACATGTTGTCGGTGTTCAGCAAGAGCATGTTCCAAAGCCTTTTGAATGGCTAGCATCTCTGTTTGCAAAGTCGAACACCCATTTGAGAGCCTCCAACTATTTACAGTTTCCTGCTTTAACTGCAGCTCCGGTTTCTTGTCCCTGCTGGTCTACTGATCCATCTGTGAAGTAAGTGAAGCTGTCGGATGCCACGTTTGCTTCTATATGCATCTGTGCAATGTTACGTAGCAGATGAGGACTTGTCTGGTTCTTCTTTCCTTCAAGAGCCATAATCTTAAAGTCTGCTGGCAGAGATTCCCAAGGGGCTTGTACAACAAAGTCTGCATGTATTTCGTCGACACCCCTCTCAGTGACTGTGTTTGTCATATCGAATGTATTGATGTTATGGCTACTGTTGACCAGCCAGTTGATAGTGGAGATGCTAGCCATTCAAAAGGCTTTGGAACATGCTCTTGCTGATCACCGACAACATGTTATCATCCATACAGATTCGAGAACCGCCATTGAAACCTTGCAACAGGAACACATATGTGATAACATCCATCTGATCACCAATGTCTTATCATTCATGCACACACTCAAACGACAAGGCCGACGGGTGCTTATCAACTGGGTGCCAAGTCATGTGGGACTATTAGGTAATGACATTGCAGACGACGCTGCAAAACTTGCTACTAAGAGGAGGAATGTAGACATTTACATACCACAGAGTCTCTCCCAGATGAAGAAAGTGATTCGAAACAGAGCAATGCGAAAGATGTACAGTGACCACAACACAGCAGTTGCAACATCAGGATCTGCGGGTTGGTACAAGAATTCCACCAACTACGAACCACTTAGTTTGATGAACGGAGGCAGTAGAACAACAGAAGTGCACTTACATCGCATCAGGCTTGGATACCCATGTGCATGGGAAATAGGCTTACAGGTTCCGGAAGGTGAGAGGAAATGTCAACACTGTGGAGAAATGCCCGACAGACCACTGGAACATTATCTAACACAGTGCACAGTTACAAACCCGTTAAGATTTCACCTCCGATTCAGCAGAGCAGAGGAAGTTGTTAAACACATATGGCAAAATCTTACTGAAGCGACCATACGAGTCATACATACTCATCCTCCGCCCAGGTAAAACAGAAACAAGCATCACTTAGTGGGCCAGCCAGAGGCTTAGGGCCCGCGCAGGATTATCCCTGCTAAAAAGAAAAAAAAAAAAAAAAAGTTGATAGTGTTCTCGTCTGCCGACAGATGGCATCAGCTGTGTTATTATTACTTCCGAATTCCCTTTAAACACTGATCTACAAATCCCTTGGCTTATGATAAGGTTTTATACCATTT